ATTATGCAGCCTTCTCTCCGCAGATCTATAGCTGGACGCTCAAATTGATGCATTGCCTCTATTACAGTATTGAAGCCATGATGCTCTTAGCCAGAATGGGTTTTAATGTAATTTGGAGCTGCTGTCATTCATTTTCTGCCACTGGCGGCTCCAACACAAACAAACAAGTCAACCGGGGATGAATGCAGCTGCATCTGAGTGTCTGCGGAGGAGCCAATCAGAAGCAGAATAATGAGGATGGAAGTAAAAAGCTGTCGTATCACCTCCGTCTCTGCAACAGCAGCTCGGGGGGGCGATCCGTCTGCTGTCCCCGAACGGCCCCCAGCACAGGAGGATACGCAGCCTTCCCAGGTGTTTTCATTTCATCTTCAATGTCTACATACGCACACGCTGTGACTCTGCAAGAGCTCAGTGTTCGTGTGTGTAGTGGGGAAGAAGCACCAAAAGCGGCGTTAAATAAGGAAGTTTTCAACCCAAAGCTGTTTTTATTTTATGCTTTACTCATGTCTTATTTTTCTCTGAAGCATCCGGCAACTCATATAATGACTCTGGATTGATTCCAAAAGCAACAACAACAAGCTGATACACTTCTTCCTAATAAACACTTCTCCAAATGTACCAAAATCCATTATATAAATATACTGCAGGCGTTGGTGGACCCACTAGGGCTGGAGGCCTTCTTGAGTTTGAGGCGTGTAAGAAAACATACCTCAGCATTTGGTTCACTTCTGTGAAGAAATGTAGAGTAAATTTTAAATAAATAGAATAATAGCTAAGTGTCAGACAAGAATACACAGAATTTGTCAAAAAAGAAGCCTATTAAGTCGATATATTGATATATATATATATAAAAAGGGGTCCTTTAAGAAAAAAGGTTGGGAACCACCACTCTAGGAAGGTCAAGAAGTCCAGTTAAACTAAAAGATGAAAGTTTTTAAAGCTTTATCAGACACCAGAACACTTCTCAACAATTTTATCTTACGGCATGATGATCGCGAATAGTTTCTGTTTCATACCTACCTTACAGGGCCACAAGCCAAAACACGTACAAGTGAGTTTTGACCTCTTAAAGATTGAGTGTGTAACATTTAGGAGGATCAATTGGCAGAAATCGAATCTTATACTCTAGTTGATATATGATGATTCTATGATACTACTTGACTGTTTTCCCAGTGAACTAGTATCATGGACTCATTGTCGTTTTCTTGTAAAGTGACACCGTGTTGTTGGACGGACCGCCTGCAGCTTCACTGTTGTTGCTCCTCATATTTCAGTCGCTTCCTCTGAACGTCTGTCTGATCATCCACGTGGCAGTGCTTTATAGATGCCTGGACGGACTCCAAGACAGTTAGGACTGTGTGAAATCCAGAGGCCCGATCATTACGCGAAACATTAGTCGCCATTCATGTGAAAGAGCTCTGAGACGGTCGATGTGTCACATCTTCGTTTAATGGAGATCTTAAACTAGTTTAACAGATGAATGAATGAATGGATTGATGATTGGATTAGTCAGGGTGGTATTTTCCAGACTTATAGACCGGTATTATATACAGAGAGTCCATTAGCTCCACATGGATCTATTTGATAAGATAAGAGAAACAAGAGCACTAGGTTTGTTAGATCATTTCATATATTAATGCTCTTAGCTTAGCAGTGGTGGTAGTGCCTTCCAGACACTTGGAAGAAGCGATATACAAACAGATTTTATCTTATTTTTGTTCTTATTTTATTAGTACTCGTTGATTTGTGGGATTTCGCTCCTTTTCATAGGTAAGAGAACATTTGTGGTCGAGAACTCTCTCACCAAAATAAGAACAAAACATCTAGTTTGCAGTCCACAAATTGTTTATCTAATGCAAAGAAACCGGTTTAAAATTTGAGGAACCTACAGTGAATATCATATAATGAGATTAGTTTACCTCTTTTAGAGTAATTATAGTGATGGAATTATTACATTTGTGGTATGTAAGATGCTGAAATTATTACATCCTGATTCCAATTTATTTCGACATGCAAACAACTTGCACCATATCAATTTTGCAGCTATGCTAATGTCACTAACAGCTGCATCGTCCTTAGGCATGGTGTCATAGATTTGGATGCCATTACTCAGTTACTCAGATGTTATTTGTAAAAGTTAAAACAATTGTGACGTTTTAGGGGTAAAAGATTGAAAGTATGGGAACTCCTCAGCCGCCATTTCCTGGAAGTCCACTAATTACGTTTGAAAAGCATTTTACAACCATGTTAAGTCCTCTTTCAAGCCCAGTTGTATTAATGAATGAATGAATGGCTTTATTTTGCAGAAGTATCGTCCTTGTTCTGGTGTGTATTTTAGCCTCCACATAAAATCACTCAGAAGGTCAGGAGATGTTTTTCCTCAGGTCTTCAAATTCAGAGCAGAATTCCTTTATACCTGGCTGGTCTCACTAACACTCACACAGCAGCTCCCTCGCTGCTCTGTGTCCTAATGTGGCAGGTAATTGCAGGATCCATAATGAACGCTTTAAAGCCACAGCTCTGGAAAGGTTGCCTTGGCGACAGGCCGCTGATACGCGCCCTTAATGCAGTTGATTAATCTCCAGACTCCCGGGGGCTGCCGTCAAACTCTGCTGCAAATTAGCCGAGGAATAAACTCTGGAGGTGTTAAGGTGACCTAACGTCACCTGAGAGGTCTTTACGGAAGTTGAATGGTACCCTGGGAGCCCTGTAAACTGTCTGAGCAGGGGCTCCTGGGAGACAACGTGCTCCCTGAAGTTAATTTTGCGAGTCTGAGGCGGGAAAGGTGACTCTTGCAGGTAATGATGGCGGAACGGTAGAATCTACTGTGATGCAGCCTTGGAATTACCAGGTAGAACTTAAAATGTTAAGATTTAAATAGAATATTTATGTGTATTTAAACACTGTATCCATACAAGGTTGGTTAATGGGGATGTTGACGGATGACATTTCAATATTGATATATTGTAAAAGAACAGAAAATGTACCCTTTCTAACTCCCGCCCCTTTTTGCTCTCTGCTCCAATAACGGTTGAGCTAACCTTGGTCAACTTCCTCCTGTCCTGTATTTAGATATGCTTATGTTAGGCTAATACATGTTGAAAATACAACCACATCTTAAAGATGTTTAAAAGATTTTACTCTAATTGGGATTTATTACATGATCAGTAAGTTCTTTAAACAGCACCTGACTTGGAAATTATATCTATTAAACACTAAATCGGTTGGTAATTATAATTTTCCTGTAAATATGAGGGCACAAGTTGTGTTGGGTTTGGTCTCTGATGCTAAAAGGCTTTCCTCATTGATCGTCTGTCAGAGGAGCCGAATGCTGCTGTGACCTTTCAGCTGTGGTCTGCTGCTCCTTCAGACACAAAAGCACTGACATTTCCCTAAAGACACTCTGTTCTGACAGTTATACTCCTTGATCAGGAAGGAACATTACAAATCTCAGCACACATAAGAAAGTTTGAGGATTTTTAACTGTACATATTATTCTTGTCATGACAGTTAGATGGTATTATTTCTTGATTTGTTGGTCACATCAACTGTTTGCATGTTCAGTCCGTCTAACGATAAAGGAAGTAGTGTCCATCTGTCTGTCTGAATGTTTGGTATGTCTTGGTGTATTTTTGGGGAGTGCAGTGTCGAATTTGGTCCAATTTGGACACGTTCGATATTAATAAACAGCTAATAAAATAAAAAGCTAATACAGCTGTCTGTCATTGTGTGAGCACCTTGAGCACTCTGGCCTTGCATCAAGCCCCGCCCACTTTTGGGGAGGAAAGCCCCGCTCACTAATTTGACTGACAGTAAATGTAAATTTTGAGGTCTTTGCCAATTTAATACAATAAAATATGAACACCGTATTGCTTTTTAGCTATTAGGAGCCAAAATCATATGGCCAACAAGGCACACCCGTCATTTACTCAGTGACATCATTAACTAACCTTTGAAGAAGTGTTTGCCACAGACTAAAGCCTAGAGCCACAGATCTTTTCTTTTACTGTCTTTCATTGATTAGGATAGTAAAGATAAACTTTTTTTTTTATTGTTTAATGTGCAAAATGTTTCTACAGTAGCCCGAAACGGACAAACACTGATTGCAGTTTTGCGGCACCTATAGTTTCTCCTACACGTAGTTTCACAGCCCGTTCTCATTTGCAGGCACCGCTAGAAGCCACTAAATCCTGCACAGAGTTTAAAGGTACTTGGCCTTGTATTTTGGGAGCATTGAATATGTCTCGATCACTTTGCGTTCTCACAGATTTGTTTGGGTCTTGAGGGCGTCATTACTCGATTTTATCTGAGAAAAGGTTGCAATGAACCCTTTAGACTGGGACCAGAATTAATTGACAGTATCAACTTTGCAGGGCTCAAGTTCAAAACACTTACAATTTGTTTCTCACTTTGATTTTTACGAGGTTTATTCAAATGTCAGTGAACACACCGCAGGGTCAGACCCTCCTTGGTGGAGTCTGCTGTTTCCTGATGGTTGACTGGTCGGCAGCTCTGTAATCGTTCCCTCTGTGACTTTAACTTATTCACCCCACACCACTGAGCCACGACTCGGATGACTCATCACTTCTTATTGACTCGGAGACCGCTGCCGATGATGCTAATTCATGTCAGTCAATAGGAGATGACCTATCGCAGCCACTTCTTGAATCCAGAGTAAATTTGCATTGTGTCAGCCAGTCGAAGAGCTCCACATGAGTCAGAGGAGGAGAATAGAAATGAAAGGTTTCACAGCTGATTGCACCAGCAGGTTGTCTACATTAATTTATCAGATGAAAGTTGTGATATTGAGCTGCTCCACTGGAGTAAAGGAAGTGTATGAAGGTCCTAATATGTCAATGTTTCAAGTTTCCCAAATTGAGAGCACAATTTTGTTGTCTCTTGGCTTCGCTATCCATTTTTTTTCTCCAGGACTGTCAGACCTGATGGCAGCAGTTTATAACAGAGGTCAGTTTAACCTTTGCTGATGTTGTTTGTTGCAGGAGTTTGCGGCTGCTGTGGGCCGCTGAGGCCGAGGTACAAACGCCTGGTGGACAACATCTTCCCCGAGGACCCCAAAGTAAGTGACTGCAAGCATTACTCATCCTCAATTAAATGAAAGTTATGTCAGCAGAGATACAAGGCCAATATTTGTGATTACCTTGGCAGGTCTCTGGCGTGGCCTACACTCGCCTGTAACTGCCCTTAGAGCGAAAATCCAGTTTTATTAAATAGAGATGAATATGGTAGCTGATTGGAGCACAAATCCAATTGAAAAGTCTTGTCATATCATATGTCATTTGGTTGTCTGATCTTGAGTAAAATGGGGGTTATCAGCTCTGAAAATGTCTTCAAATGTGATTAAAGAGATGTAATCTGAGCACAGAGTGCTGCCTTCATGGTTTTGTAGTCTGTCCCAGCTGTTTTGTTGCCACTTCTTCGTGGATTGTAGATGAATTTAGTCCTTCCAAGAACCGATAACATCAGATAACATTACGTGACAGACACAGAACATTAATGAATGCAGGACTCTTCATATTAACAGTAGCACAAGAGGACAAATGGTCTTAGCTTTTGTTGACGAATAGTAGAACAAAAAATCATGAGAATCATGTGTGGAGTTTCTTGTTAGATCTTCAATCAACAAGAAACAAGAATCTGGCCAGTCTTGTCCAGCTTTTGTTGTTCAGATTAAGACTGACAAACTGGTTGTTCAATTGGCTGTGTTGTTCTTCATTGGGCCCTGCTGGTAGTGGGCCAAAATTATATACAAATCTACATTACAAAAATAAAAAAAGTTAAGACAGGAAAAACTATAGACGAAAGCTGTAGAAAAATATGTGGTCTGTGGCATTCAATATATAAATTAAATTAAATCTGACAGCAGTCAGAAGGTCAATCAGTCAAAGGAGATTTGAAGATTCAAATCCTTTTTAAGGACAAAATACACAAGTAAACAACGTATGGCAGGCAACACACCCTGAAGACACTCTCAGTGGGATCACAGAGCTGAACCGCATCACAGACTCGACGTTATAAAGCAGGTTTTGCAGGTTGTCCTACCAAATATAGAATATAAAATATGCTGCAATCAAACCTCATATGAGCCCGACCCGATAGTAAAAACGTTTGGGCTAGAACAAAAATAGGCCTTTTCTATGTGGGTTGTGCAACAATATGACTCTGCAAAGGTAATCAGAAGCATGCTTTCTTAAACAAATTATTAATTAAAGAATTATTTCAGTTAAATATATTTATGTTAATTATTATTTACAATTGGTGGACAATTATGCAAGTTAATGTTATGGTTAGTGGAAAATTAGTCAGTTTGCTGCAGACTGCGGTGGAAAACCGTCTGTGGTCAGAACAGCCACGAAAGCGAGCTACCAGAGTGTCCCATAAACACTGACCACCTCAAGTGAACCTCAGACACTTCACTAGAACTCTGCATCATTAAAAAAGGAGGAATAAAACTTGGGTTTAAATGGCCTACAAGTAAATAAAGTGATTTCCTCAGAAAGCAACCTAAACAGTGATTTCTTAAAGAGTGGGAACCCTGTCTGAGTTCACCCACATTGCACAGCATACATCACAGTCCCAGTGTGGGCCTTTATCAGAGTACTATTAACGCTGCGTTCACTGCCCAGTTGTTATCACAGTGTTGAGATTGCTGTGGAGACCCAGCGACACCTCCACCGCTCTCCAGCGGAGAGCTTCCCAGCCACAACACAGAAATAATTGGGAGGACCGAGGAGCCGCACGAAAGCTCCAGACTTTGATAAATCTGGCTATTAAATGTGACACGGCTTTGATAACAGGACCGTGACAACTTATTATCAGCCGTTTGTTTTGGTGACCCCCGTTAATTAAAAAGTGTATGCGGTTTGTCCCGTACACAAGAGATTCTCCTCCCTCCTCCCCTACCGCCCAGCATCCTCTCAAGGGCCTTTGGCGCGAGCAAACAGGTGCAGTGGGAAATCGAAACACTCGAATGGTCGAGACCTTGTCAAATTAATTATCACTTGCTGAGAGCCCGAGGAGCTGAAAACACTCAGGGGACAGCTGCTCTCGAATTAACTCCCTCCTCTTTACACCTGGCAACAATATATTCATGTATCGTCTGTTGTCAGCGAGAGTCTGATGCCGAAGTTCACATCAAGTCAGTTTCCAAAAAGGCAATTAATCTAAAAATAACTCAATCTGAGGAAGACTAAAGTCTTGACCAGAGCGCCGGTGTGAGCCGCTGTCGTTAGTTTTAATGAGGCGGAAGTGAAATCTGAGCACAGCAAGGACAGTTTTTAGTGTCTTACTGCACTCTGTAAAACAAAAGTTAGTTCAACTCAAACAGTCTGAGGAAACCAACTGCCTTGAACTGTTTAAGTTTATAACATATTTGATTTGAGTACAAGTAAACCAAGTATTTTGTGAGGGGTAAATTAAGTTAATGGTAGTAATTTCATTCAGTTAATTGAACTGTTACACTTTTATGCAACATTTCTACAAACTTATTTAAAATGTGTGAACCGAATTTATCAGTATAAACTTCAATGCATCTTCTTTATATGTTACCACTTAAGTTGAATTTACTTAGTTTTCTTCCACTAAAGCAAATTACATAACATTAAAATTACATTAGAAGCTGTCCTACGATAAAAACTATTTATAGTTAATTGGTTATCAGTTTTATCCACTTCATTTTCTGTGGCTCCTCCAACTGTTACTGCTATAATAAAGTTGTTAGCCTCCTTGTTTTCTGTGTGACTAACACCAAATGTTTACACTTTGGTCATCATTAAAAATATATGATTCATAAACAGAAAATTTAAAAATCCTAAGCAATCTAGCAAAGTGGCAACTTCTGTAATGATATAAAGTCAACTTAAAGAAAATAAGTCATTGGAACAAACTGGAATTACATCACCAATAATTAAAATACTGCACACATTTATGTTCACTAAAACAACTGAGTTATCACTTCAACTGTTTTTTTGTTGTTGTTAGATTTAGTTAATGGGAATGAGTGACTCATCATTTCTTTGAGGATTAATTTATGTTAACATACTTCTTTTATTAAGATATTAGTAAAAAACGTTTTTTTCTAACCATGCAGTTTCTGTGATACTTTCTGAGCGATGATCTGTGGAGTTCAGTCGTTTGTTGTCAGAGCAGAAGAGCTGAAACACACATTCACAGGCCATTTAACATCACTGTTAGTTTTAATGTCATTGTCGTATACGGTGTAGAGTTTTAGGAAATGGTGTCAGGATATAATGAAGTTGACTTTATGTGTGAAGAGAATTACTTTCTATCCCACTGACTTTCTGCAGAACATTTACTGAAGTTGAAAGTGACAGAAGAATTTGTTTATTTGATTTTAAATTAGTCTTGGAGTCTTGATTTATTTGACTTTACTTACTTCTTACTTTATCTGGAACAAAACCAGAGACATCAAGAATGGGAAATGTATAGAAGCTTTAGTCTTTTTTGGAGGTCAATTGTTATTCTATATATTCTTTTTAAATCAACAAATCTCATGTTCGGACCAAAGACTGTATGATTTAAACAGTCCGTAGTTTCTGTGACGTCCACCATAGGTTTTTTGAAGAGCCGTTGTGAAGCTCAGTGTGGTCAGCTCTGGATGTCGCCATCGTGGCAGTCCTGACTGCCAAGATGACTGCTTCCGGCCAATTCAAAAATGGGCAAAGAGTTGGAGCTGAATGAAGTCTGGTTACTGAAAACAGCCGCCTGTGACGGCACCCACCTGTCACTCAAAGAGTCCACGCCCTTAATTATATATAACTTTAAGCCTTAATATAATTTCATCAATCATGAACGAGAAAATTAGCTCTATATACCAAAACCATTTTTTGTACCAGGCTGTAAACATGATTATTTCTGCTTTAAAGTTGGACATTTTAATATGGGGCCTTATGGAGATTGACTCACTACTGGAGCCAGCCTCTAGTGGCTGTTAGTGGAACTGCAGTTTGTGTTACTTCAGTGTGGATTTGTTTACAGTCATGCACGTTGCTGCTTGGTAATTAATAGTGATGGAATGGTTCAAGTAAGGAGAGTCAAAATAAACTACTGTGTTCATAAAGAAGAAATTTATTGGTGTGTTTATGATGGATTTTGGACACAACGTTGGAGCTCTATGGCACAGGGGAAGAAGATATATTAGGCTTTGTTTGTAAGCTCAATGGAACATGTTGACAGTAAAGAATAAGAATCTCACCTGACTCATCCTTTTAAATCCTGTAAATCTGGACCGCCTTGTGTTTTTCTTCAGGATGGCCTCAGTAAATCAGACATGGAGAAGCTGACCTTTTACGCCGTGTCGGCTCCAGAGAAGCTGGACAGGATCGGAGCTTACCTGGCTGAGAGGCTGAGCAGAGATGTGGTGCGACACCGCTACGGGTGAGTGATGTTTGACCTTGTGGTTTCTTATTTTTTGCACTCTCCAACTGCAAGATCGAGAATAATTTCCACATTAACATATATCATTAATCAATCAAACAAGAAAACACACAGTAATCATGCAACTTACTTGCTGCAGTGATTTCCGTTAAGATCCATAAATTCACTTCAGATTTTGCCTCACAATAAACTTTTCATTCAGTATCAGAGTCATGGTCTTAGGTGAAGCTCACAGCTAACTTGCTGACTCCATGGCAACAGTACTTCCTGTTAAAAGAGAGGATGAGGTGCTGGTTACTGCAATGTGAGCAGCACATGTTTACTCATGGTGGGAACTGTAGTGCCAAAGAGGAAGGGAAGGATATATCCGCCTTTAGACCATAGACCCCCAATCTGAGAGGACTGAGTCTTAAGGAACCCCTTTTGAGTATTTTTAGGTTTGAAGATAGATTTGTAATCACTCAATGATCAAACATTGAACCCTTTATTTCCATTGTTCCACCTTTCAAGAAATTGTGATAAATGTTAAAATATCCCTTTTTTTGCTGGGGACCCCATACAGACCCACCCAAGGGCCCCTGTTGGTCCCTGGAACCCAGTGTGAAAACCACTAACTTCTACCCAACTGTAACTTAGAACAATATACGACATGCCTAAGTAAGATATGTAACAATGCCATTAGCACAAACAGCCCGGTGTTAAGAAAGGTAAAGTATAACATTTAACAACACAAAGTGAAGGAAGCTCTCAAAGTAACCGTAATTAACTCATCACAATGTAAAAGTCTCATCCATTTACATTTCCCTGAACCATTTAGTGCTTTCTGCTCCTAGAAATTAATTAAAATGAGCTGAGAGACAAAAAATATCCCCAATGTATTTATAAAAGAAGACTGGCAGCACCAAATCAATACAGTGATTATAATGTCAGAAATTGTGTTTAATTGGCTGTGACTTTTATTCCCTGAAGCTGACAGTCAGAGAACAAACTCTCTCTCTTCCATCTGTAATAGTCCATGTGTCGATGCAAAACCATTTGGCACCTCCTGAAACCCTCCGTCCGTCCAACAAAGTGACACGTCCGTATGCTCCGGTTTGTTATGTCACTCAAACCCCCAAAGCTGACGTTAGATCTGGCAAAGCTTTTGTCTCCCAGATGGAGCACACTGACATGTCAGTTTCTGCTCATATAAATTCATATCATTAAATGTACACAGGCAGTGTCCATAATATCTACCCAGATACTGCATCAACAAAACTATGATTACTATAGTTAAGGTAAAAAGTTTATATTAAATATTCAGTTTTTATTTAATTTTTTCCAGCTGCTGGGATTTAAAACGGCATCTTAAAGGTTATATATGTGAAATTCACTTGCCACTGGATGGCACTAGAGCAGCAGCATCTCAGACCAAAACAGTGGGACTAAAATAAAACTCATTAAAAGCGTCTCTGTTAATGTTTCCAACAATCTGGTTTGGTGGAAATAAATCCTTAATTCACCGACGTAGATGATAAAAACAGCAGTTTCAGTCAGAGCAGACCGGCTATGGAAACAAACCACAGAGAGGCTGCGATACAACACAGGCAAGGGGAGAGAGACACCATGTGACTCTGTATCTTTATATAGAGAATAGCTGTTTGCTGATATATTAATGTTTTAAATCTCATACCATTTAAAGTTCTGGTATCTGCCGTAAAGGTGGTGAATATTGAGTTCAATTTATGCTTCGGTCAGCAGTTAAATACCAGTTTTGAAGGTCGACTGAATGTTGTTGGACTGCCACCATTTTGTATTGGTAGTTGCATTTTCAAAACAAAAACATTAATTTTGGAGCGAGCGTCACAAATGACACAAATATGTCCCGAGTTTGGCAACAGTCCTGCAGCGCTTTGTAGAGACCAGCAGCCGACAGACATTCTCATCACGCTGCTGAATAAAACATTGATTTCACAGGCTGAAACGACAGCTGTCATTGGCGAGTTTAGTTAACTGTTGCTAATTAACGCTAATTCTGTGAGTTGGCTGTGGTACAGAATGAAACACTTGGCTGTCGTCTGGCTAAATGGTTCTCAGCCAAGATGGTTTTCTCGAGAACGAAGCTTCACTCAGTTGCTGTGATCTTTTTACTTCTCAAAAAGACAAACAGAGCGGTGAGCCTCCCCCCAGATAAACCATAGAGTTCATCAAATGAAAAATGTACATCCAGGTTCTTCTTCATTTTGTTTTGTCAGTCCAACATCCACATATATTGAGTCTAATGTCATATAAAACACAGAATTTGAGAGGCTGAAAACAGCATTTTCTGCCATTGTTATTATTATAAAAATACTTTAACGATTATTGAATTCACAAAATAGTTGGCAATTATTATTATTGTTGCAGCTGTAGATCAGATCACATCCGAAGGTAGTTGGCAGCTAGCTCGTTACCTATGTGCTAATGACTGGCAGCTGGTAGGTCTTTGAAGTAGCAGAAGACTTTTTGTGTGATTAAGTGTAAAAAACTTCTGGATGATAGACGCTCTCTGTCCCTGTGTGCAGGTATGTGGTAATAGCCATGGAGGCTCTGGACCAGCTGCTGATGGCTTGTCACTCTCAGAGCATCAAACCCTTCGTGGAGAGTTTCCTGCACATGGTGGCCAAGCTGCTGGAGTCCAGAGAACCAGACCTGCAGGTCCTGGGAACCAACTCGGTGAGGCCTTCTTGATTTTAAGGTGTGCTAGCAAACTTTAAATAATATACACAGTAGGTCTATATCTCAGCATTTGGTTCACTTCTGTGAAGAAAAATAAAGTAAATTGTCTAATTGAACACTGGCCAAGCATCAGGGACAATAAAACACTGAATCTGTCAGAAAAGCATCGTATTAAGTCTGTACGATCGTTAAAAACTATTAAAAATACATAATACAGACAGAGAATTATAGAAAAGTTCCTTTAACAGGAAATAATCTGCTAAAAATTCATCCAAACCTCTGGTTTTACACAAACTTCCTGCAGTTACTGAGTTCACTGTTTGGGTTCATTGTACAGTTTTTAATATAATATGAAATATCCATAAAATATGTCACTGAGTCAGTTTGCTGACTGATAGAAAAAAGGTCCCTTAAGGTTGGGAACCACTGCTTTACAACACTAGCAAAAATCTATTCACTGTTTTTGAGAAACAATACAATATCACAAAGCTAAATATTCAATATATTTTTATATTTTCTTGCACCCGTATGTATTTGTGCATGTTGTTAAGGTAAAATGTTGCCTTGAAATGAGAGAATCCATTCTTTTGTGATTGTGCAGACACTTCATACAATGCAACAAACAATACAGATCAGTCAGTTGCAGCCCAGAGGTTGCTGTCGGTGGTTAAATACCTAATTTAACTTTTACTCTGGCAGTGGAAATGGCCCTATACCGTATCCTGTGAGAGACTCTAATTATTATTAGCCTCTATAAGCCGCCAGCAAATGTCAGCCCCATTTCTCCTTCTGAAGTCTTCTGAAGGTGAACCCAAAGTTTTTTTTTCTTCTTCCCTCTTCTCGCCTCCTATTCTGAGGCTGTCGTCCTTGCCATTGTCGGCGGTTCATCTGAGCAGGAAACAAAGCCGAAGGTTTAGATGCGAAAGCCTCTGCATTATTTATGTGTGGTATTTAGACTCTGACAGAGGAGGAGAGTGGATGCAGAGGCAGGTAGGTGAGTTGGCAGGGTGGAGGGTGATGTTTTGGCGATAGCGGTGTTAATTAAATTTTCCTTCATGGCGCCGGCTACAAAGTCGAGTTGCTTCATTTTTAATGTTTGGTTTTTGCATGGTAGCGGAAGTAAAAATGAAGCACTCGTGTTCGTTCTGTCGGGTAATTATCAGTTTAATGAGTTTGTTTGAGATGTCTGCAGAACAACACAGAGCTCAACAAATTACAGCAAATTCGTTGAAAGACTGTTTGAAACTGGCCAGCCGCTTTCATTGGAGCCTCAGAAGCGACTAATTGGTTACAAACATCACACATTTGGCTTTTTGTAGACGCTCCTCTGCAGGGCTGCTCACAGCGGGCTGAAGAATACTTCATATCCTCCATCAGCAATATTACAAGCAAGCAAGAAAAGTAGGTCGGAGGTCACATGAAGCATTATTCCAGCATAATACGACTTATTTTGGTGGTTTTGTCCATCATTTCTATCAGGAACTGGACTCACAAAGGTAATAGCTGAGATGTGGGAATACAGGAGGTAAACAGCAGTCCAGTGTTCAGTCAGAAACATTCATTATAAACACGCACAATTTATCACCTTTTAATGTACTCTTTTCCCTCTTACAAGAGAACAGTTCTTCTGTTTTTACCCTGCCCAGCATGAGTGTGTAACTCCAGTATAAATGTGTGTGTGTCACCAGAGTGTTATTGTGCTGCCAGGCATTCGCTGTTTCCAAATGTATCTGCCCGTTAACTCTGTCACAAGAAATTGGCAGACTGCGACGGCTAGAAGTGTCTCTTCCTCTACTCCATCTCAATAGAAGAGACACTCATCAGTCCACACTCAGACACATGAAGCCACTGAGTCAGACACACAGGGGGAGTTTGTACGTCGGGTATTTATAGCCTTGGAGCCAGATGGGTCGCACATAGAGCCGGGAAAACTGTATTTCTGTTTGTCTGTTCAACCTTTGGTCAACTCCAGTTTCTTTCTTTAATTCAACTCAATTCAATTCAATTCAATTTATTTGTATTTGTATTTACTTCCCCAATCAGATTTGTTACAGTTTCTGGATAATAAAATGTTCTTGGTCAGTGTTTTCTGAGTTTTATTAGTTTGTAATAGAAACAAAATGTAAACAAGACTGAATTTTATTTCACCTAGTATGTGTTCAGTTTAATAAACCATCAATAAACCAATAGCTAGCTAGGCTAGTCACTTGACTGGTGATTAGCTACTAGCATGTCGAGGCTAGATTTACCCCCTGGATTGGCTACTAGCTTGACTGGTCATTAGCTTCTGAGGCTGGCTACTTGAACACCAAGGCTGGCAGCTAGCATGCCGAGACTAAATAGAGTGACTACTGATTTGGTCACTTCCTTTTGTATTTTATTTGCGGATTGCAGCCAAATGCAGCACGTTACTGCCACCAACTGCTGACAAAAAGGAGATTCTTTCATTCGTTCCTTTGCTGACAATAACTACACATGCTGTATTTCAGAACTCTCATTAGCCATGCTTCCTCCGACCAAGAGTCCTTCGTGATCTGAGTGAACTCTACCAGTGATCTCCTCTGTTAGATTCCTTCTGCTGCTTTCACTGTGGCCTTTGTTGTCCTCCTTCACTTGTGATTTCACACAACAGTCACAGTTAGTTCACAGATGGCCACTGCAGTGTCGGCTCCTCTTCTAACAGAGAGGCCTTCATTAGTTCACAGTGAAGTCTTTTTCTCTGTTTGAGGCCTTGTATGTAAAGCTCAGACCCAAAATCAGAAACTCTTTTAATTGCCAAATGCCAGTGTATGTGCAGGAATCTGTGACACGAGAACCATAATTAAAAGACAACAAGGTACAAAACTACAGCACCTTCTTATACAAAAATAAATAATATCATGTGCTTCATAAGAGAGAAAATACACAAAGACATAGAAGGATAAAAACGCAATTTAATTCAACTCGTAACGTCAGATAAAAGTCCTAATCTGCATCTACTCTCTAGCTTTTTTTAAAAATCCAGAAAGATGATGTTTCTCTGGCTTTTATGGAGCTTTAACTTCTGGAAAAAACTAGTAAGTCAAGATTTATTTTGTCAAACTGGACTGATTAAACGTTAGCTTTCTGGCTCTTTGTAATATGAGATTGTGTGTGACCAGATGAGCCGCCATTGTTTCCCTCTACAGGCGAGTCGAAACTGTGCAGCCAATGAGAGCAGCTCAACTCACAGTATGTCACCTCCCCTGGCTCAGACAAACTGTTATGGTGACGACCATAATGCCGACCTCAAGGCTTCAAAGCAGTTCTCCACAAACCAATGGGTGACGTCAAAATACGTTCACACTTTGTTTTGTCTTAAAAGTTTGAAGGGAGGGGCAGCGTCTGAGTAACAGCGGCTTCTCCAGCTCGTCTCTAACTGTAGTCGTGTTTCTATTCCCATGTATCACATATTTGAACTGAATGTAAAGTAAATCATCAAAAGAAAATCCGAAAGAATGCTTGTTTCCATCCGTTAGGCGATCATTAGGAGTTTGTTCACGAGATAAGCAGCACTCTTCAGTCAGGATGTCTCCCAAATGAACTGTTATTTGAAAGAGAAAACAAACCTTTTGCAAAATTGAGGACATTTTATGAAATTTCTATCAAGCTTTTGTAGTGCGATACTTCAAAATGTTCATAAAAACGTTGATGGCTTGTGTCTGTGCTGTTTGGTGCTGGGCAGGTAGCGTACAGTCGCTTCATCAGAGCTTGTTTCATGAAAACAAATCGGGTCGATGAGAACCAAATTTACAGGCCATGAAACCAAAACAATGAGCCTAAATTCAATTTTCTGTGACATTGTCACTGAAGGCACATTACACACAGTCATTTGATCCATTTTAATATAAAAAATATTGATTAGCGCAGCTTTAATGACTGTGCATGAAACTCCAGACAGTAAATATACATTAACCTTATCTTCCCTGTGTGCCTCGAGGCGGCCCAGTCGCCGGAGGTAGAGGAGAGTTTTGATGATCGTTCAGCACAAACGAGAACTGAGGGGGTAACAAACTCCCAGCCTGGCTGTTAGCGGGCCAAGAAGGTCTTCGTCATCATTACCTTAGTCAGGACTCGGGAGGCGGCGGCCCGTTATGGCTCTGTGTGCAACAGAAGACACAACAGAACACTTTTCTGTGATAAACTGCAGATGCCAGGGTTTTTAATAGTTGCCTCCAAACTACTGTTATAACTTCACCGAAATGAAGCAGTGACAGGTGGGCAGGGCCTCTGAAGACACCTGAAATATAAAGTAATACTTTAATATTCTGCACTTATCATCACTTGAAATCAAAACTAATGCAGAGGGAGAACGTATTAAATTGCTTCAGGCTACAGTGTCCAACTTCTCGGCTTGAGTCAGCAAACAGTCTGTGTCCTCCCACTCAAACTGTGAAGCCTACACGCCAATGGGGGTCGGCAGTAAACCGGCGTCCAGACCAGAAGAGCTCCTGATAGTTCATTAAATGTCAGTGAACGCTGATAATTAGATCTCATCTTGTTAATGCAAATAGGACCAGTTTTTATATTTGAGACAGAAAACAATGTTGCTGTTTTCAATAAAAATGAAGAGAAATAAAACTTTTAAAATTACTTTTATTTAACAAAAGCAATTTTTGAACAGAACAGAACTCAATATGTATTTTGATGTTACATGTACAGTATGTTATTTCTGCCACATCAAAACAATGACAAAAGATGTAGTTTGACATTGCATAGAGTCATTGCTGATGATAGTCAGACACAAGTTGTTCACAGACGAAGGTATTAAAGTTTTATTAAAGTTTGATAAGCTAGGAGCAAGTAGGAAATGCAGCGTTACCTGAATAAAATGACAGATTTATCTCAGTTTGAACATTGTTAGAAACATTTGGGATAATGTAAGAACACAACTCAACTACATACAGAACACAGAGCTAGAGTTTATACACTGTTTAATGTGGAAATGTTACAGATTAGAGCTTTAAAGCAACTGAGGTTGTTCCCAAAGACTTTCAAACTAGGGATCCAGGATATGGATTTTTGATCATTTGCGATGTGGTTTGGTTCCGTCATCCAAGCTCCTTCAGAGTGTCTTGTTGTTTACTTGTATATTTTGTCCATTAAAAGGCAACAAAACGTTGTGTTTCTCCACATCAAACCTCATCTTGTGAAATTTGATCCAGAGTCTGCATGGGGTATTTTATTTAGAAAATTTACCAGATTGTCTATGTCTGTGTCTGACTTCCTGTCAATGTGATCTGCTCTGAATGGGTCACAGCTTCCATCAAAAAAATTCCATCTCAAATTCTCCTCGGAGAGCCCCCTGGTTTATTGATATGCTTGGAAATTTTAATTGGAGAATTTAAATGGACACATACTTTGGTTGTTTAATTGCAGGAAACTATGTATAAGACAAAGAATGAGGCTGTTAAAATTCAAAGCAACTGAAAGTCCTCCTTGCTAGCTTGCTCACTCCCACTGTGATGGCTGTAGTAAGTTTGTAATTTCCTCCTCCACAGAGAGTAACTTTAATCAGCTTGAATTCTTGTCACTTCAAATGGATTCTGACGGTGACATGTTTTAATATCAGAATGTCGATAAGAACCCAGAACACAATCCACTTTCCCTCCATCCGTCCATAAGCACAGTATATTCAAATCACTCACTTCATGTATCTAACCGCAGCCTTTGTGCTCGCTGCAGAGATCTTATGCCTTTCAAACCTACAGGAAATGAGCGTTTGACCCGTAAAAGCTTTGACAACATAATTAGAAATTAATTTTTAATTGACTACCGTGTTTCTAAATGCTCACTTTTGCTTTAAAGAGCGATGGATAATGATCAACCTCGAGCTCACTGGCGACTGACTGTGTAAATGGATTCTATTCTTTACTACTTGTTATGCAATCAGCATGCACAGATAAGTAAAACCAGTCCATTTCACAGCACTTTTTAATGGCACCTTTTTTTTTTAAATGAGCTCTTTAAAATCGCCCAAGGGAAGCAAAACAAATTGTGCTGGTGTTTGTATCACCCTCTCATTTTCTCATTGTTGAACCGCATCGCTAACTGCTTTCGCCACGAGGCATCGGTGAGGCATGAAGCCTGCCGCTTTTTGATTAGTCTTATTTACATGATGAAACCTCAGCTCCAACTGGAATGACCCACTCGTCACTTAAAGCACTTATCTTCTCGATGTGAACGGCTTCAGTCAGTTAAAGTGAAATGGAAACGCAGAAATGGGTTCAAAGTGAGTGGATTTTTTTGTTTTGTTTTTACAAGTTTAAATGTTCAAAATAATCAAGATACACAAATTTGAAACCACTAAAACTCACATTGCATTCATTTCATATTTACAATATGTACCTTCAACCTCCATTATGACAACAGCTCTCATCAAAAATTGTAAGCACCCAAATAAATAATGTTTATTTATTGATTTTATTGCTTCAATCACCTTTTTGCCTTCATGTATGTGTAACCCATAACTTAGTCCATGATTTCTCCCAGAACATCTGGACCTCTAGTGGTGTGTGACTGTGTTGCAATTGCAGTATTGATTTTTTTGATTTTTTTTCGTTAAACCAGACAAACGGACATTCTTGTATTATAATTATGGTTTTCAGAAGTAAAATAAAAGCTTAACAATTAGAGGTTAACATTTTTGTGTCCGAGTCTTCAATCAAACTCGACAGAAACAAAGTAAAACTCACCAGAACGTTGGTTTGTTCATGTTTCTTAATCCATCCAATAGTTGTCAAGATATTTCCGTTTGTGTAACAACAGACTGACATTGCCATGGAAACTAGCCTGGCAAAAAACAAAACAAATGTTCTAATTAATCTGTGTCCTTTGTTTTGAATATCTGTCATTTCGCATACAAGGATGTGATGTATGTATTGTTTTTACAACAGAATATAATTAAACTAAATCCATCCAGGCACCCACACTCCAGTTGCCACCAGAGTTCCCCTTCAGCACCTCATAAACACAACCCAGTAATTAGTCCCGTCTCTCTCTACATGTGTCTAACTCTTGGATTTAACACGTTTGGGAAGCTGAGGGGGAAAGCCGCTCTTGTGTGTGCCAGCTGCCAACATACCTCCTTCCATCTGAGCCATTACCCCCTGGAAAGGTTAGGCACAAAATGGGAGGAAATTACCAGGTAGAATGGCGGGGGGCTTTCGGTCAGCAGTGTGCCGAACTGTACCGAGGCAATTTGTTGCAGTGGACAATGATAGGGTAGCGAGAAGCGCTACTCGACTGCGAGGAGACAGAGGAGGCCTCTCCAGAGGACACTCTACGCTTGTTTGGAGGGACGAAATTATAGGCTGAACAGAAAAGGGGTGGCTCTCTAATGGTTTTTATCATTATCACCGTTGATTTCCAGTTTGTGCCCATGTAAAGATATGGCGGTATTTTTACTGTCACTGGAAACGTTCGTGCCATCGCAGACCTCGAGTAAAGGGTGAGTGTCTGTTTTTCAGTTCAGCTTCTGTTGAGTACATCAGTGCAGGCTGTAAGAGGTGGATTGAGGACAGTTTTTATCTAGTATCTACCAATAAAAGCCCAAATACTTAGATTTTAATACTTAAATACCACCAGTAAAAGTTAGGGCTGCGTATTGGCAAGAATCTGATAATATGATACGTATCACGTAGGGCCGACCCCCAATAGTCAACTTAATCGATAGTCAGTGTTAAGAGTCTGTAATCGATGCATGATCATTAGTTTTACAGTCGCAGAACAACAAACTCTGTTTGGGAGCTGCTCCTTGTCACCGAGACCAAAGTATCAGAGGATTATATTGTGTTTAGAGTTGGTTGAGCTGAATTAGGGTACTGGCACCTTTTTTTTATCCAATTCAGGCACAACTTTATTTGTTTCACCCCCCCACAGCCCTATCACATCAGCTCTTCATCAACACAAGTGTTCATGTTCGACATGTGTTAATTGGAATTGATTTTAACCTGGATGTAATTTAACACTGTTCATTAAATAAAGGAGGATTTTTTTCACACTAGTTCTTTCATACAGGACACAATGAACCTGGAAGTGTTGACGCTCAGGCTTAGTCTTGTTTGGATTCATACTACTTCCATTCATCACTTCTAGCTTTCTATTTTGACATCTCTGCATGCGCGCTAATTAGTTTTCACACATTTTCAAATTACACTTGGTTCAGGTTGGTGTCCTGTGCAGTCACCCTGTTGTAGTTGGTGGTTTATTAGTGACAATACATTTACTAAAAATCAGCCTCAAACCAATTTGTATTGCTTTTTGTGTGTTTATTTTCCACCTAAACACAAATAAGTTTTTTTTTTTCTTACCAAATGATTTTTTCTTTGTTTTATAAGTGAGCTGATCTTCTCAACAAACTTTGTCAGCTACTGCAGAAGTCCCCCTGATTTGGTATCACCTCAAGATTCATAAATGTCTGCTTTCGGGTCTTGACTAATGCTGGTTTTGCCCCACAAAACCAAAATATGGTTTTTGCTTTCTGATTTTTATCCTACTTTAGCTTAAACACATCACCACAGCTAATGTGGCTGTATGACACAGTTTTAGCTAGCAGACTATAACTATACAGTGAACTTGATAGGCAACGTTTCCCCAAAAATAACTACCAGGTATAATGAATGGAAATTTCTAGAAACATAAAAGTTTTTTATTATGTATACACTTAAACAGGGTTCCCACGCATCCTGGAAACACCTGGAAATTGATTAAAATGACCAAATATCCTGGAAATTAGTTGTCCTTGAAATTTTTAATTGTATTAAAGCCCTTCACTCAGATCTACACCTGAGATTGCCCACGTTTTTAGTTTGAAACTTAACAGGCATCTGATCTATTTTTTCTGGAGCTGCAAGAACTGAATTCTTACAAAAGCCAAGGGGAAAAATGTCTTCTTGTTGTGGATAATAAATATATGCACAAATGAACCTGTGACACATCATCACAAACCTGCATCATTAAAAAAGGAGGAATAAAACTGGAGTTAATATTAGACATACTGGAAAATAATATGACAAGGTGTATTGTCAAGAAAACTCCTGGAGAATGTTTTTCTTAAAAAGAGCGGGAATCATAATCTCATCATCTCTAAGACAAATGACACTCATAAATGTTCCTCTCATCTTCCTCTAGTTTGTGAAGTTTGCCAACATCGAGGAGGACACACCGTCCTACCACCGCCGCTACGACTTTTTTGTCTCCCAGTTCAGCGCCATGTGCCACTCCACGCATGAAGATACTGAGACCAGAACCAGGTAAGAAGAGATATATCTGCTCCTCCTGCATTCATTCATTTATAGGTATTTCATCATGTTTTGGGATCCCTCAGGGTTCAATGTTGGGCCCCTTACTGTTCTTGATACACATGCTGCCACTAGCTAAATGTTTTCCAGTATTCAATCTGAGAACTTCCTGCATATCTTCAGGACTTTCATAAACTGTTTGTAACTTAATGAAAACTGAAGTTGAACTAAAGGTGTTGTAGTTCAGTGCCAACTTTTCCAGCTTAGAACAGTTTTTATAATTAAACACTTTCTGCCTTCATTAGAGCTAAAGAAAGGTGTTTCCTGTACTAATATCCTCCTGATTTGACTATTTTACTGGACTATTTTATAATTGATCAGACAGACAGACTACTGAGTGCTAGTTACTTTACTCTTTTCAAAAGTATCGACACGTAAACGCTGAACCGCCTTCCTGTAATAAAGCTGAGACACTTCACGAAGGAGGAATATGTGTTAATGCTAGGCCTACTGGTAAATTATAATGAATGATTTATTAAAGAGTGGGAATCCTGTAGATGAAAAGCACACCTGGCTCAAACTGATGACAAGTTCTTTTAAACAGCGTCTGTTATTCAGAGACATATACAGAGTCTAGCTTGTAAATTACTGTTTTAACCTGCGGTCTGCCTGTTGCCTGTTTATTGTTTTCTAATGATCTGTCTGTCTGATTTGAGCATTTCCATGTTCTAAGCTAGCTTTCTGCTTCGTGACGTGAACGATTCAAATCAGTAGGAGGGTGACAACCAAAGTAATGAGGGTAAACTTGTAATATTATTATTTATTACTAGTCACTGAGGAAAGTAATATTATAGTAATGCCTTGATTTTTTTTCTGTTGTGGTAGAGTCTGGAGAAAGCTAGTAAGAGGATCTTGAGATGAGATATTTTTCTAACTTAGCTCCTCATTCAATTGCTTCATTTTATAATCCTCTGTGTTGAAATACTCACCCTGGCTCGTCTGCCAGATGGAAACACTTTGATGCTCTACACCCCTAACATTTGAGTGTTGAATCTCACCGCTGCGTTCCAGCATTAATGAAATCCCCACAGCTCAAAACAACACGACATATTGATTACTGATTAAACCCGGGGAGAGGCTGCATCACTCATAAAGAAGAATGACTATAGACGGTTCCCTCTCTCCGATTGATTCTTTCATTATCTTCATTTTAAAAACAAAACTAATCTAAATGTTGTTCCTAAAGTGAGGCGGTCCGCGAGAAAATGATGTATTGTTTAATTTCACTCTTTAGCTCCCCGGAGCAATTGTTAGCGCCGTTGACATTCATGCGGAAACATCTGATTGATCATTGACACTGAAAATAGTTTCTCTGATTACTTGTCTTCATGTGGTGAAATTTAGCTTTGAGTCAGAGAAATCAGCTGTGTCAGTTAAGCCCCGTCTTTGTGTAAAATTAATTACTTCACAATGTCTGCCGTTGCATCTGTTTTTGGTTATTATGAAGACATTTCACCATCTGCATCCACCATTCCAGCTCTTTTAATGCAGTGATGGATTGTACCGACAGCACATGTAGCTGCAAGAGGGGGTGTAAAACAATCTCCACAAGTGCAGGTCTCATCCCACTTAAATCCAGTGAATACAGAATAGAATATATCTGCTCCTGATCCATATTTCATGGCCTTCGCCCTCCCACTGAGACTGCATGGCTCACTAACACTACTGCAGGAGAGCCTTGCTGCACTCGACCGGATTTAAAACGTTTAAAAGACGCGCTGAGGATGAAATGAAGAGAATAGCTCGATTTTAAATGATGTGAAAACTTGAGTGATTTACAGAGAAATGGGTTTAATCAAGCAAAGATGAAAAGGGGGTCGGGGGGCTGAACCATATACATTCAAAAATGGGCGCAGCAGTTTCAGAGCGGAGGCTGGTGGAGGTGGGCCAACCTCTTCTGATTAGAGGAAGTTAACTCTTAACTGTTGTGTAGTGTTGTATGTCAGCATTTGTCTTAAAACATACAGGCTGATTTAAAACAGTGGAGGGCGTGTTCAGACATTTTTAACCCATGAAAAGCAGAATTTCATACATTTTGGTAATAATGTAAATAATCCAGGTTATATGGTGAAGGAGCTTTTAAATAACATGAGATCAGGGAGTGCAGCAATATCACAGCCAACATCTGATACCAGAACACCTTTATCAGAATCTGAAAAGATGAACGCGGTGTGGAGTATACTCTGTGTAACAATGTAGTTGTATTAGCTAATGGGCAAGGTGTATGGAAGACATGAAAACAGATAGAGCCAGCACCAATCTGAGACTGAGGGAAGAAGATCATTTGAGAGAAATGGGTTGCACACAGCAAACTTTTGAGACAAGGGTACATAAAAAAGCAAATCCTCGAGATCTGTAGTTGAAGAGAATAACAATGATGTTGGGAGGTGGGAGACTTCACAGGAAAACCCATATATCTTGAGATCAACACAAAATCCTTGATGAAAAGAACAAAGTAGAGTCTGGAAGTCCGGGGATGTGAACACGTACTTTTTTGGATATTTGGTGGTAGACCGATTCTTGTCAGAGTTATGACTCACAGACATACACACTCTGCTACACTGCTGATAATTTATTAGATGTGAGAGATGTTTCATGTCATTGAGAGTTGACAGAATATTACAAACTTCTCTCAGTATAACAGAACAATTCAACATCCTTACAAACATTACTGTAGCCTGAAAGTTAAATCAACACCTCAAACATTTTCAACAAATACTGAACATTTGCAGTTCCCTGAAAGGATGATTTGCTGCAGGACTGATGTATTAGAGTTCATTGTGGACATTACTGTTAGTTTTATAGTTTCTTTATGAATTATATCACCTGTTCCAGTGAGATCCCACAGGGTTCACTGTGGGGTCCCTTATTGATTTCACAACCTCATTACCTTGTGTGTCTGTTTTCTGTCCTTTTAGATTTTTACATTCCGATATTAATGTATTTATTACCACATATTGTGTACGTTTGTAAGCTTATAGCTCTCAAATGTTTTTATTTTTGTCATTAACAGCATTTTCCTTGCTTTTATGTGTCCTCTGTGCTTGTGTCTGTTGATGTGGGTGGCGAGCTGCTGCATACAATGCCCTTACAAGGATAAATAATGTTGAACTGAACTGAAGTAAATGTTGCCAAGTGTACTCTTCTTTGGCAAAAAAAAAAAAAATGTATGTGAATTGTTGCACAGAATGAGCTCTATTATAGCCAAGCAATATCTAATTGGAGCACGCCAAATGTGGAAAAGATCTGGACTGAAAAGCCAAATAATAACGGTAATAGAGTAATTGAGCAGGTGAATTTTTAAAGGACTCTTGATTAAAGTGAGAAAAAAAAGCCTCCCTCATGCAAAATAGGCTCATTTGTAGAAAATACTAATTTCCTCCACAGGCTCTATTATTCACCTGTTATGTGGAGCAATTTCAAATCAGTAGTTTTGCACTTTTAATGAAAGAAAAATTAGCCAGTTTAGGGAGCCAGACGTCGGGCAAACATTCAGACGAACTCTCTCTCTGCCTGCTGGACAGATTGTTGGGCTGGTTAAAAATAGCTCAGCGGCAGTGGCGGTGAGGCTCAGGTGAGGCTGTGACACTGTATAGCACATTACAAGGCGCCTTCTCCCACAGAGACGCCCACCCTCTGACTCCAATACACATCAGCGGTGTATTAAAACAATACCTGAAGACTTCTCTCTCTCTCATTCAGTGCAAAAATAACCTCCCTCCTCCAGTAGTGCTGCAGTCATTTGCAAAAATATTGCTGCAGCAGCTGAGACCAGTGTTGTGCCGAGCATCTGTGTGCATAGAAATGCACTTTAATCTCCATTTTGTGTGTGTGTGTGTGTGTGTGTGTGTGTGTGGTACAGTGAGAGCTAGGGGATGCTGGGATTATTTTCGAGTTGGCTTGATACCTTACCGCCACCACGCTGTAAACAGTATGACTTCTCACTTTGCTTTTTTCCCCCTCCCATATTTCATTATTCCATTCGCCGGCGTCTCGCTGTAGGTGGAGAGGAATTCCCAAATAGAATTTCTCCGGTGGTTATTGGATTAGGCCTGAGGCGAGGTCACCCGCCCTGTTTTTCATATTATTGCTCATACTGTTGTTTATGTGGGAAACGGCGAGGAGAGACAGAAATAGTAAATGGTGAAGTCGGACTCGCCGGGCTCCGATTGGTCCGGAGAACAATGGCGCTCTGCAGACTGTCGAGGCTTTTCTGTCTGGCAGATTGGAGAGTGTGTGTATGTGTGTGTTTTAGTGTGTGTGTGTGTGTGCGCTGAAATTATATTATATTGAAACCAAGTGTTATTACGTCGACTTGAAGTTGAGAGAGACAGAGTGAGTCAACCCTGCAGCTTCAGTAATATTAGAAACTCTCAAACTGCATAAGGAGTATTTTGAATATTATATATTATATATATATTTAGTGTTTTCGGGTCGTTCATCTAACATAAAACTAAGTTTCTGGTTATTTATTTTTTTACATATAAGCAGCCAGGCTCAAGGAACGGAAATATCAGTTGGTAGTTTTGTTTCTGACAACTTGACCAGAGTGAAATACAACTAATTGATGGATTCAGAACGTTGGCGGTTCGATCCCCGGCTCCTTCCTCTGAATAGCAAAACACTGATAATAATGTTCAAATGTTAGTTTGTGATGAGCAGACACCTTGAATGGCAGCTTCTGTCATTAGTGTGTGAATGGGTAAGTGTTTGAGTGGTTGGAAGACTAGAAAGGTGCTTTACAAGTACAGTCCAACTGAGATTAATTCTAATTCTAACATTGCATTGTTAACAACATGACGACATGCTTAACTTTACACGCTAGACATTTTGGTATTTTGGTACATTTGGTAACATGCTAAACGTTAGCATTCTGCCATGTTCACGGAACACATTAATTTAACTTTGAGTTTTAGTTGACTTAAACTTGACTTAAACTTGGAGTTTGAGAAACACTGTGGTTAAAAGCAACCAGAGGAGACAGGACAAAAGACAAATCCAAACCAAAGCACCTCCCAAATACTTTTTACAGACAGTTTAACATCACTCTACATGGTAAAAATACTGCTTTTTGTTAAAGATGTTGTCTTTATGCCTGAGAGAAAGGTCACAGAGGAAATCTTTAAGAAAGTATAAACCTGTTTGAACCAACAACCAAAGCTGCCACTTTTCCAATTGTATCCTTGTTCAAAACTCAAAACGGAAATCAGAGTATAGAAACATACCATCAGCATCCAGATTATATGTGTGTGTTAGTGTTGCTGTAGTCTCGTCCTGAGGGGGTTTTGGACCTTTTCATGTCTAACAGTTACCAATGCGTCTGTGTTCAGGATCCGAGTGGCCGGGATCAAAGGTCTGCAGGGTGTGGTGAGGAAGACGGTGAATGATGAGCTTCAGGCCATCATCTGGGAGCCACAGCACATGGACAAACTGATCCCGTCCATGCTGTTCAACATGCAGGACAGCGAGGACCTGGACAGGTAATGCTTACTAACACATCAGTCTTTGTTTAGTCTTTGTGTTATAATATTAGATCGTCTGAGGTGAGAATTATTGGAGGTGACCTCGAATCTCAGTCAATTATACATGCACTGCTTTTCTCACCTGAGGCAATCAGAAAGGTAAACCACTCCTGAGTTTCCTCCACCGTCGAGAATAAAGGTCCTTTTTTTTACCTGATATCCCACAATTCACCTGTGACCTTCACTGTTTTATGAATGCTGGTCTCAGAGACTAATGGAGCCAAATACACTCGTTACATCTGTCCTCTCTTCCTTTTCCCTTTTCACCCCTCAAAATGTTTGTGTACTGTGTGTGTGTGTGTGTGTGTGTGTGGAGGGGTTTAATCCATCCAGACTCTTCCTCTGTACACCAACAGATCTCAGATCCCTCTGGTTTCATTCTGCTCTGTGATCCTCAGGCAGCATTTAAGCCTTAAAATCCAGTTTCCGAATCAGAGTCAGTGAGTCCTGTGAACCTCCAGAATCCTCTGTAAACATAAACCCTGACCACGAAACATCCTCGTCAGCCTCGTATAGATTAGAAGATCAGATGTCACTCAGCTTTCTGTGGCTGTAATAAAGCTCATTGTTTTGTCTTATTCACCCTGAAAGTACCCAAAAGTTCAGTTTGCTGGGTTTAATATAACAGATGTCCATCTCTCTAAACAAATACAGTACTTTATAAAATGTATTGTGCAATATTTAACAATGAGGGGGAAGAAAACAACGTACTTCAGATTTTCGCCTGATCATAACTCAAATTTGAAAAAGACTCTCAGCAGCTTTTTATTTCTCTCCCAAACATTTCTCTTATCATATCTGAGCAGTGTGTTCTGGGGACAGCATGAGATTTATTGCTCGTACACTCTGCTGTCTCAGCGTTGTTGTTTTTTACCTCCTAACTGTCACTTTGGGTAAACGTGGAGACTTTAGGAACTGAGGCTGCTCAGATGAGTCCAGGAGGTGTTCAAGGTTAATGCAGCACGGCGTTGTATGAAGGTTTGTACGAAATGCAGCATCGCAGATTTTTCGGTCTGTAGTCGCTACAGAAGTTGACGGTTCGTCGCCAGTGGAAAATTACTTTTTAGACTTTTGTTTCCCCAAGAATATATTCAAAAACAGTTTTATCCACTTTAGAAGAAAATGGTTTGTAAGTAAAGACCTCAAGTTTCAGTGTTATAAGGTTTTTTTCTTTTGACAAACTCATTGTACACTGGAAAACAACAAGCCAAATATTCTGAAATATTTTGAAATTTATGCAATGAGATGTAAAGACTGTAAATGAGCCTTAAAACTAGAAAAAAAGGCCAAAAATGAAAGCAAGTTGTGTTTATTACAAGCAATGAAAACTCTAGTATTGCTGTCACTTTACTGAGCTGAATTTAAAAGTTTGTACCTTTTTAATCTACAATAAGACACAATGTCTTCAAGCAGCATAATAAAAATAAGTGACTTAATTGAAGGAATCAGAAACATTCTTATTTTGATCATTTTTTAAATTAAAACAGTGAAAAACTAAACAGCTGCTTCATTTCTCACTTGCTCAATATTAGCTGTAATATCACATTAAGATATTCCTAATGCAAAACCTGTTTGACAAGATACTTTATTTTTTTTGACTAAAAATAAGACTAATTTTTCAGTCTTTCTACTGTATTGATTCCTGCTTTGCAGTGTAGTCTTTTGTCTTTGTTTGACCTTTAAAATGTTTATCATTCCCTGCCCGCAGTGCGGAAAGAGTCAGGATCTAAAGTAAATCCTGCGGTTGGATCCGATGTAAGTCGCTCTGGATCGGAGCGTCGCTTGAAGGAATACAAACCATCGCCTGAACTCGATCCCGGGATTTAAAGCCTCGGTTTCCTGCCGCCTCCGCACGCCTTGGATCTCATTATATCCGTTCAGTCCTCAAACCCAGGCCCGTGGTCCAGGGTAAGGAGGAAATCCTTGCGATGTATCACACTAAGGAGTTTTCTCTTTTCACCCGGAAGATTTACAGCGAAGATCAACGAATCGGGATGGGAAGCTTAACGCTGGGATCTGTACACTTCACCTGTCGGCTCACCTTTACTCCTCTTTGTTTATTCTTGTCTTTACTCTCCATTCCTCCTCTTCTCTTCTTCGTTTTTACAGCTGTTTCTTCCCCTTGTTTCCTCTCTAAGTGATGTTCTTTGACAACAACACTCACCATTTATCACTTAAGAGGAAGAATCAGGGAAAATAATTGCAAATTGTACCCAAAAAAATACATATTTATTAAAACAATAAATAAGAAATCCAAGGATTTGAAGCGATTCTGTGCTTCAGTTTTTTCTTTTCTCTTCCAGTAGAAATACCTGAACACATGCAGACGTTGAACTTTTCACCGAACATAAGCTCCCAAATAAAATTACCAACATTAGGAAATCCAATTTAATCATTATTAGTCCCAGGTAGGCAGTTTGTGCTGCAGCAAGCATGAAAGCACATAAGAAACAAACACACAGCAATCTGCACAGCATTGCTTACTCCAATTCACCGTGAGTCATTTAAGTTCCTCTGGGGTGGACTGTAAGTGTCCACCGTATAACCCCTCAGAGCCTCTAAATATATAGAGAACATTCAATATTGTCCCCTAGCAACATTTTATTTTAATTCACCAGCAACAGTGACTCGTCTCTGCAACTGTGGACACAAGATCACACTACAAATAAAATTTATGAAGCTCAGTATTAAAAAATCATCATCATCATCATCATCATCATCATCATCATCATCCTCACAGAGCAGTTACCTCCTACCTGAAGCAATCCTTGTAGTCACACCTGCTGTTGTTGATATTTAAGTTAGATACACAGAATTAGTCAGATGAATTGTAAAAACTAATAGTTACTGAAAACAATGTGACATCAATATTCAATTCAAATTATATTTTTGCATCTTAAATCTTAAGACTTAAATCAAAGTATTAAATTATATTTTCTTAGTGTCTGTAGCTCTTCCTGCCAAGTAACATCCTCCACCTACATTGTAAAAGAATAAATAAAAAGCTTTACAGTAGAACTTACTACTATTACAGTAAAAGGACATTAGTACTGTTGATTTTCAGTTCATTTTATTCTGTTTTAACTTCTGATGGTTATTATTTTACCATCAGAAGAAACTGTTTTGCCACATGTAATATAAAAAAAGACTTTATTCTGTATAAATTCCTTGAAAATGCCATATAAATAAAGGTTTTGCCTGAGCTGTGATGTTTATTTTTACTGTTACAGAAACTGTTTACAGTCTTTTACCATCATAGTTTGACAGTTTTTGACCATAAAACATTTTTTACAGTGTATCAGAGTGTCAACGGCGAAGATAGCCGCTTAGAAAGTTTCAGATGAAACAAATCAAAATCAAACAGATAAAACTACAAACATCACAATATTAAACAGATCTTCCTCTTTCTTTCTCTTCTTCTCTCTTTATCTCTTTTATTCTCCTTGCCACTCCTTTCTTCCTCGCTCTCACTGTGGCTTCCTCTCCTCTCCGTCTTGTTCGGGTGGTTTCCATGTGAACAAAAAGCTATATTTGGACCTTGTATTTTTTCTCCCTTTTTGTCTTCTTCTTCTTGTTCTGCTTGCATTTCTGAAGCTCCGACAACTTCCTTCCATCACACGTGGAGGAATTGAGGTGTTACGATGCGATCTGACTGCGGCCGTAGCCTTCGTGTCATTTTTTGGACATGGAGTTTCTGTGTCGCCGTCTGTCAGAGTACATTGTATAAATCAATCACTCTGAAAACTCTATTGTCTAATCTATTGTTATGTCCTGTTAGATTGTACTGCAAATAAACAGGCAGCATTCAGCAAATACAAAATCTAATTTAAGTAACAGCAAGATATAGAAAAAAGTACATTTAACAAAGAAATAAAAAAACTAAATTAAAAAATGTTTTATTTAAAAAGGTATTCCTTTATATATTCTAGCTTATGAAGCTCAGAACCACAAGTTGAATCTTGGATGGAAATGGTTAAAGAAACTAATTTGAGCTAATTTGGTGGAAATCTCTTGGTCCACACTCCTCTTTCCAATAGTTCCCATTAATTTTACCTCCACTCACTGTCTTATCATCACGTTAGCTCCTAACTAATTACGGATGTATGTGTGCTACTACGCTACGTATACGCTGATATTGAAACAAAATATTACAGGAAATGCAAATGTAAACCACATTTCACATTTGCATTTCATTCAAAACTTTAAAGTGATGATTTTGACTTGATTATATGTTTTGAAATGAATTTATTTCACTTAATAAATACCACCACTGGAACAGTTTGTGAAACTGTGCTTTAAGTGATTTCACTTAAAGGTACCCTGTGGAGTAACCACATTAAAATGCATTGAGGTCTGACAAATGTTTTACATTTGCAAAGATGATTCATTTTTTTAGATTTTGAAACCTGTTTCCATCCACAGTTCCTTTTGGCACTTTAACGTCAGCAACTGTTGATCAGCAGGTTCGCTTAAAACCTAGAGCTCACATAGCCCCTCATGTAATAATAGAAATGTAGACCTGCTGTGTCCTTATGCATGTGCTTGTTTGGGGACCTGTTCATTAAAACATTGCTCCAGACCTCCATTAGTGGTCAAATCCTTCACCTTTAATGTTCAGGAGGGATTGAGATTATGTGACTGTGAGCAGAGTTGTTAGTGAGCTACCTGCTGAGACAATCTGAGGATAATATGAATATAAATACTGGTTCGCAAAAAATAAATTTGTGTTCTTTCTTCCTTTTAACTGTAAATTTGCATAGCAGGCCTCTCTGATGAAAAGTGTCACACTGCACATCAAAGAAATCACCTTGAGAACAACCTTCGCCAACTGTTATTAGCACATGAAAAAGACATTATTTTCTTTTCATATTATGCCAGTGCCCTGCAAGCTCTCCTTTCTACTGAGTTCTAATCAGTTGAAGTTATATGTGTGAACCCATGAAGGGTCTCAAACAACACGAAACAATGTCCTTCAGGAAAATACAACCTGGGCTAAAATCTGTCCCTCAGAAGACCTGAAGGTCATTCTGGATCTGCTGCTCAAACCTCACAGAGAACAACTAATCCTCATACGACAAAACACTGCCTTCAAAAATAACTTAAGAGTGTTTTCTGATCTTCCACCACTTTGGTTGAGGCTTTGTTTGGTTTAGGGAACTAAAACTACTTGGTTATGGTTGGAGAAGAAATGCTTTCATGGTTCAAAGGTCTTTCCTCTCTAAAAGGTCTTGTGTCATGAAAACGTCACTCTGCTTCTCTTTTTGAGATCCATCAAATCAGCTCAATTAACCACATAACGTAATCAAACAATCAACTCAACTGGACTTTTGTAAAGCTGTCATATCATCCATCTTTATATATGTTGATGAGTCAAGCTCTTGTGTCTCAGTACCGTTCTTTGCTCTTCTTTCAATGAAGGAATTATACTCTGAAACAACTGAAGCTAGCAGCAGCTACTATGGTTGTGTACCGTTTACATTTCAACCAACATCAGTACCTTGAATTTTTGGTACTTTATGCTTTCTGTAACAACAAAAATGTAATTTAAGTTGTAAAGTTGTGAACTCTTTTTAATACTGCAGCGCTTGTATATTGTAATAATTCTACTGTAAAAAGTCTGCACTTCCCCTAATATTGTTTTATTTTAAGGTTTCAGAGTTACTAAAAAATAACACTACATAATAATCACTTCAAGTTGATCAGCACACTTTCAAACCTCCAGACATCAGAGCCTAAAGAGCAAACCTAACCAAGGTACCTTCCCAAACATTATTTCACACAGGCATACTATCCTAATTAAAATCATAATAAAGTTTATAATAAAGCCCCGTTATCTCCAGCAATAACGTGTCCAGCTAGCTAATTAATTACCTGAAGATGTCGATGTAGTTGTCTATACCTAACTTAAAGTTTCTTCGTACCTGTAGTGTTCAACTTCCGCTTTGGATTCTAGTGTGATCTCCACACAGTCCATCTGCCTTGCAAGGTTACCTCCACACAGTCCAGCACCTTTGGGATCAGTTGAAGCTTGCAGTGGGTTTTTTTGGTCAAGATCTTGTGATATACCTGCAGTCCTGAGCACCCAGGAAATATGACGTTTGTATGTTTTCCATCTTCATGAGCCTGCAACAGATTATCAAATACTGAGGCAATGAGAAAGGTACTTGCTTCTTCAGAATTTGTCTTTTTTGAGGCATTGAACGAAAACAGACCATTATTAAAGACATATTCCAGAAATATGGACCACCAAGGACCAACTATCAAGTCTCTGTGGTTGTAGACTCGAACCTCTTTCGAAACAGCCATTTTCTTATAGCTCTCAACAGATAACAATCTGTTCACCTCATCTTTCTTTTTAATCCCACAGTTTTGTTCCTTCCCTCTTCTCCTGCTCTTAACAGTCCAATCAACACATCTAATCTTTCATGATTTAAATGGAAATATAGCCTTCACATAATTAATAGATAATTTTGATGCATATATTCCTTCAGCTGCGGAGCGCTCGGCACCTCAGGGATCATCTGTGCGTTAATGGTAACTTTCCAGCCGTTTCTAATGGTCTTCCTGCGAGTTAATGAGCAGATCCTTCAGTCAGATCTGAAGGTGGAAGTCTGTGCTTTGAAGGAGAGGCAGGATGGGTGAGGTTAAACAGGAAGGACATGTCGTTAAATATTAAAATCTGACTTCAACTCTTTGGCTGTGTTGGCTAGATTTTATTTCCTAATTTAGTCTGAACTCTGATTCATTGCACCACTCGTCTTTACAGTTTCAGTTCTGTAGTGAAATTGTTTTAAACATCCCCTTTTTCATCATTTTATTAATGTAGGTTGTTGGTAACTTGTGTTTCTGTTTCGAGACCATTCATTTCACCTCAGTTACAACAAAATGAGCTAGTTTACTTTTGGTAATGTGTAGCAGTTCAGATTGTTTTGATGTCATTTTGATTTCTTCTGTTGTAAACTATGTTCTGTGATTTATCCAGAGTAATTTGGACACGGTTTCTGGAAAAAACAGAGTGGTCAAATGTCATTTTTGTTATGTTTTTAGTGCAATGAATTAAGTTTTATTCCCTTTTTTAACCTAGTTACAGACCTCCAAAATAACTTCAACATCTCCAATTTGTTCAGAGATTCAAATAACATCTCTAGCACCCCCTTAAAAATCCCAAGGATCGTTTCTCTTTTTTACGTAGTTCTTATCAAACTTGTTCAAGTGTTAAAGGTTTTTATTAGTTATTTGAAGATATAAAAAGGGGATTTCACATCATGATTGACAGCTGAGGCCTGCTCACTATTGAGTCGTTGCAAACTCCAAATGGCAAAGATGGCAGCGGCCGTATCCGGGACATTTTGGAAGTAAGCTTCGAGCTACATCCATGCAAAGTAATGATAGAAGAATGTCCCAAAATTACGCCAAATGTGAATTGGATTGAAGGTTGTCGACTTCCATAAATAACTCTAATATCAACAAATTTCTTTGATTAGGTGACAAAGGCTTAGTTAGCCGCTGTTAGCAACTGCTACAGCAACCAATGAAAATGATGTCAGCGCCAACCAAGATGGCAAATTCAGTCTGATTATCTTTCAGTTTTGTAATTGTTCAGATTAAGGTTGTCAGCGTTATTCACCTTATTGTCTCCCTTTTTCTAAAAGACAGTAAAGACATGTTTCATACATTTCTGTACAAAATGTCATGATCCATTTAACAGTTGTTGAGCCATTTCACAAACCAGCTTGAGTGGCTAAAATGTTTCAGGGATCTTAAGTGTCAACAGTAAAAGTTTTTGCGTCTCTTCCTGTAAAACAAAAGAGCAACAGCTTCATTCAACAGTCATTTAGGCATAAATTAATTAAGGAAGAGGCAGAGACACCAGTCAGACTGCAGGAAGAAATATTCCCCGTCTGACTCTGCTGGCTGTGATTGCATGGAGCTGTGTGTGATTGCACAAGTATGAACATGACAGTGCGATGTATGATGTATGATTACAGACGACGATCGTGATGATTACTGTGCCGTTTGGATGACGGTGATTGGGAGGTGATGCACCTCTGCAGCAGGTTTCCCACATTTTCAATGATATCCAGCTGGAATGACACTCGGGATCACACGGCCAACTAATAAACTCCTCTCACTGCTCATCAGTGGTCTGTCTGGAAGCGGGGGGAAGCCTTTGATTCCCTTAGAGAAATCATTACAACACTGATCCACGTAATTTTATACTTAGATTGTCTCCAGAACAACAGTGGCATTGGTCAATGCCTACTGCAACCTGTGGAGTACCGTTTTGAAGCCTTGAGTTTGGCGTTATGGTCATCGCCATGTCAGTTTGTCAGAGCCAGTGGAGGTGATGTACTGCGAGTTGAGCTGCTCTCATTTGCTCATGGACAGATTTGTGGAGAGAAATAGTCAATGCAGTAACAGAATCTGGATCCATATCTGATCAGCACTGCCTAGGTTGACAGTTTGATCTAAGTTTGGTGCGTTGAGCTGGACGGACTCACTGAGAATGAGCTGTCAATCCCCACTCTAAAGCATACCCTGCTTTATGGTTTGTTTTACTCTAAATGGGACCATCATTTACTAAATGAACATCATGCTGTATGGAAGAAGACTGAAACTAGAGACTCAGACCATAAACTCATCAGGAAACTGTTTACCAAGCTCATAAATCAACTGAGAAGTCGGCTCATTTCTCCATAAGACTGAATGGTATTGCAGCCAATAGAGATGCCCCCTGCTGGAATTTACATAGAATGCAGGTTTAAATTAACTAATTTCCATGGATTTTGCAGTAATAAGGGCCATACCAGCAGTTTAAAAACACTGTTCTCTTTGTGTTGCATAGTTTTTTAATGATTAACATCCTTCCCTACGACCGTTTGGTTTATCATAGCTTGTTTGAAGGAAACAGCTAAGACTGAAACAAACAGGAAATGTGCCTCTAAAAAACGAAACTAGAAGCTTAAATTGGGAAAAAAAGTTGAATTGGTGCAAATGATTTATCAGAAAATCTTTCCCTCAACAGGCTGTTCAGTTCAACTGTGCAGATCTTTGAATAGAAACATCCTGTAAATGGCAGGTGGGTATTTGTTCTGATGATGTTGCCTCTGTTTTCTGCCCATTCAGAGGCCGACCTCCCTCTTTCAAGCAGCAGCATCCTGTCAAACACAATGTCCGTCAGCAGAGTCGGGGTTTGTCAGTTTAATAGCGTGACTCAGCGCCCGGCACAAAAACACAGTTAGACGTCAGCTTCCAAGGGGAAGAACCATGTTTTTCTTTCCCGAGCGCACAAACACAATCTGCTTCGGATAATGTTGTTCCCAAACACCGCCGTGGTCAGTTTGACCCGCGGCGGTGCGTTTTGGGGCTTTCTAATCGAGCCTCGGTGGACCCGGCGGGAAACAGCGGTCAAGGGCGTTTGATTCTCTTAATTGCTTCTTGGGGAAAGGCGGACGTGGGCGGCGTGCAGAAACCAGAAGTGTGGAGGCTCGGAGAATGAAGAAGAGCTCTCCTTGTTTCACAATTAAATGCTTGCTTTTGTTCCCCAGCACACACACACACACACACACTGTTGTGTTTTAAGGCCACCTTGAAAACGACTTTGACCTCCAACGGTTTTTTTTCTCAATTCCCTTCTTCACTGACGTCGTTTCTTTTAGCCCCTTCAGAGCTGACCGCCTGAGTAAATACACACACGTGTGCTCTGATTCAGTGAGAGTGGAGAGAAGATAGTAAATGAAAAACAGAGGGAGAGATACAACAAAGAATCCCTGACTGAGTTGAACCAAGGACGTAACCTAAGTGTGGGGTACCTACAGTGGGATATATAGACTGAAACTGGTTCAGGCTCCGGCATCCATTGGTGAGCTTTAATGCCCACATTGTACCAACACTAACGCTCAGATTCTTCAACAAAGCTCTACTAGGGGTCTCCCCCAGATACATTAAACTTTAAATTCCTATTGTGTATTTGTTGAATCAGGCCCCCAAACTCTTGAATAACCACACTGTGCTGTTAAAATTCCCAAAATACCACTTTTTTAAAACTTCTACTTTCTGCGGTAAATGGTGTTTTTTTGGGCTTCAAATACTTGACTTTTTATTATTCTGGCATGTGTTTAGTCTTATTATATGCTGCTTACTGTAAGGATATTAATATTTAATCACCATCACATATTCACAGCCATTGCTGCCTTTCTTTTTACAGCTGCATCATTACATTAAATTGAAAATGTCTAAATATCCTGTGCATCATTTCCTACACATTTCCTTTGATTCATTATAACACAAGCTAAATGAAGCCCGTCCAGAATTTAAATTAGTGGTTGGTTCATGTTCTTTTACTCATTAGAAGTTTAACATTTGTTTTTCTGGAACCACCAACCATCTGAAACAATCTCCTCCTTTACTAAGTTACCTTTGGCCACTTCATTAAACAACACCAACCCACCTTCTATTACAGGAGAGATTTTCATTTTTTTTTTATCTCTGGCGTTCCTGCCTCTAACAAGCAATAAGCATTTAATTTCCCCTGAACCGCCTGTGTGGGCCGACAGTAATTGCATTGTTTCCCTCCTGAGACCTAGCTGCCTCCAGTCCATCTGTGACCGACTATTGCATTATTTTATCAATATAACGCATAACGGGAGGCCTGCTTGGTCTCCTGCCAGGACTGTGGATTCTTGGCAGCTCTGCAGGAAATGACAAACTCGTACAGAAGAAGTTTTATCTTGTAGAGCTGCAGGATCAACAAGGTGGCAGTGGAACAGAAATAGAAAGCTAATAGAGAGACTTTCTAGGAAAACGATAACGTGGGTTATTTAGGTCCGTGTTTACAGTGTCTTTACAAGTGACCTCTTGTGGTTAGCGTCCCGTCTCCTAGCTTCAGTCAAGTTGATTTCTTTTAACCATAACTACAGTATCTCTCATTGCCAAGTAGTTTTAGTTTCCTAAACCAAATATTGACAATAGAGGGAGCAGATTTTTGTTTAAATCTTATGGTTTGAAAGTTAGAAGATACAAATGATCTAAGCTGTCTTTGAGGACTTTAGCCAAACGTAAGTAGTTGGCAATAGAGAGTTGACACAAGTTTCGCTCTATTTACTATAAAACTGGATATTTTAACACTAAAATAACGTTAGAGAAAGGGACAGTATGGGGATTTCACAATAGTAGTACAGTACCTGTGAAATTCCATGATTCCCAAAACCAATTTGATACCATAGCAAAAATGTTTCTTCGGCCCCGATCCCTATTTCATATTACTGATACTGAGGCCTGTTCCAATACTGCATTAAGAAAAGAATTGCCCACATCCAAGCTGTTTTCTTATACTTAACTAACATAAGAAACGCTCTCTGTAATCTTTCTTGGTAATTTCTCTCTCCCTTTGAAAGTGTCCTGCAGAGTTTGTTGCTGTGGTGCAGCCTTCACCTGAGTTACCTGAATGAATGAACTGAGTATTTTTTCCCGTCATCTATTCCGTCATTATATTAATAAATTAGCTTTTTGTTTGCGCCGCTTTTGTTGTACTTGCAGTGGCGTGGTAACCGTGTGGCTCTCCACCGCTGTCTCTTGCACACACATAAAAAAGAGACAGGGTTGACAACGGAGCACTACCCACAAAAATTTTGCAAGTACATCACCTAAACAACCGCACTTGTCGCAGTCTTCATCATGTTCTTTTTCTACCTGTGGCATTTAATGGCCAACTAGAATATTTGTGTATGTGATATGATCTGGACCAAAGTTTAGAACTTGTGTTTTGTTGCTATTGAATTTTAGGAAGTTGGCTGCTATGATTGAAATTGGATAAACAGGAGTGCAACAGAGTGAGATTGTACAGTTCATGTGGTTTAAATGAAAGATTAAAACTGTATCATCAGCGTAACAATAAATAAATGATATGTCCACCTACAGTGAGAATAAAATTGGTCCCAGAATTGATCCTTGAGACAAAGACTTTTCTGTATAAAAATTAGAAACTGAAAAATTAAACTGACTACAAACATAATTTGCTTCTTCTTCTTCTGGTACATTTTTATATGAAACTCATATTCGGTCAGTCTTTAAATTAACGATTAATGAAATTAATGAATGAGTATAACAGTAGCTGATCTAAAACACCTCATCAGTGTGTTTTGACAATATTCATCTAACATTAAAATAATACTTTCCCTCTGTGCAATCAACCCTCCAGATTTAGATTAAATAAGTTCAAGAAAATACATGAATATGCTTATTTAATATAAATTCCGACCCTCATGGATTAAAGACGTTCTAACAGATATTAAGAAGAATCCATAATTAAACTGAAAACGTGTGACTCATAAATCCTGATTTTGGGTAAAGAATTGCATTGTTTGCAATCTCTCTATTTTTTGCAACGTACAGCTCTCGTCTCATCTCCTTCAGTCCATCAGGACGCTGATTTAATTGCCATTGACTGTCCACCCCCCTCAGTCTTCTCTTCCCCTCCATTTTCTTGATTCCTTTCTTTCATCTTTGTGTTTATCATTTGATTCCACTGCCTTTTGTCCCCTTCATCCCTTTTCTTCTTACCTTTCAGTCCTCTTGCATCATATTAATCAGTAAAATTTCGTTTTTATTGCAATGTTTCTTAAAGCAGCAGCAGCCGGGAACTCTGCTTCTTACTGTCTGTTTCTTCTCAGCAGTAGTCAGATTGTTCTTATTCAGGCAACGCTGTGTTTCACCGGTCGCCTGTCAATGGCGTCATATCCCCTTTGTGCTTGCGTCAGCATTGTGTCTGCCAGAAGCTGTCATACATTGACTGTTTATCCAGACTGAAGCCACATTTTTACCATCCACTGTTTAGATCTTGGTGCTTTTTAACTCTAGATTTGAACCGGATGAAGGATTTTAGTCATCAGACGTCTGGATCTTAAGTTATCAGAGAAACAAGCTGAGCTAATGTTAGCAGCATACTATAGATATCATAACCTGCGACCTGTTCAATGTTTTTCATCATTTTCTGACATTTTATGGATAAAACAGCTACAGCTCATCTGTAATGAAAATAATCATAAGCTGCAGCCCTATTTGAAGATGGCATAAAAATCAGAATAAGGACAAATACCAATGAAGGCACTGGCAGTTCAATGGTTGATCAATCATTCATCTGAACTGAGAACATATGATATTAGATACTGTTTCTTCCACACACATTTTTTTCAGCATTTCGATCTCCTGATGTGGACTGATTGACTCCACACACACGCGCACACACACACACACACACACACACACACACACACACACACACACCTATCTGATTGAGGCTGGTCGATACTCTTTCATTTGATTTCTCCCTTTTTTTTCAGCTGCTCTGATTGATTTCTTTTCAGTCTCTCCTCCATCTTTAGTCCTTCATTCTTCACTCGTTCTCTCTCTGCATCCATCTCTCTCATATCCTGAAGCTTTCTCTTTCCTGTAAATGTTATTGCACTCTCTCTTTGCAGATTATTTGTGTGCGATGTGAAGAATTGATTCTTGGCTTGTATTCTCATGCAGACTCATTCAGCTTCTTTTTAAAAAAAAAACTAAATAAGTTCGGTGATAAATAATTCTGCTGTTTTCCGTCCTTTTTAAGTTGATTTTAGGATGTTATAGAGAATTATAAGACGTTTCTAAAACAGCAGTGATCCAAGCTGCAGATTTTTTCCCCTTTCTAAACTGTCTGTCTCTCTCCGGCAGGGCGGGGCACCCCAGCACGCCTTCAGTGGCGGGTCAGGATGGCGAGGAGAACCCAGCTGCGCTGGCAGAGAGCTGCTTCAGAGAGCTGCTGGGCAGGGCAGCCTACGGCAACATGAACAACGCTGTCCGACCTGTGTTGGTGTGAGTACCTTAGCAGAGACGCAAACCTTTTAACATACATTAACATATTTGGTGTTATAGCTGTAAAGGACCATGTTTTACTACAACTGACTGAATGTTTCCTGCCTTCCACACAATTCCCAGTAATCACCATACAATGAAAATCCATTAGCAGACGTCCACTAGCATAATGGTAATGACTGTTCCAGGTATTAGTCAAGCCTTCAGGTGTTACCAGAGAAACGGAGTTATGGGTTATCTGACTCATTTTTTATCTTTTCTTTCCTTGAATTTGATCAATCATTGTAGTTTTACCTGCAAGTTTCAGTCCTCCACCCAAATGTTGAGCTATACACCACCAAACGAGCAATTTTATTCTAACTGGAACAAGTTGCCTTTGCAACTGTTTTTGCAATTTTGCAAGAAAAAAGCGTAAAAACATCACAACATGCGTCACAATTTTAAAAAATTTTAACTAAATTTACTTAGATAATGTAAGTAAAATGTTTCTTTCTTAAATCAAACCAAGATCAGTGTTTGATGGGTTGGAAGTGAGAACATGTTTCTCTCTCCATAAGCTCTTCACTTTACGTTTTGTCTCTTTGTAGCTAAATAATCGTCAGATTCAGATGTTTTGTGCATATGTGTACTATACCTGTCTGTCTGCTTATACCCTTGTGTTTTCATTTCCTGCAGTGACAGTATTCACACTAAAGAATTATTTTCAAGCTTTATTTAGTTTTCACCTAAATAGAGAAAATAAAAGGAAAGAAAGCTGTAGCTGTAAACATGCTAGTGAACCCAGCCTTAATGCAATGTACATAAAGATCTGCCTCCTTCTTCTCACTCTGCAGCTTTCAGACTCATAACCTCCTTTATTGTATGTAGGAGTCATGACACAGACAGCAGGAGAGGTGACAGGACGACAGCAAATAAAACCCAACAACACAGACACACCTCCAGACAGACCGGCAGCACATGTATACAGCGACACACTTCTTCTTGCACTTATATTCATTTTCTCACACACACAGATACACACAGATATGCAGCCTCTCAGCACACAGAGGAAATTAAATGAGCTCTCTTATCACACAGGCGGCCGCCATGCGAATGCGGCACACCGTCGCCACCCGGTGACCGTCTTTCCCTCCTGGGATTTCAAAATCTCCGTTGCCGCTCCGCCACTCAGCACGGTTCGCATAAATTGGACAATTACCGAGTGAACGGCCGAGCCCCGCTGAGATTTCTCTCTGTCACAGTCTGTTTCTGCTCTGCTGAGCTGCTCTGAGTCCAGGCTTCACTTGCTTTTTATCCTCAGCAGCTTCAGGAGGAAATGCCCGTGCAGATATTTAAATTAGTGGGTTTAGTCGTATTTAATATTTTTAGCTCTGCTTGCGGTGTGGCCCTGGGGAGGGTGATGTCACTCTGTTAGTTAGTATGCAGTTTGGTCTTGAGTGAAAATTCTCAACATGTATAAGAAGGTGGACATTTTGTTAAGATATCATGTTCTTTGGCAATCCTCATCTACGTCAAAAATCAAATAGTGCAAATAGTTTAAGTCATGTTATGATTGACAGCTGAGCTCTTTTTTTATGTTGATGACTAAAATATTTCATGTTCTGTGTTAGCGTGTCAACAAAGATGCTAAACATTATACTAAATTTAATTAATATGTACAACTTTGGGCATGCTAAAAAACTAAATGTTTTGCGCTTAAAAAACGCCAGATTGCATGTTAACATGATAACTGTAGCTAGGATAACAAGTTAACAAATTTTTTTTTTTACTTTTACTACAGTAACTTTAGTTATAGTCTATATTTTAGCACTTTGAGTATAACTTATCTCCTGCACTAAGATGACTGATGGATATGAACCCTGATGTGTCGTACAATCTGTACGAGTCCATATTAAGAAAAGGTGCTCCCCCTAATGTCCATAGCTGCTAACTGCAGTAATGCTTGTTGAGCTAATATATAAACGTGGAAATGCAGTAATTATTTATATATTTTTAGCAACAAAAAAAAGATATGTAATCATCCTTGCCCTCCTAGGTAGTACTATTAGTAGCAGCAGTAATAGAAGTGACAGTAGTTGAGTGTGAAAGGTCAGAGGATGGTGTTGTCACTGGGGGCCATTTGAGCTGAGGAGTCATTATTGGAGTGAACATCACAGGCTCCCAGGGGCCTTTTCCTGGTAACGCTTTAAAGATTTAATGTTGGTACACAGTCCTGAACACACACACATTGCACATCACTCTTCTTCTGCATTACTATTTGTACCAACTCTATCACTGCTGAATTAATACTGAGAGTCCTTTATGTCCGTTTTATGACCCGAAGCCAATTTGCTTTAGTGGAAGAAAACTGAGTAAATTCAACTTAAGTGGAAACATTTATATAAAGAAGATGCAGTTAAGTTAGTCTGACACATTTTAAATTTTGGTGAAGGAGTGTAATATACTCACTAGTTTTAACTTCAGTTAACTGAATGGAATTAGCAATTGACTTAATTTACCCTTAACAATAAATACTTGATTTACTTGCACTCAAATCAAATATTTTGCAAACTTAAATCGTTTAAGGCAGTTGGTTTCCTCAAAGTTTGATTTGAACTAACTCATCAGGTTTTTACAGCGCTGCCGTTGATGACAAAAACTTGATTATTTACTGTATAACAAGCTGTATAATCACATCAGTTCTCCAGTGAGAAAATAAAAATAAGACTATAACAAGTTTGAAGTAACAGCCATCTTTAATTGGTGATAACTCACTGTTCATCATCAGGAGGGGAAATCGCAGCAATTAACACCCAGATGTTGAAATGACGTAATATGTTTGTCTTCCTGCGAAGTGGCCGGTAAACCAATGATTTAATGCTTTTCTAAATGTCATTGTACATTTCAGGGTCTTGGCTGACAGCCAGTAAACAGTTCTTATACTGAGTGCAACACTAGAATCACTTAAACATTACAAGCGATCAATAGTAAGGCGCCTGAAGGTCTGAGCCACAATGGCCTGACAGTTTACGGAATGTCTGTCACAACACTGGTAGAAAAGCACAGAGAGAGGAAACAAACATGTAAAAGGATTTTCTATAGTCACAGGTTTGTCTGTCGCTCTTTATGTCCAGCTTTATTATGAGCTCAAATACCTCTATTGACGAGAGATTAAAAAAAAACATACGTCAGAGACAGAGCTGTCTGCTGTTTGTGCAACTTTTACCAGATGTTTTTTTCCACAAATTTATGTGACACTGTACGAACAGTTGCACATAGAAACTGAAGCAGTGTGACATACGTTTCCCTTTGTTCAGCCTTGTTGTCAGACCAACGCAGCAGTCGTTTCTCTCTCAAATTGAATTATTTCATGGTGTTTCTGTTTTAATTGATGGTAATTTAAACTTGCAGTCCTGTTGTCTGTGATTGCTGTCGTTAATTAATTCTCTAGAGAGAGCCTTCCCGGGAAACCAAGGACACTGATTGATGGGAATTTAACCACTGATTGTAAGAAAACACTGAAAATCTCAACATTTCTTTGAGACACAGTTGACATCGACAGGGATTTTACTGTTGCTTTTCGAGTCAGCCCGAGCTGTAGCCGCTTGCAAATTCAATCAGGGAGCAAGCCTCTTAATGCTGCCATTAACAATTAATTACATAATATTACTGTCACTGCTTGACATCTGTAGGGCCTCTTCAAGAACTGAGCTGCGTTTAATCATTTTTCTCTCCTCTTGCTTTCCCTCCAATTTGTCACATTGATATCCTTTTTGCCTCAGAGCTTTTTCACTTAGTTTGTTTAAAGTTCCGCATCTTCTCTTAATTTTTCTTCGACTCTCAACCAACAGGTTACGCCAGCAACAAAGTTCTTTTTTGACGGTATAAAATGTGTCAAAACCTGCTATACATCTGCAAGGTCGCCTTATTGCGGAGGTCAGATCTAATAGTTAAACAATCCTGAGAGGTTCAGACTCGCTAAATTCTGAACATATTTGAATGAAATTGGGTTTGTTATAAACGTGAGAAATTGAACCTGATACTGGTTACTGGTTGGAATTAAATCAGTCGTTAGGGTCAGATCTAATCAGCTCTATGGCAAAGAATGAACACTCTACATAGCTGCAACTTCCACTGGACTCCGATCTGTGAACAGGCAACATCAGTATGAACTATTTAGATTATAGCTTTTGTCAGTTTCTCTAAATATGTAGATTTCTATACTGATTTTATTGTTATAAAACTGCCTGGTTGCTTGTTGTTATGAAATGTGGAAATTTCTGCTGTCTGCTGGACTGGACAGTACCATGCGACTACAAAGAGACTCAAAAACTGGATTGTTATTGTTTGCAGCCCTGCGTATGTCAGTCAAGCTGTATTCTGTATTAATGTCTGAAACAATCCCACAATCCTTTGTTTTCACCCATCCTGTCCTCCCTGTTGACACCCAGCACACACACACACACACACACACACACACACACCTGCCTTCAGCCTCCAGTAACGGCGTTAAAGACTGCAGTGTGTCGTCCTCACACACACAGTCTGTTCCTGTCAGTGAGTGTATGTGTTTGACAACATCTTCCCTGTGTGTCCCCTCCAGCTCCAACTCACTGGCATCCTGCGCCCCCTACAGGCCAGGCAGTGTACGACAGAGGCTTAGTAAACCTGATGGAGGGGATTTCATGTTTTATTCTCAGTTTTACAGTGAATACAGCAGTTAGTGGGCAGTCAGCTTGTGACTGAACAGGACAAACCTGTATCAAAACCAAAATCTGATTTGTAGTTTTGTCCATCTTTCCTATCAGAAATAATACCAGGATACTCATCAAGTTAATAACTGAGATCAGGGAACACAGCAACGATTGTCATATGAATGAAAATTACTTAAAAAATAATCTATGCATCAGAAGCAGAGATGTTATCTTTTTATTTATCAGCTCCATTTTAAACCGGTATAATTGTCTTTAAAGGTCCAGTGTGTAACATTTAGGAGGATCTATTGTCAGAAATGTAATATAATATTCATAGGTATGTTTTTTATTAGTGTATATTCACCTGAATATAGGAATAGTTGTGTTTTTGTTAGAGACGTTTTTATCTACAGAGGGAGCGGGTCCTCTTCTGGCGAAGTCCGCCATGTTAAACCACCATGTTTCTGACTCTAGATGGGACCCTTTGTGTTTTTTGTGGCAACTGTAATTTCTTCAGAGCATCATCCTTCGGAAATTCAAATAAAGTGACTTGACTCTGCAATCTCTTGTTTCCAGGGAAGATGTACTTGCGGGTTTTTGAAGGCATACTTTATAGCTAGCTAGCAAAGGCTTTGGCTAATACCAAAATGGGGTAAAGAAACAGTTTTAATAACTCAAGAACGAGCAGTAGAGCCACTAATGCTAACAAGACCAAAAAACACTGAACCCAAAACCAGTAAAAAAAAAAAAAGAGTTTAACTCCACACTTGACTTTAAGGATTTTCAGATATAAACAGTAAATATATAAATGTCTGCAGAGGCTTTATGCAGTTGAAGGTATGAAAGCAACACAATAGGACTGAATACATTCATCACTGCAGTCCAGTCTTTAATTTCTCTCTCTATTAAACAGCTGCTGTGCTTCTCATCTGTCTGTCTGTCTGTGGAGGAAACCAGTTCTCCTCCTGCAGAGCTCCTGCAGGGACGAGGAGAAGGAGGATGAGGAGGAGGGTGAAGGGGGAGCGTCTTCAGACTATAAATAGCAGGGATTGGGGTTAACGGGGGGGGGGGGGGAGGGTTTTGGGGGTTTGGATTGACGTCATGTTGGTGAACAGTTCTCATACAACCAGCTTCCAATCCTCTTTATCGCCGTCCTCATGCTCCTTCATTTCTTCCTCCTTGTTCCTCCTCTTCTCTCTCCACAAATGTTTCCTCCCTCTTTTCTTTCACTAACGCTTGTTTTTCGTTTGTATCAATCCTGATAGACTGTTTAAAATGGCTGCTGTCACAGTAAACTGGATTATCCTGAAACGGTTTATGGCTGTGTGAGGGCTCGCTATCATTTCACATTTATCAGTAGTGCTGCTGCAAAACTAGTTTTGGGTCAGTACCTTGCTGAAGGGTCCTGCAGTTAAATGCTTCATGGAGGTGATAATAACAAATACCACAGGCAAATACTATACCACACTATATGAATCCACTGATTAGTATCAAACCTTACATTAGATTTAACCTGATACTGAGACTCTAAAATGTGTCCAGCTAATAATGATCAAACTATCTTTAGTCTGCCGACTAACAGCATGCTTTCCTCTCTGTCCTCTGCTTACCTTTATGAACAATTGGTTATATTTAACTAAATGTTTCTCAAATGTTAAATGTTTGAACACAAGCAGCTTTAGAAGAGTACAAGTACAAGCCTACATTAAAAAGGATATAAAATTAACTCAAAATGACTGCAAAGAGGCTCAAAACAACCACAAATATACACAAACGACCACTAAGAGACTCAAAACGACTGGTAGGTATAAGTACAATAAAATAATTTAAGTAATGAATCCCTACTGATGCTTTTGTTATAAATCAGGATCATAAATATCTGCTGTGTTGAGTCTCTTCAGCCTCGCCGCTCTGGGACACCTCCCCGTCTTAAAAAACAAATACTGAACACAACGTGTTGCTTGTCAAATATATCCAGAACGAATGATCTTCCCATCACCCTCAGCTGTACTTTGTGTTTAGTTATAATATGCAAATGTTACCTTGCTAACATCTTAAACTATGATAAAGACATTAAATATGTCAGCAGCTTCCCAGAACCGCTAGCATGGCTGTAGGCTCTTTGTTAGCTTTATTAGATGTTTTTGATGATTTAATATATTTATGTTAATAGACGCTCTAAATGTGAGAAATGAGCTTCACTGGCTGTTTGGGGATAAAACTCGATGTTCTCTATATATTGTTTAGACTTTGAAGTCAGTGATGTTGTTGATGTTTGCTGTAAGCAGGTGGGTGAATAAGTCAACCTCCTGCCTCTCTGTGTGTGTTGAGTCATAAATAGCAGATGTATGTAATAGATGAGTTTACCTTGAAGCTGCAGGTCGGCTCCCACAGAGATGAGTAAATCTGTCGTCCTCCATCTGCCACTCGCTCTCGTCTGCGCGTCTTCCTCGACACCCACATGATGTTTTATAAAACCTTTGACCTTGTGTATATCTCACCTCTGTGGCTTCAGCTCAGAGTTCAGGTTTAGATGCACAGGGATCAGTGGTGGGATGTCTCAGGTTCTCCTGCATTTTTCTGCTTTTTGTACATCTGATCCTCCTCTGCATTATCTAATTATATCTGTCTATCTTTATCTCGGAGTCTGCAGGCAGCTCTTTATTCAGTTAAACATTTGGGACTCATGATTATTTAGAGGCCAGAGCAACGACCACTGCAAATCACTGTTGAAATGTGAGGAAGTATGATTTTTCTGCAAAAAGAATCGTATTTTTGGCTGCTGCAATGTGCTAAAAAAAGAAAAAAGAAACGCGGCACAAAACTCAGCGACGGTGAAAAGTTACAGATTACATGGGTCTCGCACATGGGCATGAAAAAAAGGTTTACCGATATGCATGAAAATGGGTACACACGTGTATCATGATTAGATGAACAAAAAAGCCTCTTGGACCCATACCCCAAACCCAACAGGAAGTCAGCCATTTCGAATTAAGTGGTCATTTTTGGTGATTTGGAGCTTTCTATTTTAACGAACTTGCTATGCTATTTGTGACTGTGCAACAAATGGCTAAATGTGCAACAAATGGGTAAATGGAGCGTCCATGGCTTAGCGCCAAAGAAAGAGACTCAAAACGGCTGCAAAGAGAGAGTGAAAACACTCTGGTCGGACAGACAAAGAGCATAGAAGAATCTTAATGCTGCCGTTGATTAGGTGAGAATATTAACTTATCTTTATTTCTCTTCTGTCTTCAGTCACCTGGACAATCACAACCTGTGGGACCCCAATGAGTTTGCAGTTTCCTGCTTCAGAATCATCATGTACTCCATCCAGGTACAGGACACCAACAGCGGATCAGAAAATATGTGCACTTTTTTCAGTTTCTACTCTGTCTTAAGTTTTAAAAGTACATCAGAATGACTTTAAAGGTAACTTTTTATACATCAGATCGCTCTACTGTTAGCCCCGCCCTCCTCTTCCTTTTGGATCTCGCCCCGGCACCTGTCAATCATCTTGACGAGCTGTCATTGAAGCCTCCACAGGCAGATGGAGAACACAGCTGATCACTCAGTTTCTCAGATTCACTCTTGTTTTATTTGTCCTCCTCGACTTCATTGTTACTGCTGCTCAAGTCGTTCTCGGGGGCAGGGGGGGTTCATTTGCTCTGAATTCTGCTTCATCTCTTTCATCTAGTCTGGTGTCAGTCTAAGGAGTGGGTAATTTTAACCCCAAACACAGCCCTTAGTCATTTCAAGTTCTCTCACAGGGAATGTTTCATGCATCCAATGTTGTAAATATCACTGAAAAGTAAATTTTACAAACTTTACTCCTTAACTCAAATGCCAAATTTTGATCAAGATCAGATCAGAACAGATGTTAGAGGTCCAGGGTCAGAACCCGGATGAGCCCCCATTTATCTTCAGAGCCAGCTTGTAAAAGGCAATAGTGAAGCAATATACAACCAGATGTTAAGTGAAAAAAGGTGAGGCAAGAACTACAGAGGAAAAGGGCTGGTGGGTGCTGTTTAAATCAGAGAAGATAAAATAAAGAAAGAATTGAAAGAAAAACCTCACTATCTTATTACAGCACCCACACACCCTCTCTAAATAAACCATAATTAATGTTTTTCCAACTTATATTAGATTGTTGTCATGAATAGTTCATGTCATTAAGAAATATATCTAGGTTTAAACATTCCTGTTTGATTAAAGCTCACATAATACAAAAAATCTCAATTCTTTACCAGATAATTAATAATCTTCTTGTCTCCATCAGAGGACAAATACATTTCATACATTGTGCTGCTGACTGAACTGCATGTTTACCTTCAGACTGCCCCCCCCCCACTGTGTGTTTGTTTAATTGGTTTCTTGTCCAGGAGTTCCCAGGTGACTCTGAGGTGCTGCCACAGATAAAACACAATCAATGGTGTTGGGAATCCTGTGTGTTGATGCCACTGTGTGCACCTGTCTTGTGGGTTTGTTTTTTTATGTGTACGTGTTTGCACTGTGTGAGTGCGAAGCAGGAGTTGGCAGAGTTTTGTCTCTCTGATCTGTCCGGGCGGTGGGTGTTAGTTTGTCTAGAGACGGCGACGGTCGTCGTCTGTTTGATCTTAGAGACGAAAAACAAAGGCACCCATAGTTAGTCCTGCAGAGACACGTTTGAAGATTCTGCTGTCAGGAGGAAACAACTGAGTTTTGGACAATTTTTAAAAGACAAATTCATCCCAAATCCGCTGCTGATGGTGAGCTTTACATTTCGAGGTCTAGCTGAGCTCCAGCAGCTCCAGGAAAATGGTTTCTAAAGTTGGCATTTTGCAAACAGTTGCAAAGGGGAAAATTCATCAAAGAACAGGAAACACAAAAAGAGATTTACACTCACAGGAGCAGGAAATAGACCAGGATGCACTGCAAAGGCAGCTCCCAGTAAGTCTAATTTTAAAACCCAAGTTCTGTATAACAATCCTGACACCAATTAGACGTCACTGGTTTTCGTCAACTGTGCTGACAAAGTGACCTGACTTTTTTATTAGTCTGTCAAAATTGCAGACCATGTAAACTGTCACCGGTAGATCAAGTTCAAAGTGAAAAACTCTTCCTATATAAAGATTTTGTAAAATACTTGAAGGTTCTTGTACAGTTAAAGAAAAAAGCAAGGTCCCAAATATACACAGGTCTCCTTTACTAGCCTGGTGTGGCTACATGTTTTGACAAACTAAAGAAAGTTTAGTGGATATATAACTGGGTTGGCCTCTAGTTCTAAGCAGCTTAGGTCGCCTACACAAATATAAATGTTTAAACTTTTGTTAGTATGGACAGCAAGCGTTTTGTAGTTAGCTTAGCATGAAGACTGGAAACAGGAGAAAAGTTATATTTGTTTAATTCGTTCTGCAAGAAAGCAATGTATGTATTTCCCAAAATGTCAAACTATTCCTTTAGGACCAGAAAATAATCGTTTTAAGATTTTAGAATCACTGTTCACTGACCAATCTGTTCATATAAAATAAGTAGAGTTGCTCTTATAGCAGGAGTTCGGGTTCCTTCTTGGTTTAGAGATCATTTACTTTCTCATCTGGGCTGAAAAAGCAGGACATCACATTTCAGCTCTATTGTCTTAAATCCTCTTCATCTCTCTGTCCAGGCTCAGCACTCCCACCACGTCATCCAGCAGGTTCTAAACCACCTGGACACTCACAACAAGAACACACCGCGGGTCAGAGCCGGCATCGTCCAGGTCCTCCTGGAGACGGTGGCCATCGCTGCCAAAGGCTCAGTGGGTGAGTTACAGGACCATACTGGTTCCCACTGTTGGACTGGTTACTCAGGACGTGATAGATTTGTCCTCTGAAAATGAACAATTCTGATCATTAATTGATCATTTAGGTCATTTATCAAGCAAAAATGTCAAACCTTCTTCTGGTCCCTCAAAGGTTTAGATTACTTTTTTCTGTTGGACAGATAAAACAAGTAGTTGGAAGACATTAACTTAGGCTCTTATCAATTACTGACATGGTTGGTGAATTAATCCTGTCAACCGAGTAATCAATTAATCAACTTATACTTACTTATACTTGAGGTTAACTTGTTGACTTTGGTCCCAAATAGCAATGTACAGTCATCACAAAGTTTTATTTCTGACAGGAAAACAAACGTAGAAAGTAACAACAGAGAATCTAGGTGTTATAAAAAGGTGCTGATGTGTTTTGATCTCATCATTCTCAGTCTGCTGTTCTGTGGTTTCTTTGAAGTGTTTGTATGTGCTAATTACCTGATAATTAAATAGGCATGAAGTTTGAAACTTTTGAGACAAGAAGAATAGAAATATCTATCCATCCATCCATCAATCTATCAATCTTCTACTGCTTTTTTGAGGGTGGTTCAGCAGAGCAAGCAAGGTAGTCCTCCAATCCCTCTGCACAGCAATGTTTCCCGGCTCCTTTTGGAAGGAGGCATTGCCAGGCCAGATGATATAATCTCTCCAGTGTGTTCTGGATCCACCCCGGGGGTCCCAGAGTAGGCCTGGAAAACTGCCAAAGGAAGGCACCCAGGAGGCTCCTGATAAGATGCTTGAACCACCTCAGCTGGCTCCTTTTAATGCGAACAAGCAGCTGCTCTACTCCAAGCTCTCTAAGGCTGCTGCCCTTCTGTTCTCCCAGTACCTGTCTTCTGCTTCAGGAGACCTCTGGGCCAACAAAGTCCGATAGACCACAACTCCAAGCAGCCGCCTTCACAATGGAGGCTTTGAACATGGCCCACTCAGAACTGTTCCCAGTTCATCCTCACTACATGTTTGGATTGAACAGGTCTGTCCGACAGCCTGCCCAACCAACTGATCTACCAGGTGGTGATCAGCTCTTCCCCTCATCCAAGATACACAGCCTCAGATCTTTTTAAGCTTTATTTACTCAGAGAAGCCTCTCTCTTGCGGGAACACCATGATCACACATTCAGTACAACCATAGAGTCCCCTAGGTAATATCCACTCCCCACTCTAAGAGGGCCAGATACTCCAACCTCCAGGTACAAACAACAGTCAGAACATCCTCTTGAAGGAATGAGAGGGTCGTCCCTTTGCCTACCACCCAGGTGACAATGCCTCTGACCCCAGTACCTATCCCAGCGGGTAGTGGGCCCACTCGGTGGCGGCTCCATGCACAGCAGTTGTCTTGTGCCTGACCAGATTTGGATTAAAACCTGGCCACCAGACACTTACTGGAAAGCTCCCTTCTCAGGTCTGGCTTCAGGAAGGGGCCCTCCTCCCTGTAAGATCTGTGAATCATTCTTAGGCCTATCAGTCTGGCCTTTGGCCCACTTGGGACCAGTTTTCCTCGGGACCCAACCAGAAGCTATTGCCCCGAAAACGAAGCTCCTAGAGTCACAGGGATGCACAAAACCTTCGTCACAATAAGGTGGCGAATCTTGGAGGAGAGAGTAGAAAATAAATTAACCACAATTTTCTGTTTATTTAAATCAGTTTGTATTTAATTCCTCCAACCTGTGTTTTATTGCTTCTGCCTGGAAAACAAACAACCTTCCTTCTGGATAGGAATGATTCAAGAGACCAAAAGAAGTGATGTGTACTTTGAAAGTGAAATCACGACTCCTCCAAATCTGTGGCTCGGTACAGTATGACAGTGTGGTCAGATTTAAAGTGAATATGTATCTATAGAGCAGTTTCTGCAGACTTACCCCCACACAGCTGGCATTAACAAGCATCCTGGGTAGTCACAGTGTAACAATACAATAAACTGATAATAGATATGGTCAGATACACTTGATTTGCAAGAAAATGTAAATATAATCCAAATAATGTGTATATTTAGATAAACTAATTTTATTTGTTGTTTTATCTGAGCTTTATTTTAACCAAGAGAGTTCTCTTGCAGGACAAAGATTAAAGAGTAAAGTAAGAAAAACATCAAATGGAAGTGTTGATGATAATATAACTTTTATTTTCCTGCAAATCTGAGTCCTCAGACTGAAATATATTTTCAGATGTAGAACTTAATGAAGTTGATGTTCATGCAGCCTGAAGTTTAATTTGTAATCCAGCTCCATCAGATCGTGTCACAGTGTGGTTGTGAGATGCATGTTAATGCCAGGAAAACAAAAAGTCTGTTATTGTATAAACAGATATATTTATATCTGAACATACACCGAGTGACCAGAAATACAGAAATACGTGTATGACGCAATCCAATAGCCCAACAATTTATGGTGTGTTGCCAACAAACGCAAATTACCTTAGTAAAATTAGGTGAGAATTAGCCCTTTAATCTGGTTTACTTGGTTTTGAGATTTGTGCTTCTTAAATTAAACAGATTTGAGTTTTTTAGTGCTCACACAAAGAAGAACGTTTAACAATACAGCAACCCAGCAGTTGGGCGAATCGGCCGAAACCGATTCATAAAAACACACCTGATAATATAACCCATTCATATACAAGGCTGGGATTCATTACAATGTACGAGTGTTTCTGTTTTTCACTGTGTCTTCAGTTGTGAGTCTGAACATGTGGGGGAAGTTTCTGATCCAGATCAAGCTGTGGTTTTGTGTCGGTAGAATAGCTCAGTGACATGATGCTGTATCCAGACCTCAGTAGATTAAAGTAGACTGGATGTTAAATGTGTTCATGTTATAGATGATCAGTTTCATGTATGTGTCCAGTAGAGATGTATCCTGGGAAAACCTTTAGATGGTTGTTGGCTTAATTAGCTAATATATTAAAGTTTTTGACATGTTATGTATTTTGTATTTGCAGTACTAGCGTTGGATTGTAATTTGTCTTCTACTTATTTTCTTACAGTTCCTCAGGATTGTCTTCATTCATTTTTAAATGGATTTTAGGCGTCTAGATCATACTGTTTTAAATTGTGAAAATGGATCCAGAGTCTTTTTGGAAATGTTTTCTTTGTGTTATTACCTTTTATTTTTAAATGTAATGTGCCAAAGCAGGAAAGAGTGAGCCAGTGAGCACTGACTTTGTCATAATCTGAGGTGTTGCTTTTAGTGACAGAGTGAATTAAGACAAGTGAACCAGAGAAAGACGTGAACGTGACCAACAGCACAGATACGAATCTGTTACTGGGGCCTACATTTTACTGCAGTTTATGTCCCTATACATAATACTATGGGAAGCCCTAATTAATCCTTTAAAACTTTATTTGATTAAGCTTTATTCGTTATTCTAAACTTAAAAAGTGAAATGATTCAACATATGAAACAATAAACAATAGTAGCCTATAGTGGAGAATGAGAATAAAACACTAAAAATATAAAATAAAACAACCAAAAAGGTTTCAAAACAGTGACAGCAAAATAACATCTCTGTAGGATTAATCAGCTTTTTGTTAAATGACTTTTTGAAAGAAAATCTGTGTGATGTTGGGGGCGAGAATCTATACAGAGCAGTTCTCATCATGCAGTTTGTACGTGGTTATAAACCCACAACAAGAACCACTGGGCACTAGTTTTTCACAAAATAAATGTGGTTTATTATTTCAGATTAAACTTTTCATGAAACTGCCAAACACTCATCAGAGTTTCAACATATGTCAGGTTGGATTTTGGGAAAGTGTGCAACCTTAAAAGATACGAGGCCTTTGGTCCTTTAATGTAAACATTAAAAAGCTTCAATGAAGAACTGGAGGAAGCCAGCACAGCTGGACTTCAACTGGAAACTAGACCTGCAAGCAGGTATTAACGAGGTCCAAGCCAAGTGGCGAAAGCTGCACCCAGCACACTGAGGCAAGTCTCCTTCGGGCTTGGACCCCAGATAAAAGAGGAAAGACAGATGTTAGGAGCTTAAATTAGACAAAAACATTTTAAAAATGTGAACACAACAACAACACAATGTTCCTCAGTTCTCAGTTTTTCGTACTTTGTCGTAACTGGAAACTTTTCGGCCACAAGTCTTTTATTCTTTAACCTATACATTAATACATCTCTTCTGCACTGGCTGTGTGTTTGCAGGCCCCACAGTGCTGGAGGTGTTTAACACTCTGCTCAAACACCTGAGGATGAGCGTGGACTTCGAGCTGGGCGAGAGCTCCAGGAGAAACTCCAACATCAGCGTTTCGTCCGGCCGCGGCAAAGAGAGCGAGGAGAGGATCGTCCAGAACGCCATCATCCAGACAATCGGTACGACAGGCCTTTTTACTTCCTGCCTTGTTTGTGTTCTAGTAGAGACAAAATAAACAGAAGACAGGATGTGTTTTTACTCTCTGTGTTCGAGTGGTGACTCACCGTCTCTCGTGTCCTCCTGCCAGGCTTTTTCGGTGGAAACCTGCCAGACTATCAGCGAGCTGAAGTTATGATGTTCATCATGGGCAAAGTGCCAGTGTACGGGACCCCCTGCCACACCTTGGACACCGTTAAGATTGGGTGAGTCACACTTTCATTATCCAAGGGCCCCGGGGTTCCCGCACACTGCTGCTGTAGCCAATCACCTCGCAGCTCCCAAAAGCCCATTCACCTGACTGTAGAGACGGTTTGGCTCTAAACATGTTGGCTCCGTCTTTTCTTTCCCCGTCAACTCGATGAGCACAGATACAGAGGATCCTGGACTGTTTGCGATAGAAACCTGGTTTTACTCACATACAGAAGTTGTCTTGTGCTTTTGCTCAGCTGTCAATCAAACATAAACACCAGCCGGACTACTTTTAAAGGTTACATATACAAAATTCACTGTCACTACATGTCGCGTTACAGCACCAGAGTCTCAGATCAAAACAATGGCTGCTACCGACCAGACTCTATAGAGAAAACCAGTGATTGTACAGATTTACAGATAATCGTACACTTCAAACTGGACTGAAATCCTTAAATCACAGAGTGATGATAAAAAAAGGCTCTGTTCTTTCTGTTGATGTATTCACTGTTTACATATTCATTAAACGTAATATTCTGTGGGTCTTAAAAGATTAGTGAATATGATCAAAAACACTGCCAGTGGCTGGCAACTCAGTCAATACAGGGACAATAAGATTTGTAAATCTTTTTAGTTAAATGCAGGTAACATATAACATTAGACACACACACACACTCACACTCTCTCTCTCTCTCTCTGTCTCATCCAAAGTGAATTGTGTCTTAATCTGTCCTCACTTCACCTCCTGGACGCCCTGCAGTGCATTCAGCTCCCGGGTCACTGAGACGACGGCTGGCCGTCTCCTCCCCAGAAAAAGAAAGAAAAACAAGCTAATCCCTCCGGCCCCAGGAGTGCAAGAACAGATAATCCCAAATCAAACGAGCACTGTCCTCCTCCTCCTCCTCCTCCTCCTCCTCTTCCTCCAACAGCCTCTAGCTCTCTCTCTCTTCTCCTTTTCGGGTAAGGAGGAGAGAGATCTGATTCTGCAGCTAACCGTTGGATGTCTGATAGCGCTGCACTCTCATTTTAAACGGTCAGCATTGTAGAGCTGCTGCTGTTCACAGGTCCTTCGCTCTTCCTCCTCACCGAGTCTCACCAAGGTCACAGATCTGATACCAGAGTTCAGTTTAATGTTAAATGTTTGCCCGCCAGGTGTTGGACTGCGGCTGATATTAAAGAGGCGTTGACTTAACTGACTTCATCATGTTTCCCTTTTAATTTGCTTCTTTATTTAGTCAAGATTAAAGAAACGAGGAGAAAGTCTACATTCTTTGAAGTTCAAAGGTTTAAAGGATCATTTAAAAGCTTCCTCTGTACTCACAATAAGCAGACCTCCCTCTCATTAAGCAAACATGAAGGAAAAACCTCAATAAATGAGTGGAGAAACGACTGCAGATGCTTCCACACAGACACACTGCCATGCTATAATTAAGACATTAACAACCAATCACGCGCTGTGGTATGTATAAAATGAGTCTGATTTTGTCAGTTGGAGGGATTTTATAGTCGGGTTGCAGTACATAAACCCCTCATTACAAAGATAAATGCACATTTAAGAGTTCAGTGGTGCAAAAACCATAAGTACTGGTGTACGGAGACATGGAGTCCTCCTTCACCATATTCTCAACTGGGGATGTACCGATACGACTTTTTTACAGATCAAAATAAAAGTAAAAGTATTTAGATTTCAGTACTTTGAGAACTATTGTTTCTGTAACTTCTCCACAACAAAACTAACAAGAGGCTACGTAACGTCAGGCTGTTGTAAAGTGTATCAGGTGCAATATCGGAGTAGTTCTACGATTAGTTCATCAGAACAATATCGGACCCAAACCGACCCGAATATCGTACTAACACTGGTATCAGAGCACCCCTGTTCTCAATAAGTTGGTGAGTCCACCAGGAGAACGTTACAGGCCTGAATGCTGGACCTCCTACAGCAGATCTGGTGGCTCTGAGGCAACATTTCTCTCCTGATGGGAGTTTTTAACAGTTTTATGTGTACTTAAATATATTAATACCAATTAATACATGTAACTAAACTCTATAGAAATATTATCATATTTTCTAACCTCAGGAAATCATCAGTGGTCTCTAAACGGCCAGTTATTGTGTTGGAATCCTCTGGAGTGAAATACAGCCGAACTTTAGACCGTTCAGTATTTTAACCTGACTAAGGTAGGTTTGCATATTGGGACTGGGTTTTGGTACCAAACGTATTCATCACCCGTCTATATCTGGAAAAAAGTCAACAACAGTACCAGAGTTCCTTTATCTAATGTATGTTTGAAGTAATTTAGCTTACAATAAATAATAAATAAGAGTATAAATGCTGTGTTAGTGCCCCCTAAAGGCAGAGACATCAACTGACAGGAGAACCACTTAGAGAATTACATCCATAACTGGGAATCAGTTGTTCTCAATGCTGATTATTTTCACAATTAATCAATTAGTCCCAAAAAATATGAAAAATGCCCATCACAATCTCCCAGAGCCCAAAGTAACGTCTTCAAATTGCTTTTTTTTGGCCATAATTAAAAAACTCTTCTTCATAAATTACAAAGAAAATGTGAAATACTTCAAAAATGTTGCAACAAAACTACTCATCCTGGCAGATACCTGACAAGTATTTTCCATTTTTAAAACCATAACAAGAGACGTATTGTGGTTTTGACAGAATATTTGATGTCCTCTTTTATCACTCAGGCATCAGGGTACGAAGCGGATCCAGACCATGCTGCTCAGCTCTCTCATCATGGTGAGTCCATCTCTCTTTAACTCGTCTGATCAGATCAACAGATTGTTTTATTGATCAGGTGGGATCAGTCTGAAGCTGATGTTTTCATTACCGTAGAATCTCTGTTTGAGGAGCAACGTTTGTGTCTCGTGGTTCATCTCGGACTGGTTTTCATTCTAGTCGGTCTTTGTTTTCATGAGCCGATATGACAGTTTGAGGGCTAACGACACATTTAACAACAACCCTTCATAACTGTGATTGGTTTAAATAAAGGGTCAATAATCTATATGAACTGTATGAACTCAAAGGCAGCTGCTGTTTTAGTGTTTTTATTTTTATTAGGGATGTCCAGATCAGATCTCAACGATTTTGTTAATTCATTTAGTTTATTTCTGGTTTTAATTGGTTGAATTGCAGAATATAATGGATAGAATATTTAAATATATACCAAATAATAATTAAATATTAAACAATATCTCAAATAAATAAAAGTTGGCTAGTATCTATAAACTGATTAAATCTAAATACAGTTCATCATTATCCAGATTAATCCTCTGGTTCACAGGAAGTGATGCTTTTAACATTTTCAATAAATTGAAAGAGTCCGCTGTGGTCGTGACAGAAGAAAAGATGAACCTACAAAAACTTTATTAACAGAAATACAAAAGACACATAAAAAAGACATAGAAAAAATATAAAGTCATCCAATAAATTGTGATTGTAAAACATGAGATATTTTTATATATAGTTATGTAAAATTTTTCATAAAGTAAATTAAATTATTCATCAGATATTGGCCGCTTTTATAGCTGTGGGTCTTCAGGGTTAAAACACTTAAATCCTCCATAAAGACGCTTCCTTCTCCTTCATTATCGTCTTCTGTGAGAGACCCTCATCTCTCCGAGCCGAGGAGGCACAGGTGGCCCCAACACACACACACACACACTGCGATTTAATACGTCGTCCTCGCCACCACCTGGCGTCTCCGTGCAGCTGGAGGAGGGGTGAAAGGTCAAAATATTTATAACGCTGTGCAGCTGTGGCCGAGCAGGAGGGGGGGTATGTGTGCGACACTGCAGACCGTCAGGGTACAACCCAAATGTTTGGGGGCTGCTAGTCGGGGGCGAAGGTAGGAACCGAATCAGTCACTGGTTCTTCGTCTGTGAGGTGTGAATGTGAGTACAGACAGAGAGCGACAACTGAACGACGCTGCAGGAACCGGAAGTGTAGCAGCGTGGGCCTCAATGGCCTCTTTATAACTGTATAGTCTCTGTGGCTCTCCCCAAGATCTTCCTCGTCAACTAGTAGTGAAAACAACCAGCAAGGAGACTGAACATTTAGTTAATTTATTCCAACACAGTGTAACATCACACAGTCTGGTTGTTCAACACACGGAATAAATAACTTCGAACTTCACTGAAACTAATCCCTAGCGGACTGTTACAATGGATTCATTTTTTAAGTGTGATGGCAGCCATGTTGAACCACTATCATGTTTCTACAGAAGCCCAGAACGGACAAGCCAAACAGTTTAGACCTTTTACTTTTTCATGCATTTTGCGGCCACTATAGTTACTCCTCTACACTCACAGGAGGGTGAAGTGAGGAAGTTGCAATCTGCAACTACGACACTAAATGCCACTAAATCCTACACAGTGGACCTTTAAGGAAACACTGACAGATTTGAAAAGTTTTGTAATTTATATAACTGAAACAAATCTTTTCTGATAATTAAAATAAGCAATCTACGCACCAATGTCCTCTCATTGGACATTTTCCAGGCACAAATGGTGGTCTTCTTCAGCTGATGGATATCAATAACAATGTGAGTGAGTGCCGTCCTGAATTGTCAAGACAAACTTTTTCTTAAAAAGTGGGAATTCTGAAAAAATTAGTTAGAATACAGAAGAGATAAACGTAATGGAAGCTCTGGTTCTAGTGTTCACATTGTATAGTTATATAATCAACATCTCAAACCAGGAGCACAGAACAGTGTTTGTCAGAGCTGAAGCAAAGACAGGAAGGCCTTGCTGTTATCTATTTTTCTTTATGAGGTACTGTGAAGGTCTTAAAGTCTTGAATAAAATCCATCTTTTCTTTACAGAGCTCATGCTGACAAAAAAGTTTTATATAAAAGCTCAAATGTGTGTTCAGATATAAGAACTCATGTCGATCACAGGCCCTGGGAACCATTTTTATAGCAACCAGATTTGTTCCAGATGAGAATTTGTTGTTCACATGGATCATAAATCATCAGATCAGTTGTGTATGAGACAAAAGGTCAACATTTGGACAGTTTGAGCTCCTTGTGAACGTAACCTTTAAGCTCTGTTGAACGGTGTTTCTCAACGAGTCTCCCTGTGGATTAATCACATCCCGCTGTGATAATTCTGCTCACACCTTCCTCTCTCTACCTCAGGTAACCTCAGGCTTTAAGTCCAAGTCCATGGCAGCAGCGTTGCCTCCTCCCTTCCTCGATCCGCTCTTCTCCATCTCCCTGATGGAGGACAGCGAGCTGAGGCAGCTGGTGCTGGAGATCCTGCACAACATCATCGACCGTCATGACAACCGCGCCAAGCTACGTGGCATCAGGTACAAAGTGCATGTGTCGGACATATAAGGACTGCGTACAGTGAACTGTGCCGCTGTTCGGTGCTCATGTTGTTCTAAGTTTTAATCTTTAAGTGTTTCGGGATTAAAAAGTGTTTCCCATTGATAGCTGCTGTCTGTTTCTGTTGCAGAATCATTCCTAATGTTGCAGCATTGAAGATTAAAAGAGAGAAGATTTCCAAGCAAGACGTCGCTTTCATGAAGAAGGTAGAAAATCTAAGTTACTGTATTCCTGCTGTGCTCTTTTTGCAGACATCACTGCTGTTATATTGTCAGCTGAGGTCTTTAAGGAGCAGGCCGTTGAGTGGCCTGTATTTGGTTTCTATAGTGCAACCCAGGTTGACATCTAGAGAAACGTCTCAGAAAAGTGTGGTTGTTTGTAATTGTCATTTACAGCCTGAGTAGCTAACCAAGAACACCAGTTGTCCATCCAGAATATTCCTTTTGAGTTATTCCCATCACTCTTACACACAGTAGACGTCCTTGTCCAATATAATGGATTCCAGTGTTGAGAATAGTCTGTTGCAGTGATACTCATCCTGAGGGTGCCGGGTGGCCCTCCGACCTTTTTCTACTTCACTGTGAAAATAAACTGATTCACATTTTTGTTTCTAAATGTTTAAATAATGTCTCTCTGCTGTTACTTACGTGCGAAGTTGTATATTAGCCTCTCAGATATCTTTCCTGCACTCTGTTCACAACACGGTCTAACCGTTGAGGGTTCGGTACGTTGATGGATCAGGTCTTTGGGGACAACAGTTTCTGATTTCCCTTGTTTGTCCAGCCTGATGAGCCCCATTTCGTCCAGACTGGACATTAACCAGGAGCAGCCTTAAATCCAATCTGGGCAATTATGGCTCCTAACCCGGCTCTCTACCTCTCCTCTTGGGGCAGAAGCACCTGCTGTGGTGGAGCTGGTCCTGCTGATCTGGATCATCTCAAAGTCTGAATGTGCAGCTGTCGCCATAGTCAAAATCTCCTGGTCCAGTCGATTTGAACAATCATTCAAAGATATTTTTAACAATAAAACTGAAAAAAATACAGATTAAAACAAAAATCTACATGCACATCCGTTGATATTTAAGTTTCTAATCTGCTGCTTAAATTCAATAACACAAAGTTAAAGACACTAGAAAGAGGAAAAAAACCTCTGCAGAAGTGATTGCATTAGTGAGATGTGGTTGCATCTTCACGCTTCAGATTTCTCATCCAAGGAGGTCGTGGAGCTTATTGACCCTGACAGGAGAAGCCCGGGCCCCCATCAACACATGACATTTCCAAAAAAGTGAGCGCAGTTTAAGTCATTCACCTGTGAAGCACACCTGAGAGGTAACCTTAACCCACACATCAAACACCTGGAAGAACAACCACGGGGCTGGAGCTGTCTCTGGATGTTACCACCACTCACTTTACCAACATCATCACCGTCAGAGGTCATTAAGGGGATCTAATTGTATTCATTAGTGGTAAATTGAAGTCGTTGGCCTTCGCTTTCCATTAGGCTTCGTTTCAGGAATGTAAATGCAGCAGCACGGCTCTGACAGCGTGCATTTTTTTTTCTTTTATAAAGACCGTCTCTGCAAGAAGAGGCCTCTGGGTTATTTTTAGGCTGACTCGGAGTTAATGGGATTAATCTTCTCGACGGACGGCGAGGTAGCATTTTTATTTGCATTTTCTAGCACAATAACATCATTTATATCACAGAGGAGCTGTGGTAAGTACGATATATTCAGTACAGGGTTCTAACTAATGATTGCTTTTATTATTGATTAATCTGCTAATGTTTCTCCATTAATCCGCTGATATTTGTCATCTTTTCATAAATGTGCCACATGTCTTGTTTTGTGCAACTAAATATAAGGATGCACAATATGGATTTCTTTCCAGCTGATACAATAAATGATAATTAACTGCTTCTCGTGACCGATATTGATATGATACCGATGATTTCACATTTTAGTATTTTAAAAAGAAGTTGATAACCTGTAGTTTTTACACCCCTGATGATAAAAAAGGTTAAGAAGTTGAGTTGAAGAAATAAATTCAGTGTATTATCGCAGAAAAAAGAAAAGAAAAGCAGGAATCAGAACCAGAACTATTACAGCTTGTTGAAGTAGAATTATCCTCCAGATATTTGTCAGACTCGTATCCCACATGGCCTCATGTCTCAGACATTAAGGTGAGGAGGTGATGAGTTGGAACAGGTGTCGAAGAAAGCTGCTGAGAGACCCAACAGGAACAGCAGTGAAGGTGAGCGTATGGCTCCCGGTCAGCAAGGTCTCAGCTCACACTCCTGGAAGGATTTCTTTCTGGGTCATGTTCAAAGCCTTGATTCCTCACAGCTGCTGTCAGAAGGTCGTAGTTGCTTGTCGTTGGGATTATCAAAGAACCCGCTGGACTAAAGCTAGGCCACCAAACTGAAGATAAAGGACAGAAATCAGAAGGCAGGTTTTGGCCAAAAGGATTGCTGGTTTCAGAAAAACACACTGGGGTTTAAAAGAGTCTGAAGTCAACCAAAGGACACGGTGAACAGTCTGACACGCCAGGAACGGAGTCTGTGAATAAAGTCTGCATGCTAACACTCACCAGTGGTCATTAACTTTAACCTTGCGAGGCAGCTGGACATTGCGCTTGTGTCCAACTACAGTGGACGTCCTCTGTGGAATTACTGGCAGTTATGGGCGTGATTTAATGCGAGTTGTGTGTGAGAAATTATTGTTTTTATTAAAATGTATTTACAAAAACGAATCTGATGGCTGCAAAGCACACCGACTTTCTTTTGTTTCTTCCCTCTGTCACCTCCAGCACGGCCAGCAGCTCTACCGTCACATCTACCTGGGCTCTAAAGAGGAAGATAACGTCCACAAAAACTTTGAGCTGCTCTTCACCACCCTCGCCATTCTCACCATCGAGCTGGCCAACGAGGAAGTGGTCATCGACCTCATTCGGCTCGCCATCGCTCTGCAGGTAACAACCTCGGTTATTAATGTTAACGGATCGTAGTCATGTCATCTGCTGTTACGTGTAGAAAACCTGCAGTTTTGTGACCTCAGAAGCAAAAACATCTAATCTTGTTTGTTACACTGAGCATCAGAAATAATAATTATAATAATAATAATAATCATTTAAGATTAACATGTTGAAATGCACTGAATGCTGACAGGAATATGTTTATCTTTATATAAATTTGTACAAAGCTATAAAAACAAAGCAGCAATACCCCAATACAAAAGTATCTGAGTGCACTTAAAAGTTCTCAATTCAAATGTGAAACTGAACAAGTCATTTTTGCATTAAAAAAACTCAAAAAGCAAAGTGCTTTGGGGTTGTGCAGATTTAAAAAGCTTCTTCTTCATCAGAGTTAGTGTCAGCAGCAGTCTGCACACCTAAAAGTACAATATTTTCTCCTGAAATGGGTAAAATTCATGAAATTCATCTCCCACGTCTGGTTGTGAGGATTTCATCTTGCCTAAACGCTGAAATAAACCTCTTAAAACTCACTTTAATCTCAAGTATCCCTGATGTGATGATGGCGTATTTAAGGCGTCAGGTGTCACATTGCAGCCGCGCTGTCATCCTCATCAGCAGAGTCCTTAATGTCATTAGACTGGAGACCACACACAGGTACAAGAAAACCTCCTACATTCGAGACGGGAAGAGAGGTGTGAAAAATTCTCCGCAGACAAGCTCCGACACACACACCAGCTGCTTGTTTGTGCATCACGCTGAGATCTTATCATCCCCAAATGTCACAGTGTGGAAGAGGCGGACGCACACAGTCGTAGTACCTGATTCAGAACATCTTTAACCCTTTGAGACCTGCCTCTGTACTCCATAGTTTAACTGGGATCACAATACAGCTGATGCCAGTACACATACCAGGTCCCACACTGTCAGTTCAAAGGTCGTCGCCAGGGTAACGACCCCGGAGTGAGGCAGCAAGCATGGAGGGCTGAATATGATGAACCGCATGTCTTCGTCACCTGAATGTGTTTCTGTGGTCTTTTATTAATTATAATCATGATGGGAATTAATGAGTTGTTAGCAGTCGTGTTTTCCTACATTTAAATGTCCAATCTGCTCTGCTTTGTCTACATCAGGACTGCAATTTAGTTTCATTATCAATTAATCTGCAAATTCAATAAAAATGCTAAATTATGAAAAATAATCCCTATGAAAAGATGTCTGGTTTTACCCAGTCAGCAGCCCAAAACCCCCAAATATACAGTTTATAATAATTTATGACCAAGAAAAACAGCAAATCTTCACATTACAGAAGCTGCAGCTAGAGAGTGATTGGCATTTTTCACTGTATTTTCTTTAAAAATCAACAATTAATCAATTTCCAGAATAGTTGGCAATTATCTTTCTGTTGTTTGACTAATAATTAGGTTGTAATACAGTTGCTGCACAAGACAAAAGAAATTATACTTAACATTAAAATATGTGCATATAATTACAACAGTGTCAACAATATATGTATAGAAAAATATGTAAATGTGTAAAAAATATGTGCATTATATTACAGTTTATAACAATATATAGAAAATGTGCTCTTGTCTCTGCTCTCCTGTATCACAAAAAATCCTCTTGTTCACTGTTTATGTTTTTAAACTGTATAGTAGGATTGTAAATTTACAAGCTGTGAGCTGGAAGGACATTTGGGAATTTGGAGAACAAAATAAGCACATGTAGGTTCAAGTTAGCAAATGTCACAGGAAAAAAAGTATTTAAATGTTAAAGAGATTTAAAACATACACACAAGTAATACTTTTTTTAAATCCTAAGAACAGAGTAGTGATGATACAAAGGTACTTTTTATCTCAGTGTTTGTTCACACAGAAAATGAGGCAGACGACCGCTGTACAGTTGTTTTTACAGTCAATGGAAGGACGCAAAAACAACAAATTCAGTCTTTATTTTAAGCCCAAGATAAACTTTCTATCTTGAAATTATACTTGCTGTGGCCGTAATTTGTCCGTATACCTCAAATCAGAGAAAATCCTATTTCAGTCACTAGCCCTCCAGAATAATAATAAGTTCATATACACTGCTACTACTGCTATCTGAAGTGAAGAACATGAAAAGTGAAAACTACAGTAGGAAAACAAATGCTTCTAAATGTTATTAAGAACATTCATGTATTCATAAAAACCTTGATCAGTGACAGAAAGCGCTTTCAGTGAAGTCTTCAATCTCCACTGTGATCTGTGTCATAAAGAAATGCATGAAAATGTTCATGTATAAAAGATGATTAATGTTTGTTAATGTGTGACTGCTTTGTGTAGGACATGGCTCTGGCTAATGAGGAGAACATGCCGATGTTTATTCGCTGTGGCATCATGGCGTTGGTGGCAGCGTACCTCAACTTCCTGAGCCAGATGATCGCAAACCCTCCCTTCTGTCAGCACATCAGCAAGGTGCATCATTGACTCTTTATGACTTCACTGTTGAGTTACTAAATTTCATCCATTCAAGTTTTGTGGAAGCTTTATGATTTTCGATCTCTTTGATGTATCTTAAAGACTATGTTGTACATTTTTCTTGTTGAACTCACTCTTTCTTTGCAGACTGAATACTTAAAGTTCATTAATATACTGACGATCCACCGTTATTTGTAGCTGTTCAACCTTACCTCACTCTTCTTTATTCACCGGCTGTGTGATGAAATGGTTCACTATTGAATACTATTTGCTGCTTCTGTTGTTCTCTCTCCAGGTTATTGAGCTGAGGAACTTGGATGCTCCGTACCTCCTCCCAGAGCACATCTTCAGAGACAAGTGTCCGTAAGTATCCACAATTAGGCAGATCGGAGGTTTACTTTATAAACATTTCTAGAAACAGAAATAACCTAATGGGTTGAGTTAAGGTTCAACACCATTCAAACTCGGGGACCATTATTACTGGGCTTGCATAACCAAATCCAACAAACAAACAAACTAAATAAAACTCACCAAAACCGTCTTTGTTAGTCTTTCCAACAATCACCAACTCTTGTTTGGTGGAAACAATATGATATATTTATGGTCTAAATCTAATATACAGTACAGAAATTAGTTGTTGTTGTTTCTGAAAGAACTCAGGAAGCCCCTTGAGTCTTGTTTGTGAGCCAGCTCTTTATTCCAAACCTTCAGTGGTTGAGATCTGAGCCACTTTTCCTCCACTATTGTAGTCCGGATGTTTGCCTGTGAATGTGTATCTCTGATATAAAGAAGAGATCTGCTGCTGAATGTGTGGCATGCCTGAGGTTAGATTTTTGAAGATTTGAGTCTAAAAAACAAACAGCAACCCTAAAATCTCATGAAAACATGACAGCTTAAAGCCAAAGGCGAAATGTCGAAGATGTTCAGAACGTTCGGCTAAAGCCTTAAATCTCCTGTTTGTGTTTAAGCCATTATTTGTAGAGATCTTTTTCTGTAGCATCCTGTTTGAAATTCACAAACTTTACTACTTGGCAGTTTCTGAGTACAACCACAGTCTAAAACTTTTAGCCACTGAGCTTCTTGAAGGAAAACAGAGTCAAATTCTGGCATATTGGTGCTGTTATTTGATGTTTACCTCGAGTATTCAAATGTCCTGGAAACACAAATTGAACCAAACAGAAATAAACTCTTACCTAGAGCTCCAAAATCACCAGGCATCTGCTGATAAAACCTGATTATGAGATTATGAGAACCAGGATCTATTTCTGATATTAAATCCCCCCTCTGCAGTGAAAGATGCAGGGATTTTAAACACTAAATTTGGACGTGAGTGCTTTAGATCTTCTAGAAAAAGCTCTGCTCTGCTTCATTTAGATTATCTGTACACCCCAAACGTTTATCCAAATTCAACCCTAAACCATCCAAACACATTGCTTGAGATATGTGTGCTCTTCTTTGGAGGAGGTGGATCATGGTTTTCATCCCTCTCCTTCTTTTTCCCAGAATCCCAGAATCTCTGGACAAAGAGGACAGACTTCTGTACTTCCAGACAGCTGACATGACAGAGTGTCTGGCAGGACCAGGATACAACGCAGAGAGGCTCTCCATTCCCTACGTTCCCCAGGTCACAGGTACGACCGGGTCACACAAACTACATGGAGCTTTACAGCCTCTTTCATGGAGCTTTTTAAAAAGATATTTCCATCTTTTAGCCTCTATTTTAAGGTTACGAAGAACGGACAGAAAAGGTTGTTGTTATATGGTCTCCATTTTAACCACAAAGCTACTGGGAAACTGGGAGCTTTAAGTTTTAGACCAAATTTAAAGGGATACTATGCAGGATTTTGCTAATAAACAATGTACAGACTTATACATACTGATTGATCTTGTTTCGCCTCATTGGCAGATTTCTTTCTCTTGTTCAACTCCTTAAAATTGACTCTGCTCATCTTTACGAGCTCATGCTGTTCAGTTATTGTTGTTACCAACAGAACTTCATTTTAAATGCTAGTGCAGATCCCAAAGTGTCCAAAGATACCAAATATAACAGGCTGGATTTTGCATAAATGTGTACAAAATGATGCACAAGACGTCAAATATTATCATTTGATGGAGGATGAAATTTACACAAACTTAGGTCGAGATTTAAGAGTGAAATCAAGAGTTAAAGAAGGTATTAGAAAGAGTGAGATTTAAGGATTCAACCTGTGTTTCGGTGGACTGTTACATTTTTATTTCCCTCCATTATAAAGTCACATCGCCCTGCAGGAGTTGTTGGCACTCCTGGTGAAGATTTTGCCGAAACTGCTTTGAAGGATTAACAGCTTAAGGAGTTGTTCAGTGAACAGAAAACAAACTTTCCCATTGTTTGATCAGCTTTATTACACAGAAGGCTGTTGTCCTCTCTGGAAATTTAAAATGATATTTCACATTAGAGCACCCTGAACGTCTGTAAGACTTTATGAACAAAAATATTCTCCAGGAATGATGGTCCTCAAGACTCTTGATTTTTTTAAATTCTAACCCTGGAAGTAAACTTTAAATCCATACAAACTAGAGGCAAAGAAATATATTTAATTATTTGTCTTAGTTCCAATAAAGTGATTAAATTATAGCGTGGAACCCTTGAAATTAATTTGAATTTTATCCAAATCAAACAGGTAACAGGTTGAGAAGTTTGTCTGTTTTTTGGCTCGTCTCTGGTCTAACAAACCGTGTGCTTCTGTTTCCTTCCCTCTGCCATGCTTTCATCTAACATCAGTGCTTTACACAGTAGGAAAAATCCTCCACAGGTGCAAGCAGACGTCCAGAGGTAACCAGCTAGAGTAGAGTCTCCTGTCTTTATAGTTTAGTTTAGCTGGAAAAGACTGCAGATAAAGTATTTTACAAAACCTTTAGCTGCCAAAATATATTTTTTTACCCGCAGCTTTGATACTTTTGTTTTTGGTTCATGCACCTTTGATGAGCTACAAGTTTTTATCACCAGAAACCACACTGTCGGATTTTCTGTCCACCAGATTAGCTCTGGTTTTTGAACCGGTTCTGTTTCCACCAGTTCTGAGCAGAACCATTCAAGGATGTCGTCAACAGAGGGTGTTGCTCAATGCACAATTAACTGTCCTTGGTATTTTGGGTTTTTTTTTGATAGGAACCAACTTTTTCAGGTTTCCCACGTGCCTTAAATTCATACTATAACTCTCTAATCTCCATGGCAGTGAGACCAATAAAACCATTAAAGTTTGCGACGTCCTGGTGTACACAGTAACTGATATGACAATAGAGACGATGCTACTGTAGCTGCTATTGCTAAGTGCTGAAATGTATCCTGTGTGACAGTGGATGTACACCCTTGGCTTGGTAGCTTAGATCCCTTTCAACTGAGCTACACAGGACCCAACCACATACAAACACCGGCAGGAAAACTATCCCACATCCTTAAACGACTGACCAACTTTAGATAAATCCTCGTAGATTGTTAGTATTCCTTGTTGTCTCCAATGTGTAGCTGTAGACATCCTACTGTATACAGAAATAAAATGGTTTCATAATTTTTATTACTATTTTGCTTGCATTGCATCTGGAAATGTTACGGTGAGTACATGTATATGTAGACAACAATGTAGACTATGAATGTTACAGTCATTTGTTTGTTGTCGTTCATAGTGTTGTTGGTGTAGGGAGTCGTTTTTTAATTTTTGTTGAGCTTTAGTTGTCATTATTAGAAGAGAATAAATAAACACCAGCATTTTGGTACTGTCTGAGCTTGTTTGGTGTAAATGGCTGCTGCAGTTTTAAATGGGGATTGATGAGAGTGTAGTTGATTCGCAGTGGGTTCGGCAATACGGGCAACGCTTTTAAGTAAGGACACTTTCATACCAGCTTTTATAACTTAAAGTTTGGACCAAAATCTGTTAATTTCAATGGATTTCAATGGCAGTGGCAGCAAGAAAGTTATATCTTTGTCGGAGGTTAGCTTCAGGGAACTTTGACGTGCCAGTTTTCAACATCTAAATGCAAACTATCTTCACAGTCCAACATTGAGAAAGTGACCATATTAGCTGTGTCACGCCATCCACTTACATAACCCTGCTCTGTCGGGGTATAAGCTGTTCCACAAAATAAGAGTAATTTGTGAAGATTATTTCAAAAACATTCCCTTGGTTTATTGGATTTAACCTTTTGTCTGTTTTGCGACCAAGTTAGCTTGCTAGTATTAATTCTGTCGGTAACTAACCCATTATTTTCTTGGTCAAACACTTGCCACAACCAGCGGTATCCACTGCTCAACCCATGAGTAGTCACTAATCTGCCTGCACCAGAGTTTGTGAGGATGCATTTATAAATATTGCTGTCTAAACTATGAGGGAACTCGGAGATGTTTTGTGGTGGTTGTGTGTTTGTTTAGTCATGACAGACCATTCCCTTAAATCTCGACTGGTTTGCGAATGCTCAATGAAGTACATTTTTGGCTGAAAGTGAAAAATAATTCATGTATCTGCACTGTGATTCAGATATGCTCCAAAATGTAATGAGTTCCTCTTTTGTCCTTGCTACACCCTTCCACAAAGTTTGATGAAAATCGGCCCAAGTCCAGCGTATCTGATGGATACAATAGCAGTGGCTACAACAAGCCCCCAGGAAGAGCGGCCCAAAAATACAAAGCAAACACTGAATAACTGTTGAGCTAAAAGAGCCTGTTAGCTAGTTTAGCAGAGATTACAGCTAAACACTAAACAAACAAAACTAAATTTGAGAAGAAATCTACATTAGTTCTCTAACAAGATTAAGTCTTTAGTAAACATTAGTAAACAGACTTGTGTTCCTGAAGAAGACTCTCCTTCCTGAGTTGTCTGATCCTTACAGTTGAGTCAGAAATCTTGATTAAAGATCATTCTGGTGTAGTTCTGCATTAAGAGCCAAAAAGCTAAAACTATAACACTCCCAGCTCTCTCTGCTCTTCACATCAGTTTCCCCATGAGCTCCTCCAGGCAGGCTGCTGACTCATACCTCTTCAAAGTGCACAACAAAGGTCGCTGTGACTCACGCAAACAACAATTATAACGTGCTGCTGTTCTCTGTTTTCACACCTTCTCTGACCCGTAACTGCTCTGACCCTCATCAGACGACCTTGACGCCATGTTGTTCCTCGACTTGAGAAAGTATCTGTGGTTTTTATTTCTTTCGGTGCAGCACGGATGAATTCTCAAGTGCTTGAGGCGGCGGTATTAAGATGGGCCCTCCTGGGGAACGAGGTACCTGAGAAGTTTATCGCTCCGCAGGATCAGATGGATTTGTTCCTTGCTGTATTAAAGTAGAACATCAAAATAGAAATGGAAGTCTGGCTGTGTGGATAATGGAGTTTGCTGTTAGGGAGCCGAGAAGTTGCTGCTGTTATCAAGTGGCCACTAAGAACAAGTCAATAAGTACTCATACCTTCGTTACACAATGGGTGTACCACGTACCGTCAGTGCCTGACAAAGAGAGTTCAGGCAGCTAAAACGACTTGTTTCAGGTTAAAGAAGTTTAGATAAAGAAGCTCTGACTGTTGGTAGGAGATGGGAGGTGAACAGCAGTCTCTGGTGTCAAAGTTGGACACTTTCCAGCTCATATCTTGACCTTTGCTTCTGAGACAGTAAAGTCAATGTAATAATGTAATTTAATAAGAGGTTGAACAAACACATGGTGCTATCGTTTTATGGTAAGGTCTAGAAACAAAAATACTATGAAAGCTGTCAAATACAGCAGGACATCCAAGTGTTTGTTCAGGGTTCCCAAGCACCCTGGAAAACCTGGTAATTTCTGTTTTTCCAGTCAAAGAAACACCTGGAAATTGATTTAAATGACCAAATATGTTTGTATTTTAGCCCCTCACTCAGATCGCCTACCTAAACTTAGGTGCATATTTACTCTGTAACCTCGGACAAACTGGATGACACTTCAAAGCACGTTTACCAGATGTAAAGTGGAACTGACTTTAAGTGATCTTTACAGCATTGAGTAAATTTTTTCCAGAGCTGCGAGCAACATTCTCATATCTACATGCACAGCATCAAATATCTTTTTCTCGCTCTTTCATTTACTTTTTTTTTTTTTTAAACAGAAAAAGGCTCCTTTTCCGGTTTTGGTTTACTGATTTTAAAACAAAAATACACAAAAGTACCCTAGCTGAGAAAGTCCTCAGGCTCTATTGAGTGCAGTGTTTAGAGACCGGTTTGAGAGTCTAACTGCTGCTTTGCAACGGCTAACAATAATCGATGCCCCGTTTGTGAAAATGGTGAATAATTTAGTGTTTACGGCTACTTCAACACCCTGCGTGGAAAACACGGCACTTGAAAGAACCATGAAACTCAAAGATTGGAAAGGCATCTCTGAAAACTTGAAAAATACAGAGTTCATATTTTAATTTAGCACCTCTACTTGAAACCATTGACATTCAGTTTTGAACAGATGGTAAAACTTCACATTTTGTGGAAATGTGCTCCTGTTGTGCTCCTGTTGTGCTGCTGTATGTTGCATTCATTGTTTACCCAGCATGCATCGGGGTGTAAAAGTGACATGAATCCCTGGTTGAACTGTCTCTCTTCCTGCAGATGAAGATCGTCTGACCAGGAGGAAGAGTTTTGTGGACACAATTTCCCTTCAAGTGGACATCATGTCCAACAGTCTTCCGGACAAGGTCGGTGTAACTATAATGTCACAGGTCAGAAACAAACACTCTTTCCTCCCGCAAATAAAGAGAAGGGAAAACTATAACCTTCACACACAACTTTAAAACCACAATGTAGAGATATTAGATGGTGGTGGAGGAAGAGCTTTTAATGAAGTAAAAAGTACGAACACCAAACTGGGAATATAGTGATTTGATTAGAGATTTTAGTTGAACTTTAAAACCAGTGTCAGCAGTACTAATGTAGCTCTTCTTGTTTCACCCCATCCGACCTATAAAGTTTATGCACAGAGCTCCATCAGTACTGTCTGTGCTAATATACTCTGTCAGATGACGTCCTCATTTGTTCACAGCTCATCCCCAACAGCTCTTAATGACCGAGGCTTCTGGTTGGCGATTGATCAGCAGCCTGGCATCACGTTCTAGAGAAAATCTTTGATCCCGGCTTTGTGTTTTTTTATTCCTCTGCAGTCGCAGCTGGCCGAGGAGATCACGTTTGAGACCTTGAAGAAAGCCATCGGTGAGATCAAAGTGAAGTTTTTGAGACTGCGCAACTTTTACTTTTTTCTTCCTTTCACCTTTCTGTGGACTCGCTGAAGAGTCTACGAGAATACAAATGAAATATTGGCTGTTTTATCAAGAGTCCTTCAGGCCGGTGCTTCTCTGACATGAGATCCACTGAATTATATTGATAATAAAATCACAGTTCATACAGCTCACATATTTTTCTAACGTTTACATTTGACTTTTGAGCTCAACAATATGCATAGATCTCTCAAAGATCTCTGACCACTGCTCATGTTAAATATAAGCTTATTATTGCAACTTTTTTGACTGCTGCACACATAACTGATCTCCGCCCGTGTACAGATACCACCGGCCTGGAGGAGCAGGAGCGGGAGAAGAGGCGTCAGGTGATGGAGAAGTTTCAGAAAGCTCCATTTGAGGAGATTGCTGCCCACTGCGAGTCCAAGGTAGGAAACAAACAATGAAGTTGTTAAAACATAAATAGTGTACAAGAATCAGTGTCTAAAACAACCAACTCTTGTTTTTCTCCAGGCGAACATGTTGCACGACCGGCTGGCACAAATTTTTGAACTTACAATTAGGTGAGTCACATTTTTCATTTTATAACCTTTTAAAACACTCACTTGAATTTAGGATGATGAGTATCTGTTACATAATCAGAAGATTTAGTTGTTAAGTTGTTTAACTGATTTTAGATTTTAATCTGTTTCCTCAGCTTTACATTTGGATTTATGCTAACAAGCGAAACACTAGAAAAATACAGTAAAATACCAGAATTTGGCCATGGCTACATGTAAACATGTTAATATGCTAATTTTGAACATTTATTATAGTAATGTTTACTTTCGACTAGTTTTTGAACTTTTGCTATAGTTAAAGCTGCAATAGGTAACTTTTATAAGAAGTATTTTTTGGTCATATTTGCTGAAACTTTCACTATATCAGTAGAACATGAGGACCTGAATAAATCAGGTTCCTCTGGCTGCTGTAATGGTGTTTGCAAGAACCAAAACAACCAATTAGACCCGAGAAAGATGCAGTCTGACAAATACAAACTTTGCCATTTTAACATGTCACCCCCTTTCTCATCCCGCTCCCCAGGCCTCCGCCCAGCCCGTCCGGAGTGGTTTCAATCTCAGCGGGACACACCCAGCACCAGTCCGTCCCCGTCTACGAGATGAAGTTTCCAGACCTGTGTGTCTACTGATCACATGCACAAAAATATCTGAAACACAAAATGCAAAATGCTGAGAAAGAACTACAAATTTCACTCCAGTTGTCTCCATTCAGACCAGCACAACAGTGTCAGGGATGCGTTTACAAACACAAACTGCAGCCACTTTCAGTTTCATACCAAGAGTTATGCTAAAAACTGAACTTCCTCACATAAAGAACAGTTTATAGTTTATTTTGGGACCCTTAAAAAGTGAAAATGGTACTTCTGAATCCAAAAGTGCCATCTGTTTCTGCTCTCTCTTAAATACTTTGATCCTTAATTGAGCTTGAAGCAGACGTGCATTAATCCCAGACGCTCTAAATTAACTGATTGGCTGCAGTTTGTTGCCTGACTCACATCCCTAAAACTAAACATGAGTCACCAAGAACAAAAAGCAGATGAACAGTGTATAGATGCAGTATCTGACGTTACTTCACAGCATGACTCTGATCCAGTCGATCATCTCTGATCCAGCCAAAGCTTCAAACCTTGTACATACGCTGTAGTCTGAAACCAGTTCCAGGATTAACATTTGAAGCTGGTTTCAGCTGTAATGCTCCTCCTTCAGAGCCAGTTTCCGCCTCTTAACAACTATTTGTTCTCCTGTTGATCAGTAGGCGTCAGTGCCGTCACACGTTAGTAGAATTATAAATAACTGAATTAACTTCAGAAGGTGGTAGATTAGTTTTAGGCTCACTGCTGCACGGCTCAACCGGTTCAATCGTTGCTGTTTTTTTAGGCGAATAAGCATCAGAAATGACTTCGACAACCAGCTACGTTTCATGTGGAGAAATAAAATGAGAGCAATACTTAAATTTTCAAATAACTGGTTATGAACTGCTCGTCAGAGACTCTCAAAAGCCAAAGAGAGTTTTGTTTTTCAAGCCTATTGAGTATAAGCGGCTCGCTCATGGTTGGTGATTGTGGGTTTTGCTTCAGATGTTGCGTTCAAGAGCTCTTGAAAATGTCAGACTTGGAAAGCTGCAGTAACTTTGGTCCGAGTTCTTATTCCAACATGTTTTTTAAGAGGTTTGTAAAATTACATCTTCATGTTTGGTACATGGTTTGATTGTAAAGAAAGTTATAAAGGTACAAGGGCGAACACTTTCTATTCAGCAAAAGGAAATCTCACAGCAGTCGGTGTTTATTTACCAGTTTTTGTCAAAATGTTCCCTCTTTGCTGGTATTCAGTTTCAAAAACTAAAACCTGTCATTTATAAACCGACTCCGAACCAGCTCTCAAACCTACTGTGGTGGATTGGGAGGTATTAACAGACGTCTTGAGTCAGAGAATCAAGTTTTCTAGCAGCCATAACGTCAGAAGTTCTTCCTTTAAAACTGAACCAGTCAACAACAAAGTGTTTGATAGAGAGCGATCGCAAAAACATGAAAATATATCCGTAGAACTAATCTCTATCACCAGCCTGGATAGACTTTACTGTGAATAGAAAAACTGTCAATTTCTCAAATGTCTTCAGAGCGAAACTTCAACTGCAATATACTGAAACATTTGAATTGAATTTTATGCACAATCATATAACAGCAAGTTTTCTGGAAAACTCAGTGTTTTCCTCAGAAATAAACATGATGCAGTTTATGGGCATTCAGTGGGGGCAGCAGATGAGGATATAAAGTAAACAATAATCTGCAGTAAGAAATAAAACAAAGGAGCGTGTTGGCAATTACCTACGTATGTTAAATAGTTTGTTTACATCGTGCAAAAACATTTAATTTAATTTTTGCTTGAAAATCTGACCTTTAACAACAATAAACAGAAATATATCAGTTGAAGCGTTTCTATTACTGTAAGTTGCTATTGTTTGTGGACCTAGCTAGCTAGTTACGTAGGAAGATGATGCATTGAACGAAATGTAAACCTCTGATTGGTCGATTATTTCTAGATAAACTGCATGCAAACAACCATCAGTGGGCACCACGCCTTGCTGAACAGATCAGAGATGTGGGCGGTGATTCTGGGATCTAAAACCAGGCTCAAGATATTGAGTCCTGATCTGCCCCCTAGTGGATGTACTGTTAAATCCCACATAAACACACAAGTCCAGCTGCTTGTCAATGCATATACGCGTTGCTAAAGTAATAAATAATAAAGTAAATAACGTGTAATATTGAATGTAAATGTATCTCTACCAGCGGTATGAAATGTAAAAACTCTTCCTTTCTGTGGAAGTTTGTCGGGCTTTGTTCTGTACAACCAGCAGCTTCCTCACAGCTTTCTGGCAGCTTCTACACAACCAAAACATGTCCCGTTGCCAAAGACAGAAGTCGTTCCACCTCCTGTTTCCTGAATTCAAAATGTCTTTATCTAAATAAAAAACCTGGACGTTATCAGAGCCAGCGTCCTGCAAGTCGCCATATGGACGGTTTCATTCCGGCAGCTGACGACTCATCAAAGTTAACCTCCCCACTGAATGTATTAATATCAATATCAGCCTTCTGATACAAAGCGGTGACATTTTTGTGAGGATTTAATCATGTCTACTTTTTCAACAGTTGCCACAAGGCCACGTTTTGTTTCCAAAAGGGGGTACAGGAGGCGTTTTTGGAACGAGATCCTTCATATCTGGTGGAGCTGCAGCTGTGATCTGTAATAACAGATGGTTATCAGTATTTCCTCTGATCTGAGCTCAGTGTTGGAAGGAAAAATCCCTCCAGTTGGAGGCAGAAACCTGCTGCCATCGTCTGGTCTGAGCAGCTGTGCTGAGCACGTCGCCGCCGCTGCTTTTATTCAAGGCTTGAAGGTCAGTGCGTACTTTCAGAGAGAGGACGGGTTTGTTTGTTTGCTTCCTCAGAATATTGAACAGATATCAGTTGACTGGTTTGTGGAGAGGAGTCCGGTCTGGTGTGTTTGGATGCAGATCAGTTCCTCTTGTTGTGAACGATGGAGAACTAAACCGAATGAAAGAGACAAACTGTTTTTGTTCTGCTGAGCAGGATGTTGCAGCTGTGTTTGTGTGTGGTCATGAATGTTTAAGATGGTTCGGTATGTTAAAAAGTTGTCGAGTGCAGGTCGGCGAAGTGAGCTTTGTTTGAAATCACCAACATGAGCCTGAGAAGTTCGAACTTTGGCTGGTAATTTGTCTTTTTCAGGAGTCAGTGTGATGGCGAAGCAGCTTTTGAGCCCATTTCCAACCCGGTATCGACACTAGGGACTTTCACTGTGTACGAAAAGGTCAAACAAATTTAAAGACAAGACTCAAACAAACAATCTCAAAACACAAAAACTACCAGTTGGGGATTAATGATCTTAGAGGATAAAACGTTTGCTCTTAGCACACTAATGGGCCACATGTCCTTACATAATAATGTCAAGCTGATGGTGTAGCGCCCTCTGCTGGATCACATGGCAAACTATTAGGGACGCACGATATGGATTTCTTTCCATCAAGTACGATTTCAGTAATTACCTGCTTCTCATAGCTTGGATCAAAATAATAAATTGGTAATAAATTGGGTTTTTTTGTATAATTTCTTAGAAATTGAAGGCTATGCGCTAGTACTTTGGTGACGTATGGCTTAAGTTTTTGCACAGGGGAAACATGGTCAAATTTGTGATGACTTGACAAAATTGCTAGAATTCACGTAGATTGGTCGGTTGAATTTTCTTTGTTTCTCTTTATAGGCTGTAAATTATAAATTCATTACACTTCCAAAAATACCACATGTTCGTACGAATTTTATAATTTTGAATAAAAAGTGACAGCCCTCACTGTTGACGGGTTTGGAAATTAAAAGGACAAAATGATGAGCGGAGGAGCCTCGAGGAAATAAAACTCCCTTTGATATTTATAGAACAAACTCACCTTCACTGATGCATTAAACTTATGAATTATCTTTTGTGTATATTCGTAACGTTTTAGCTTTAAATGCAAACTCTTATGATTTAGTATCATAGCTGTACTTACAAACATGCATTATATTTACTAACTGCATGATATTATCTTAATATCACGTTGTCAGCCCCTCGATGGGCTCTGGGAATATATGTAAAAAAAATCCATCTAAACAAGTTTATTTCATCGATTGAATCCTAAAAGTCAGATTTTTCTTCCGACTGATGAAAAACGAGCCAGCACAGTGGAAACTGATTTTAGTCCTGGAGATAAGTCTGATTTTAACAGTGGATGAATAATTGCTTAGATGTGGCTGGAATACACGATCACTTCCTCTATGAATGTGTCATTATAGCAGTATATCATATATTTTTGTACATTTTATGCATCATGTATGGTCGTAATTGTTGCCTGGTAGAGATTTAGAGATTGGGAGATTTATTCTTGTCGATCACATTTATCGAGACGAAGACAAATGCTGATTTATTTTTATTTTTAAATTCAGATTTTTGTTTGAATTTCAACGGTTCAGGGTTTCAAAGGGGATTGTGCAGTTATTATCAGTGCGGGAGAAATTATGGAAATGTTACTTGATTAGTTATGTTTTATTGTAGAATCCATGCTATCATTTCATATATGCTGAAAAATTAATATTATATCTATAGTCAGACGTTATTTTTCGTTAATCGTTGCAATCTAGATATATTTATCCCAGAAGTTGCCGTTTCGGTTTCGTCATCAGCAAAGTTTGACATTTAAAATCTTTCCAGACATTTCTGACCGAGAAGTCTCCAGATTAACTAAAATAGTTTTGCAATTTTAATTGTTTCTGTTCACCAAGAAACTTTAACATTTTAGCTCATGGAGGCAATAAGGTACTTTTAAGTGTCCTTTTTTCTGAATCATAACTCAGTGAAATCTGAGCACAAAGACGTGATGAACATATTTTTAGATTGGCTGTGAATATGAGATTCTGAATATATAATTATATCTGATAACAATTACAAATAAACACCTGTAAATCCTCTCAGAAATCACCGGAAAGAAATCTACTCCTTTAGCTCCAGAACTAGTGGTGATAGTTGTCTGTACATCCATCGGTACGTTACAAAGGGGGACAGCTAATCGGTAATTCGGCATACTTTTAATGCCAGTTTGAAAAAACACACAGATCTCAAGCTGTAGCCTAAGCTAACTCACTGTCTCCATGGTAACACTATGGGAGCTGTAGTTATCAAACAAAGAATAATAATAATCCATTAATAATAACAATAGTAATGTTGCACTATGAAAATATTTTAAGCAGTATTAAACTTCAGGTTTTGCTTGGAAAGATTTTAAATTACAGGAAACTGTTTTTGGTCCATCTAACTTTTGACAACTATAGAAAATAATCAGATTAACACGAGTTTCTGTTTTCTGGACCCGAATCTGCAACTTCTTCTCAAAGCTGACTGATAAATAATATTTAAAATCAGAGTAACTGATCTCGGAACAGTCTTAGCTGGATGCAGAAATCAACCAATGATAAATCTGCAGTATATTAAATAGATTTAGCTTGTTAAAGTAGTGGCAGCAGGTGAATTTCCTCATTAACCGCCACAATAAAACATGACATTGTGTTTGCACTTGGATCACTGTGTACCTGGTACTATAGCAAAACTCAATCAGCACAGATTAGTGTTAATTGGTACAAATTGATCAATTAGAGGTATATTTTTCCCAATGTTCAGTTTGTGAAATGTTGTATTTAAGAATAACTGTGTGAAACCGTAAAAACAAAAAAAAACAACATCTCTCTTGACTGGTGTCCGAAGTCAGTATCAAGTCTTAAAAAAAAAAAAAGTTAAGACGAGAGAAGATCTCAGTAAATGGGGTGAAATAGTTTCACTGCTGAACTGCCTTATTTCAGAATGCTGGACACAAAAACTGCTTTAAAAAAACGACAAACTTTTATTCACTTTTCAAGATGGATCTGTTGTTTTTTTTTTGTTTCAGCTGCAGAACAAAAAGAAACTGAGCTTCTGGTGATGTTTTTTTCTGTTTGTGATGCAACAGTTTGTATTTCTGTGCCAGTTTTAGAGATAAAAAAAAGTTTCTCTGTTTCCGAAAACTGCTCGAGCTTTGTTTCAAACACACTGACGATGATTTTAACCACTAGACGGCGCCAAGGCTCTGCTGCAAGTTCAGGAAATGATTTTAAATCTCATTTGAATGGTTCCACATCCTAAATTTATCGTTTTCTACACGCAAACGTACATGTTCTGCCACTAGGGGGTCTCACTGGGGTTACAGAGCACCAAAATCTAACCTGTGGATGGTAAAAAAGTTTATAGACATTTTTAATGCAGAAATGTTTCATATTAAAGCTTTTACTGTTTAATCCTGATTCTTTAATTTCATCCATTAAATGTTGAGTCACAAACGAAAAAATCTGCAAAATACTTGAGTTGGACAGTTTCACCGTTGGCTATTGTCGGCACCAAACTCTTAACGTAAAGCACTAATTATTATAATTTAATATATTAATAATAATCGTTATTATGAGTTTAGTTAAAAGAAGCTCACTCACAGTCCAACAGCTAACGGACTAATTAGCAAACCTATTTACCGACAGTAGTAAAGTGGTAAAGCCCGCCTCTTGCTTTAATTGATTGGTTGTTTGGTCCAACGCGTCTAAAACCTGCTAGCAAAACTTCTAATTTGTCACAATCGATTTAACTAATTGATTGAGACGAGCAGCAAATCATCACCTTTGTAAAGTCCTTTTCATCAACTAACAGACAAATTATTTCCACGCCGTGTTCGTTGAATCCTTCAGATTGTGTGCGGCGGCCTCAGCGGAGCCTCGGCGCCTCATTACAAAGCCTCTATTTAATTAAATAGTAAACTGTGTGTTTCAATGTTGGAGACTAAAATAAAAATGTTTCTATCGAAGCAGTTTGTTTGTCTTTTTTTTAAAGGACGAAGCAACAGGCGGACGTTTGCTGTTCTTCATGTTTCTTTAATAAAGTCATTTTCTAAAAAGTCAAATCTGTAAAAAAAAAAAAAAAAAAATCTTTAAACAACGATGGGGCTTCTAGATCTCCTCCTCTTCCTCTCCTCCCCCTCTTCTTCTTCTTCTTCCTCTCCCCCCGCTTCCTCCTCCTCCTCTTCCTCCTTCATCCCGGTCCCTTCTGGTCTCCCCGCTGGTCGGTGCCCGTGGCTCGGCACCACACTCGGCCTGTGGTTGTGGGTTTGAATTCCGCTGTGTGTCGGCGGCTCTCTGCTCTGCTCGCTGGAGGGAGGAGGAGGAAGAAGAGGAGGAGGAAGAGGAGGGTCAGGAAGTGTGGAGCTGACGTATGATCCAACAGGAGGATTTGACTTGTCTTCGTCCTTCAGGTTAGAACTTTCCTCACTGCAGACAGACGGAGAATTAATGAGTAAAAAGCTTCAAAAACGGAGAGATTTTCACGTTTTAGACGCTAACAGATGATTTTATTGATCAGAAATTAGTTTTATTGATATTTTTAGGAACTTTCAATACAATTCTATGTCTGTGTTATGTATTTATATAGTTTAGCAAAATGTAACCTAAACTTTATCAATTGTTTTCATACTATAACTGATCGTACTAATAAATAAAATATAATAAAACATCTACCACTCACCTGCTGAGACCTCGGTGTGGCGGCAGCGGTGGCGTGTTTGTATCCGTCTCCTCCTTTATGGGTTTCTCCATGTCGGATCCTCCTCCCTGCTGCTCCTCACTCTCCTCGCTGGACTGAGGAGGCCCTCGTGGTTTGGGGGGTCTGCTGGCCCGGCGGCAGGGAGGTCCAGGGCCACGGCACCGCTGCAACGGCAGGCTGTGGTTGAAGTGGGCCGCCGCCATGCACTCTGCCGTCGTTTTATCACACACACACTGCAGCTTGTCGCACACGGAGACGCCCTGACCTGAGGGGGGAGAGGGACAGAGTCAAAGGTCGAGAGAGAGAGAGAGACCTCCGGGTCATATTCAGCTCTTATAATGTAAAATTATTCTGAATCTTGTTTGACTCTCGCCAATGTGGCTTTATTTCAAAATAAGATAAGATTGATCCCCTGTAGAATAAAATACATACATATGCCTGTATTTATGTAGATCAAATTGAAAAATAAAAGTTAAATTTGCTGTTTTTCTTATGTTAGTTATATGTCTGGTTCAGACACGATAAGACCCCGACCTGACAGATGTAGAGTGCCGGGTTCGACAACCGTGGTTTTTCCTGGGGAGTTTTAAAGAAAAAAAAAAAAAAAAAAAAAAAAGAGTTGTTTCATCGAGATAAACGATCAATGTGAGGAAGGTTTCATCAGATCCTAAATGTGTTAAATGTAAGTCAGAACTTATTCAGAAAAACTGTTTCTGTGTGATCTTTTTATCTTCTCCTCTTGGCATAAATGGTGTTCCATATAAACTCCGTCATTACTCTAATCATCATTACTTTAATCATTATCTTCCATCATTGTATCTGTACTCACATCGAGGTTTGGCGCCCTCGCAGGAGATCTGAGCATTGAGCTTCCTGTCCGCCCTGCAGCCCATCGAGCTTATCTGCTTCAGGCAGCAGTGATGGAAGAAACAGCACCTGATGAAGAGTAGCAGAGCTGATGAAGAGTAGCAGACCTGATGAAGAGCAGCAGAGCTGATGGCCACTAGAGGCTCCAGCAGTGAGTCCATAAGTAACTGTACGAGGGGTTAATCTTTATATAACTCACCTGTTTACATCATATTAAGGCTTTATTATGGTTTTACAGTAACCAGACTTCATTCAATTTAGTCTTTTATTACATTAGAAAAAGCTCAGTGTTCTTTAATATCTCAGAATTGTATCACATAAGTGAGATTTATAGTCAATATTTATGACTTATTTATTGATTTACATAAATGAGCTTCCATATAAAGGCTGTCTTTTCAAACTCAGGCAAAAAAAATCTAAATGTTGACTTTAATCATTGACTCTATAGTTGTATTTTAAATTTTTCTTCCTGACATAAATTAGCTTCTGTATTTTATCTCACTTCTTCTCTTCTACGCTCAATCACAGAATCTAACCTTCCTCAGATGATATAAGTCATCATCACTTCCTGTATGCTCACCTGTCCAGCTGGTCCCGAGGCGGACCGCCGCCCTCCTGCCCGCAGTAGCAGCCGTACATCTCGTACTCGTGCGGGCATCGACCCGTCAGGCAGTGGAGCATCTCCCCGAAAGCCGGCATCTCCTGGCTGGCTCGCCCGTCGTTGCCGTACACGGTGAAAGAGCGACTGCATTCTGATTGGAGGGAAAAACACAGGTTAGTTCGTTACCTGACATTAATGACATCCATCAGCGGCGTGCGGCCGTTTTACCTTTGCTGTCGGCCGGCTGTAGCTGAATCTCTGACAGCCCGACAGACTCCAGCAGGGACCAGGCGAAGAACGGCACCGTCCTCTTCTGAGCCACGTCCCAGTCTGCCAACACACAGCAGCTTAAATACCATCGTTACAGAGACATAGAGGACACGTTAGAGATATGTTTTATGTACAAAATATTGATTGTATTGATGCCGAATCGATAGTCAGACTGTTGGGGTATGACGCTCTTTATCTCGTGTTTTTACAGACGTGTAAGAAATTTGTTAAAATATCACGTTTCTTAAAGGGAGATTTTCAAACTGCTGTGTGTAAGTTTTAAAGTTTCGTCACCGCTACAGAAACACTAAAGTAAGATAAGGTAGTCTGATCTTAACTGTTAGTTTGATTAATCGTTTAATCATGTGTGTATTGATTACTGATGGTGACTGATCAGACTAATTAATAAGCCTGTTGTACTTAGTTTCAGCAGTGTGCAAGTGATTTCATTTAGTAACTTACCAAACAGTAAGTATGACTTAAAAACCAAGTATAAGTAATTATTTATAAAACTTTACTTTGGAAATGTTTATCTGTAAGAACGTCTAGACTTGTTTTAAGTGATTTATGTTTCCATTTCCTTCATCCATGATCAATAAAGCTGCTCTTTCACAATAAATCTCAGTTTATTGCAGTATTATATATAAAATTATTAGTTCTGGTTCTGTAGTTTCTACAATCTTCAATAAGCTTATAATTAGCCTGATCAGCAATCATCAGTGATCAATACATACATTATTAAACCATTAATCAAATCAATAACTAACAGCAGTCAATGTCAGACAACATTATCATACTTTAGTGTTTCTGTATTTGTGAAAAATGTAAATACAGCAGTTTGAAAATCTCCCTGCGCCAAACTCCCTTTAAGAAATGTGATATTTTAATGATTCCTTAAATGTTCGTAAAAACACGTCAGTCTAGAAACACGAGATAATCACACATCGACAGTCTTCTGATCAATTCGGCATCAATATAATCAATGAACTAACAATATGTTTATAAATGAGGCCTCTGTGTATATACAACTGGGGTCACGTTCAACCTGCAAACACAAAAAAGCTTCGAGCCAAGAAAGAAAACATGAAATCATTTCTAATTATTTAATTTATTCCTTATTGAGAAAATGTGAATTTATAGTTAAAGTTCTTTATGTGCTGGTGTTTCTTCTGGCCGTCATTAGAGTTCACAGATTACTTCATTTAACTTTTATACCTTTTTAGAATATAATTGACTTTATTGAACCCACGAGAGGTTTTTAATTTATTCTTTTTATTAAAATTTTATTTAACTGAAATCAATGAAGGGGCCAAACGAGGAGGAAGAAAACGCCGTTTGTGTGTTTTTATGTATTTTAACTCTAATTTACCGTCAGTCTCTTTCTCCTGCGAGCTGTCTACCAGCTCTCCTTCCTCACATGGAGCTTTCTCTGGCTCCTCCTCTTCGGATTCGGTCTCCGCCGTCGTGTGCGAGGTCGGCATCGTGGTTCGGGAGGAAGTGGCGCCCTCCGATCTCGAGTTGATGGCGGTTGGCGTCGTGGTTCGGAAGGACGTGGCAGCCTCCGGTCTCGAGTTGATGGCGGTGACTCTGCTTCCTGCCGTCGTCTGAGAGACGCTGCTCATTGACGTTGGCGGTAAGGTTGTTGGTTGTTGAGTCAGTCGTCCTGATGATTAAATATAGTTTTATTCATTATTCAGAGCAGTCTACGGAAGCCTTAAACGGTCGTACATTCAAACAGTTTTTAATTATTCCGTTAATTTAGGATAACAAAAGTTGATTAACTGATTAATTTATCTCGTTATCTGGAGAAAAATAAAATATTTTTTAATTTCTTGAGATGATAAACACTCAAGAGCAAGACAAGAACAACACATCTCATTTTCACACATATATGTTTGTGTATATACGTCACTTTCCACATTTAAATCTCCAGTTTGGGTCAAACGTTTAATTAACGTTCTGTGATTTCATTTTCCAAAGACAGTTTTTTCCCAGTGACGTGCAGCTGCCTCACCTTGGCTCAGGGGGCCGAGAGGAGCACCGATGGCGGTGGCGAGCGTCTTTGGTTCGATGTTTTCCTCCCGGGACGCGTCAGGAGGAGCTGTGGTGGTTCTGACGGGGTTGTTCTCCGGTCCAGAGCTTCTTGGTGAGGATCTTGTTGTCACCGTGGTAATAATTTCTGGGCCAGATTACAGAGAGAGCGGTTAGAGTAAAAACTAACTTATTTAAATAAATCTTTGTCTTTATGTTCACATATTACATTGTGGACTCTCCTTAATGTGCTAGTGCTAACTAGCTAGACAGAACATGGTATTACTGTGCTAATTAAACCTTTCCAGTTTTCCAGTCATGGAAACACCTGGAAATTGATTAAATGACAAAACACCCTGGAAATAATCTATGTTGTCCTGGAAAATTTGTAATTTCATTTTAGCCCCTCACTCAGATTACATTAGCTCATGTGGTTTGTAATTGTAAGTACCATAAACCAGTATTTACCATCTACATTTTTTAAATTAAATTAAAAATTCTACTTGATTTGAGCTCTAGGCTAAGTGTTGCAAGCCGTTTCCTGTCTTTATGCTAAGCTAAGGTAAACAGCTGTAGCTGCCAGGTATCGATCAGCACAGCAAAATATATTTTAGCCACATAAAAAGATCAATATCAGTTTAAGGGTGCTCTATTGTAGGATATTTTCACAGCTTTACCTAATCGTCAGACAGGAAACTGAAGCGTTATATATCCAGTGTTGGGCACGTTAATGAAAAATAGTAATTAGTTATATTTGCTAAGTATCTAAATTACTTTACCAAAAACCTTTTTTTATTTTTTTAATTTACATTTTGACATTTTTTCGAACTTAGGGCGAAACTTCAATAAATCCAAATTAACCCTTCAGTTCGGGGGTTCGGTTCAGACTTTGTTAAAGCTGCTTTCTGGATCTTTTTATGGATTAAAAACAACATTTCTGCCCCAGTGAGCCGAACCTTCAGTCGCCCTCAGGACACTGGCGCTCTCCTCGCCGACACCCTCCTCTGAAGCCGAAGGTGTTGCTGCTGTGAAGGTGAACACAAAGACCTTCAGAAGTCAGACATTAATACATTCTTCTTCATCATTAAAGACCAGAATTAATCATGTTGCTGGTTTTTATTAAAGCCTGAATCAGTTCCTCATCTCACCGTGCTCATCTGAAACCTCCTGTTGCTCTTCATCACCATCTTCCTCCTCTTCTTCTTCTTCAGATGACTTTAAGGTTGGGGCACTGGGTGTGGTTGTTCTTCTCTCAGATGGACTGATTTGTGGTTTTGCTGAAGTTGTGATGATCAAACCTGCACAGATTTAATTAATAAATAATAATATATAAATATTATTATTATTGTACATCTACAGATTAAGTGCAGATGTACATTGCAGCTTTATTTCTATAAATATTTTCTAAAGAGAATTTTTTGCCTTTAATCTAAACTTTTTTAAATCGATTTTGCCTTTTTTCAATCATAATTTTTATTGTTTCCGTAAGAAAAATAGCTTAAATTATTCCAAATAAAGTAAAATGTAATTCTCAGGAGTTTGTATTTACAGCTGCCCTCTTTCTACAAATATATTATTCTATTTTATTTTTTTAAATTAAAAAAAGCTTTTTCGTTTTCATTTTGTTTTTTATTCTAAAAATGTCTCATTCTTAATAATTTGGGTATTCGCTCTGCTTCCACAGCCTTTTAGCAGCGGTAATGTATAATATATATAAACTTTGATTTATGTCCTTCAATGTCCCCAAACTGTGATTGATTATTTTTTTGTTCGTGTTTTGGTACATTTAGAATCTTTTTCATTTGCTTATGTGTTCAAATGTAATGTCAAATGTAAAAAGTTCATAATAAATTAAGCTAACGTGAAACATTTTCCTCATTAAAACAAATATGAAAAATATTTCCTAATCACCTTCCTCAGACGACTCCTCCAAACTGGTCGGCTCTCTGGGAGTTGCAGTCCGAGTCGAAGCTGTTGAAGACGTCTCCGTGTTTCCAAAGCTCAGTGAGGAGAGTTCGGTCGGCTCGGATTCTCCTTCGCTCGCTGTTTCTCCATCGAATAAAACCGAATCTGGAATCGAGTGTTTAATATAATCTCTGAGCTGATGAACTGACTTAAAATACAGTTGTGTTATTTGAGTTTTACCTCACAAATGTTTCTCACATTACTAATAAAAACATCAGTTTTTCAATTCTGTTCAAAATACCATTGAAAACACGGCAGTTGTATCTCAAACTTTGGTTTTGGATGTCATCTTTTAATTACAAACCTAATTGCTAGTCAAACTATCTTTATAATGGAGTCAATGAGGCACGAAACATTGTTGTGTTTTATAAATCGTTGAGCTCTTTGACCAACTTTAGTGCTCAGAACAACAACAAATACAGCTACAATTATCCTAGCAAGCTAACCTACTTAGCATCCCCAGCTAGAAAAAATTACAGTTTATTAGCGTCCTTCATTTTCATTGGTCACTATTGAACTCAATGCGCTAAAGCTAAAGCAGATTTATTCTTCCAAATAAGTCGACTTTGTGTTTTTGCTGTAATAAATTAATATAGACCTAAAACGTGATGTTATAAATGCTGATCTGTAACAGTCGCAAAAGCTTAGCGTCATAAACATCGTAAACTGACTCAGTAACGTCAGTTACACAACAATATCTAATGTGCCTAACATTAGCTTCCATAAGCTAACTGGGTATATATCAGATAAAGTAAAACTGTAGCAGCAGCGAGTGTTTTAAATTGTTTCATCGCTCATTAATTCAACTTTTCAATTGTAGTTGTTTTTTTAAATTTTTTGTTTTAAATAAAATAAAATAGTGTTTTTCTGCCTTCAGCTTAATTTTTCAAGTAAATCTTATTTTTATTTCTTTCCTCTTTTTTCTGTTTATTTGAAACAAACCAAACATCTAAATGCTTCACTTTCTTTCAGAGGTTTTTACGAATTGAACATTGACTGAATCACTGTTATAGGAATCGTGTGAATAAAAACACCAACTGTTCCTTTATATTAAAGACTGAGTACGTTCCTGTTATCAATTGAGACGAAGGATATTATTGGCTCACCGGGGCCGATCGCTGAAGGATTGTGGGTCGTCTGATCTTTATTTATCTCTTCCAGCTCGAGTGCTTCCTCCGTCGCTGCCTCATTCAAATCTGTAAAAGTGAAGACGAATAAAAAAAAAACGCGTCAGGAAACGTCTGTGCCGACGGTGAGTCACCGAGCAGCAGGAGACGAACAGCGGGGGAAATTATTTCTGGTGTTTTGGAAGCTGCCAAAAAACCGTCAGCTCGAGCCAAATGTAATTATGAGCAGCTTGCAAAAAACACAAGTTTGCCAGAAAAGAACTTGAGGGAGGATCACAGTAAGTACGTACAGATGGAAAACAAGAGGCTGAGTAATGCAACTGTTTTACCTCGAGGGATGAGACTTGCCTCTTCCTCTTCGACCTCCTCTGCGCCACCTTCGCCTTCCTCAAACTCCTCTGGAAACACAAACCAGAGAACAATTAACAAACATAGACGCTGATACGTTTTCCAGAGAATAAAACCTCTAATAATAAAGTACTGAGGTGGTTTGTATTGCCGGTTTTGGCTCCTTTTTTGCTCTGTGTGTTCAAACCACTTCAGATTGAATATGTTCGTATGGCTCTTGCCCGTCATACACTCATGCTGGACCCCGCTATCTTTAAGTCACCCAGGTTCTGACCTCTGCTCATCCCTGTGTTAAACCTGTGACCCGTGGGCCAATTACAGAGCGTACCGGCGGTCGCCAGCAGTAGGGGCGGGCCCGGTGGTGGGGTGGCGAGGTCACCGTCCATCCTTGTGGTGTCGCTCTGGTTATCCACTCTGCCGGTCATTAGCAGGTCAATCTCTGCCGGACAGACAGAATAACAGTCAAACCCAAAGACGCACTGATCATTGAAAGCTGCTTCTTCGGCCTTTATAAACCATCTAACATCAGTTCGACCACAAACAGATGTTTTACCTGCTGACAGGAGCGAAGAGTTGGAGATCTGGAAGCTCTCAGAGTCGTTTCCTGCTGAGAGAACATCTGGAAGGAAGAACGACCGGATTAAACCAACAGATACCGGATCAATTCAGTCTGCATATAGATTAATATACTCCAAACAGTCACTTCAACATAAAGCATAAAGTCCGTTAGCATGATATCATAACCTGGGACCTGTTAGTTTTAGCTTCTGTCTGTTAGCTGTTATCCAGTCTGAAGCCACATATTTTATTATTGTTTAGATCTTGGTGCCTTTTAACTCTAGATTTGAACCGGATGAAGGATTTCAGTCATCGAACGTCTGGATCTTAAGTTATCAGATAAACAAGCTGAGCTAACGTTAGCAGCAGCTCGGGTCGCAGCCCCTCCAGACTGTCTGACAGGCCTCCAACCGGCTCCTCCACTTTAATAAACTCATCCACCTCAACTTCTCCTGGTTCTCTCCAACCGACTCAGCTGGAGCAGAACGTCTATATTTGGACCTGACGGATCAAAGACACTCTGTACAATCTTTGATTTTTGTTTTTCCAGCTGCGCGTGGGCAGGAAGCCTCGGGATTAAACACCAAGAGGTCATTGTTTTAATTGGCCGAGGGCCACAGAGGTGTGACTCAGCCTCCTGCGCTCCGGCCCAATCAATCGCTGACCCCGCTCACAAACTGACGCACTGTCTGGAGAGAGCTGACGCTGACATTTTGGTGGTCGTGTCCTCTCGAAAGCTCCCTGACTCAGCGTCATTCGATCATAGTTTCAGACCGACGGGCGCTGACGTCACTCAGACTCACCTCTGAAGAGTTCGGCGGTCTCCACGGTGCCACCGAGCACATCTGAAACACAGAATGAGACTAATGAGATTCAGTCTGCTGTTGGACTGAGAGAGAAAGTTAATGATCCAACTGCTGCTAACAGAAACAACATGATCACATCATTACTTCACTCTTTAGTCTTCAAACTGAGTACGTTTAGAGATTGATTTTAAGATTTTACTGATTACTTTTCCCCCAACTATATCGGATACTGTAGGTGCCGGCTCTGAGTTTTAGATCCAGGGCGGAGGTCTATTGTCTATAGCACTCAGAGTGTTTCATTATAGTCTAATATATTATAATATGTACATAGTACGTGTGTTTAATACACATGATAATATTGTATCATAAGATTAAAAAGTAGTCTAAAATTCTGGCAATTAATTAATGGGACTGTTGATAAATAATTAAAGTACATGTTTATAGTCATCATATTCTTCTTAATAGTTCCTCAGTTGATTACTCACAGTAAGACAATTATTGTTTGTATTTGATTTCCTGATATTTTAAGTTTAAATATGCAATCAAGGCATTCATATGTATATATGGAGCAGAAATCTGAATATTGTATAGAGCTAGGTTCAAAATAGTTAAATCTACAAAATATATATATCAGAAAATACTGTCAACAGCCATAAAATAATACATTTTTACCAGGTTTACCATGAACAAACCCTTTATAAATATTAAACATTGACATTTAATATAGTAAAATATTTTATCTAATAGATATCCGCATGAAACATGAAAAGTTGATTACTTTCATTGAGACAATTATGATAACGTTTTCTGACATTTTATGTTTAAATATGCAAATTAGTTTTTTTTCTGATACAACATTTTGGTGAAATCTACAAACACAAACAGACAAAGTGAAGTAAAATAAACATCTAATTTTGTATTTTGGGTGTTTTCTTTCCATTAGTTTGAAAGAAGACGTGTTATAGAAGCAAAACAACCCAAAATCTCCAAACTGACCACTGCATAAACAATGTTTCTGCCTGTAGTATGTTTCTATTGCACAGAGGCTGCTGTCTGCTGGTCCTTGGAGGAAGTTACCTGTGTGATTTGTGGCGAAGCAGGACGAGTCGGCGAGGCCTCTCAGGGTTGAGTTGTACGAGCTCTGAGTCACACAGTCGATGGCGGCCTGGTCACACTCACAGAACCTCTGCTGACACCAATCGCCACCGTCTCCAAGACAACAGAAAGACCAATTTATGTAGGACGACTTTTATTTTCTCTGGTGTGACAGCAGCAGGACACGTTTACCTTCAGAAAACCTACAGTTACAGTAAATCTTACTCTCATTAAAGCAATAATTCAAGTTTCTGTGAAATATTTTCTTTTTTCAGACACGAGTGGAAGTGATTTCACTCTCAGCTCACCACAGCTGGTGTTTGCTGCCGGACAGGTGAAGTTATCCAGGAGCGGAGGCAGCTGCTGCCTGCAGGGGGCGACGTTCTGGTAACACAACCTGTGAGTCTCACAGCAGCTGCAGCAAAGAAGAAATGAGAGATACTTCAGACTTTTAACAGCAGATGGCACTGAAATACAGACTGTTTATGTACATATATATACATATATACATATTATATATATATATCACTTCTGCCCCTGGTGGCTGCGGCAGTATAGGTCATAAAGCTTTAATATAATTTAAACAGAATTGGACAGTTATGAACGGGGAGATTAGCTCTGGAGACTAAAAGGCTGTAAACATGTTTATTTCTGCTGTAAAGTTAATATGAGGCCTTAAGGAGACTTACTGCTGGAGTTATATGCTAAGCTAATCTATGTTGAGAAGATAACCACATACTGAAGATGGTTAAAGATAAGCGACGTTGCTGTTGCTAGTTATTGTACATTAATTATTAAGGAGCTGGTTACATCTGAAACCTGATGTTAGCCGCCTCTAGTGGCCGTTAGAGGAACTGCGTTTTTGTTTAAAGCAGTGATTCTGAACCTTTTCAGCTCTTCATCCTTTAAAACAAAGCGACTTATCTTGCAAACATTTGAACAATATTGGTTTTTGGTAATATAATTATCCAGAAATCACAAGAAAATGAAAATATTAGAGCGAAGCCTGAAAAAACTGAATTTCCTGTTGCTGTTGATCTGTCATCTGTCACTTTATTAAATTAATAAAATATGTTTTGTAACCAATAACTCTCTTATGTTTTAAAACCTCACTCTCCAGCTGCTTGTTGAATGTCTTTCTGCCCATTTCAGACTCTCCCAGCTTGCTCTGCCCGAACCAGCCTCTGGCCTCTGGACTCATTTAAAGCCGACATGATGTATTTTACATTCAACAGCTGCTTCAGTCTTTACTCACGCATCCAGAGGATCTAAGGGATTTCCGGTGGCCGCGTATCTGCAGGAGCAGCCGTAATCTTCCAGGTCTCGCGGACAAAGCCCCGTCTCGCAGCGGAGCTTCAGAGCAAAATTCAGCAGCGAGGGGAAATTATCGAAGACCGAGTGGAGCCATGTGAACCGAAGACCGAGGCAGTCTGAGTCAGGAAGAGGAGGGAAACACACAGAGGCCGTCAGAGGAACAAACCTCAACAACTCGATTTCCTCCATCTTGCAGTCGGAGCGATTTAATCAGATAATCCTGCCGGCAGGTTCCAATAACCCGAGTCCAGAGGAGCATGCAGGCCGGGGATTTATTTAGGCCACATGCTCTCCACAGGCCAGATGTACCAACAGTGCCGATCAGGACTAAAGGTCCACCTTCATGTTAAGGGCACAAAGAGGCTGACGGAGGAAACAAGGTTTCAGTCTGCAGACACACCGACCCAATCAGATTTACTTCATTCACACGGTTATTGTTTTCAAATTTACTTTTGATTTTCTAAACAACTGGCACTTCATAAGCCCCGCCCCTTTTTGCTATGTGCTCCAATAACAGTTGAGCAAGCCTCTGTCAATTTCCTCCTTTCCTGTACTGAGATATGCTATATGCTAAGCTAATCTATGTTAATAAGACAACCACAACAGTAAGTGAGCTGATGTGTTAGCTAAATGCTAGCTAATAAACTAGCTAAATTTATCCTACAGTCTGTTCCCTAAAGAAATCTCATATAATGAAAGTAGTGAAAGTTCTTCTGTTGTCCTAATATTCAATTCACAGTTTTTAAGAAAAACTCTTTGATTTACAGATTATTGTTGTATTGATTCACATGTAGCAGCTTTATCTGTTTAAACATTCCTTCTGTGAGCTCTACGACACCGAACTCCTGCCCTACGTATGTATAATATGTTATTTAACAACAACAGACAATTTCTGCCTCTTTTTTAGGAGGCAGGAGTGAAACTTCCTTTATCCTCAACATTTATTATGTTCTCAGAATGATGAAGACAGAAACGAGATGAAACATTTTTCCCACATCAAGAACAGATTTTATCTCAAGTGGTTTGAGCGAACGTGTCCGCAAACGCCTGCTAGAGTTGGTCAAACCCCCGAATGTTTACATCGTCTGTTCATTTGGATTTAAAGGCATATTATCTATTTATATAACAAAGATCAGCATAAAGTTTAGATAATAAATATAAACAGATGATATGTATCTGTATATGAACACATACTGACCCTTTAAACTCTTTTCAATCACCAACTTTAATCAGCTGATTCATTAATTAATAATAATCAAGGCTCTGAGTCTCACAACGGTTCATCCTCACCGGTCACGTGATCTTCTTTCTGCTCGCCGCCCTCCGGGTCCGGGCAGAAGATGGAGCCAGCATAAAGTGCTGAAGATGAAGATAATTAATTATAATAATGAAGAACTGATTAACATTTAACACATCAGTAAACCGTCATATTACATAATGTCACTGATTTATACGCCTTTAACTTCAGTTTCAATAACTAAATCAGGAGTTTTTTATAATATTAATAACTTTATTTAATGGATTTTGGTCCATTCGTGCGTTTTTGGGAACTCACCGTTTGGAACAGCAGATAGCACGAAAATCCATATCAGAAACATGACTTGAACCTGCATTCAGAGGGAGAACGGTTCAGTTTTAACTCTCAGAGCTCCCGCCAAACGACATGGTTCTGTGTCTCTTAATGGCTTCAAACCGCTCGGCCCACCTGCAGCTTTAAGTGCGTCATCAATGTTATTCGAGCCCTGAACCCATTTCAGTGCGAGCAAGAGGAAGTTATCGGTACCTCTGAGGTCAGCGCGGAGGTCGATTGAGGTAAAAGATATTAAAACATCAATATAAATGTGTTCATCGCCACCAATTATTCAATTTATAATTAGAAAGTTTGTTTCAGTGATAATCTCAGTGTTCCTAAACACATAAGCACACAGCTAGCTTGATGCTAAGAAAGAAGCACTTAAATGTGTTATAAAGAATAAAACAGAATTAGGGTTTTGTTGTGTTTGGGGTCTTAATAATCAAACTGTTTACAATCAATAACAGCCATTATTATCTCTTCCCTCGTGGTTCCAACTTACAAATAAATTAATAAAACTTGGAACAACTGGAAACATCTGCCACAACCAGCAGAGCAACATTAGCATTATTCTCTCTTCGATTAGCTCTGTTTTTGGTCTCCTCCAGCTGCTCTTTAGCTGCTGAATTCTCCATTTTGCTGCTGAACAATCGCATACAGTCGATTTATCTGAGCTTCTTTTGGACAAAAACACACGAAATACACAATCACAGACGACAAAGATGAATAACTCACAAAACTTTAAAGAAGGTCGAGAAGATCTTACCTTATTACACGTTTCTTCATTGACTGACGGTCCGTGTTGCTCTCATTGTAATGGACCAGCTCTGACGGACACCAGCAGCCTGTTGTCGTCTTGTTTCCCGTCAGAATAAACTCTCAGCTGCACCAACTGTGTTTATCAGCCTACCTGAGGAGGCGAGTGTGGGGAGGCACCTTTAGCCCCTTCGCTCCAGGTCTTATTGGCTATCAGGTGACACCTGAGCAGGAGCTTATCAGGGTTCCTGTGCAGGTATTTGAGGCTTTAACGGAGGTGGGGTATTGATGGGGGGGGGACCCACAGAGTGGTCTTTGTCCCACCATGGGGAGGTTGGATCTGTGACCCCGGGGGCGACCCTGGTCTTATCTGATCCTCCCAGGAGTTCAGATCAATGACGACCAGAAGGGGAGCAGTGTGTGTGTGGGTGTGTGTGTGGGGGGTTGATAGGGGGGTATTGTATGGGACAGGTGCATCTGTGGGGGAGGGTGGCCCAGATGTTTCTAATGTCACGTTACAGACAGAAAGTGGATACAATTACAGAAACAGTACTGAAGTCATGACTAATTTGGTGGAAAATTGTAATTTCTTTGAATGTCGGAGGTGTAATTCTTATTCTTTTTAGTAAATATTCTCGTCCTACAATGATAAACTACTTGTTTTAAATTAAAGTCGTGCTGCAGAGCGCCGACTCTCCCGCCGGAAGTCAGTCTGAGGTGCTGAAGGTACTAAATGTTATTGCATTAATTTGTACGACTAAGATAATTCATAGCTTATTTAATAGTTACTGACAACATTTTTCGCACATTTTATAACTTTTTAGTGGATAAAACTAAGGAAAAAAAGTTTTTATGAACTAAAGGTTTTCATTAAGTCGGACTTAGGCCCCTCAGCACCCACTGATCCACTAGAGGATACCATGTCAGTGTCACGTAACTTACAATCTTTTCCTAAAACCAAATGTGAAAGTTTCACAATGTTAACCATGCAAGCTTTATTTTGAAAGTCTAACCGGATGTTGCATATTGATTAACTCGAACTCCTCACGCAGGAGACTGTGGTTCGAGTCCCGTGTGAAACTCGAAGTTGATTTCTGTTGAGTGAGTGTTGTGGAGAGATCGATCGGGGCCGCAGAGAAAATTAACCAACTGTGTTTTATTGAATGGACAAAAAAAAAACATGATTTCTACTCTTTGTAGAGATGTTTGATATTAAATATGATTTTCATAAATAGTCGCAGACATTCAGTCAACATGTAAACAGTCTCTACACACAAACTCCAGATATCCAAACTGAGGTTTCTGTATTTCTGGCCCTAACAACTACATTATATCACTGTGTGGATGATTACGATTAACAGTGATAAATATGAAAATGTTCATTATTGTTCAATAACTTTGTTCCACCAGCTGCAGTTTGTAGTTTCAGTCACTTCCTGTGAGGATGAACAGCTCTTTGTTTCCCTCGTCTTTCTCTCTGTCACAGTTTATTGCACATCTTTGTCAGGCATCTCTGTTTGAGATCTGTGGAGAGAGGACGGGGGGGTTACAGCCACGATATCATCTCTTCAACAACAAGATCAGATCAACATTTCAGGTTGTTTCAGCCACAGTTTTAAAACTTTTAATAATCAGTTGCTGCACAATTTTACTCTCTGCTGACTCCGAACTTAATCAGTTCCTGCTGAAATGATGTGGAAGATATTGTAGTTCAGAAATAAACCCAGAAGCTTTTACAACCTCTAATGCAGTGATTCCCAGCCAGCGGGTACGTGGACAGATTGTAGAGGAGCTCAACTAATCTCACTGAATTTAATTAATCACTCAAACTTTCACTGTTTATCAGTCCCAACTCTAAAGAACACGCGTTTATGAGGGTAAAGTACTTCTTTTGCCTGTTTTCATTAACCAGTGTTTGTGGTTAAAGCTAACCAAAGTGCCACTGTTGCTATAGAACTCAGCTTCAGAGCAACTATTTAGAGAAAGTTTTTCTTAAATAAAAGTTACTGAAGCTCAGATATTCTCTCGGTTTAAGTGTTTATTTAACATTTCTGTTATCGAGTTAAAAACTTCAGACAAGTTCTGCAATCTCTGACTCCTTTCAAGTTTTCAAACGCTGCTCAATTGTCAATTTCAAACCGAGTCTAAAAATACACACCGAGGGCTAATTAGAGCCGGAGGGTGGACTGACGTGACACCGTGTGAGTCCTCGGTCGGGGCCACGGCGGCGGGATCAGTGCTGGATGATCGGCGTGTCAGAAGCTGTGAGAGAGGCGGCTCTCTCCGCGACCTCTCAAGCCCATTAGCTCAGAGGATTGGCGGTCGGAGGCTCCTGCAGAGCTGCTGCTCTAATGAGCTCTGGTACCGAATCCCAGCAACACGGCGGACACGTCCTCATCAGTGCAGGTGAAGGATGAAGCTCCCCAATTATTTCTGATTCTCACTCTCACGGCTGTTTGTAGCCGCCTGTGTTTTATAAGCACCAACATGACTTCCACTTTTAAAAAAATGAGCATCTCTCAAAAGTTATTTTATGGTTTTAAAAAACAAATTATCCTGAGTGTTGAACACATGTCTCACTGGAGGAGGTCGTTTCTGTCTGCAGAATATCTCTAAAACTAGTTCAAAGGTTTCAGTGAAATGTGGAGAAAAGTCAGAACGAAGAATAAGATTTGTTTTTGAGTTTGGATCCACATCCAATAGCGACCTCATCTGGTAACACAGAACACAAACTGTGAGTTTATTTTGGTTTTAAGGAACATTAAAGGAGTCTTTAGTTGGTCATTTATTTCTTTAAATGTTGTCATTAGAGATGCATCAATAGCAGTGTATATAAGTCCAAATACAAACACTGATATTTGAGTATGAATCTGAATGTTCAGAGTTCAGGTGAAGCTGAGAATCTGTTTTACCAACGCAGGCAAATGTTTTATTCTTACAGATTATCCAGATATAACAGAATATCAGTGAGCTTTAGAGGTGCTGGTGGGCTGATTTAACCTCCATTTCCAGTCTTTATGCTAAAGTACGCTAACTGGCGCTAACACTTACATTCACCACAGAACAATGAGAGTGTTTATTGTTTGTTTTTCTCTGTTTTGCTTTTATCTTTTTAATAAATGATTGTGTTTATTCATGCTGACCTATTTAATTTCACAGTGGATGAAACCAACCTCAGAATTACAAATCCTTCCTTAAAGATATTGATGAGGTGATTTTGGTTGTAGTTATTAATTTAATTATTAATCAGATTTCAAAATTGAGTTTAGTTTTGTGTATTTTATGAGACTGAATCAATCAATTATTGGCTATTGTTTCCCTTATTTAAGGTTGGACCCCCGAGGATCTTTATTGTTATTAAAGTCATTAATTATAATCTTTTGATAATTAAATTTGATAGCCAAAATTGATTTAATTGCACCAACGCAGTTTGGTGCCCGTCTCGTCCAACTCAATAAACAATATTTACAAAAATGTCCAGTACAGTATGTAAATGTACAAGCTGCTGCTGTTGTCACCATTTTGTGTTGTTTGTTTCAATAAAATCAGATTATTAATGTTTAACCCTAAAAAAGACTCAAACAAACGCGAAAAATGTATAAAAATAATCTAATATCTGAGTTCTGAGCAGCTTTGACTCAGTGCTCATTGATCTGTGAAATCTCAATAAAGCTTCACTTCAAAAAACAGGAGCAACTCCGGCTGGTGGGTGACGATGATGAAGACGAGCTCTGACAGAGTCGCTACCTTCGTCGCCTCGGATGCTATCGATCGATCGTGAGCTTCCTCCGCAGTGCACTTACTTCTGGAGAAGGAGACTCTCCTGACTCGCCGGCACACTTCAGACGTGTGTTTTTCATACCAGACGTGGCTGTCGTCGCAGTATCTGAAAGAGAAAGACACGACCGTAAACCTCCGACCTGTATCTAAAGCCGCTTGACATCAATAGAGTTTAAACTTCAAAGACTAAAAAAAAGAAAACTTTAGGTGAACTGCCACTCAAAAGTTTTTGGTCATCTGTTATATTGACTTTTTTTCTTCCTTCCTTCAATAATGGCTATTTTAACAGAAATAAAAACAGTTTAATTCAGACGCCAAATGTATCATTACGGCCCGATCAGTGACCACTACGAAGTCCTATTGAAATGCAAGGAATCGTTAGTGTTTTTTGCCAAAAGAATCTAATTTTTGGGCTCGAAAACGTTTTCAACGGTAAATTTATAGGTGTGATGAAATAGCTCAACAGCGCCACCTAAATGCAACTGCTGAGACACATTTCACCAATATGCATTAAAATTGGTACGCACATTTATCACGACTAGTCAAACAAAAAAGCCTCTTAGGACCCCACCCCCAAAAAAAAATTACAGTTCTTCAGAACGACCCTTTTGGGTAAAACAGGTGTGGTAAAACTGCCGAGTTGTACTATGTCTAAAAGCTGCTGCGCCATATTTTGCACATCAAACAATAAAAAAGTCAACAAAGGACAGTAAAAGAAAAGGTCTGTGTCTTTATTCAATCCACAAAGAGGATAAATATGTCTGTGTCCAACTCTTCCTCACAGGTTAGTTAATGACAGCGTCAGTGAGTGTGTCTGTGTCCAACTCTTCCTCACAGGTTAGTTAATGATGTTACTGAGTCAGTGTGAGCAGATTGTGTCTGTAGATTGAAGAGAATCAGAGTCTCACTGATGGTGGACAAAGGTTTTTCTTCCTTAAAACAGAATGGAGTTTGGTGTGACAGTGTGGAGCAGAGGGGATTTGAACCTTAATAATTCCCATAAACTGAGCTGACCTACCTTCTAATAATGAACCTTGTAAACAGCAGAAAGTAACAGGAAGTGGAGGAGGCTTGCCACAAGGACAAAGTACCTGGATTATCTGCTCTCATCTATTGGTGGAAATTGGCTTCCATACTTTTGGCCTGTTTACATTTTTTGGAAGTTTTAAGCTAAGAAAATAACTTGGAAAGACCCATCGTACACAGAAAACCTGTCCAAATAGGTGAAACTCTTAATCATGATCAGCTTTTACTTCTTTACTTCCTCCTCTCCCACTCAGCCCCGCCGGCATTACAGCTTTACACCGTCAGTGTAATTAAGATGTGCTGGTGTGAAAAACCTTTTCATGCGCGTCTTGTGGCCGAAGGGTCTGCAGAGGCACTGAGAGAAGAACTTGCAGAGCTCGAGGACGCAGGGCTGCAGCTTGTGAGCGCCGACGGTGGTCGTACTGCCGGAGGGCGAGGTGTCGGTCAGCTCCGGCCTCCTCCAAGGACAACCTCTCAACAGACAGAGGCAGAGCTCACGTCAGTCACTAAACTATGGAAGCACTTTTCTGCCAATGTGATGGGAAAAAGATTCTCTAAGTCTTTATAATGAAAACCTCTATCATTATGTAGAGATACTAAGTCATTATTTTAGATATTAAGTCAATATTTTGACATACTAAGTCATCAATTTGCAGATGTTAAGTATTTTTTTTCATCATTTCAGTATCATTTTTTCAGATATTAAATCATTATTTTGAGATATTAAGTCATTGTTTTGAGATATGAATTCAATATTTAGAGATATTAAGTTATTATTTTGAGAAGGTTTCTCATTATATAATTATTATATTATTATACAGATGCTCACATTGGCAGCAATGGTCTTCCATACAAACAGCTCTGTTTATCACAGCCTGCTTAATAAGCAAAGCAATTAAGAAGTTAATCACAAAGATAAAAGATGATCATACAGGTAAGATTGCAGGTAAAACAAAGACATCTTAATTAACCTCTCACAGGTGATTTAAAGATGTACAGAATAAATGATCCTCTCACTCGTCCTTCAGATCCTCTTCATCGTTTTCATTCTGCATAAAGTCCCATGAAAGGAATCACTGCTGCTCATCATTAATGCAGCTACAGGCTGCTAATTACCATAAACATACATATTCACATCTTAATGAGACACTTCTGAAGCTATTTGCTCATTTAGCAAAAAACGTGATGGATAGTTTTAAAATCTGAATTTGAATAAAAAGATTCCTGATGATTGGGTTGGAAAGTAGTTAGTCGTCAACTTCTTCTTCATTTATTTCTTTCCATAATTAATTAGTGTCAGTTATTAGATTGAACTGTTAAATTCAAGTCTAATACTCTTAATACATTCATAAAATTATGTGAAATTAGTGACAGCAGTATTTATTCTTTAGTTTTAGATGGATTTGTTTTTTAACTAACAGATATTTTGTATAATTATGGAAGTTTTCACAACAGAAACGTTAAATAAATGTTGTTTATCAGTGTAAATAGCAATAATTACTGTAATTTCACAGATAATTACTTTTATTACAGTTCTATAACTTTTAAAATTCAGATTCAAATAATAACAATCCAATAATAACAGCACTCTGCTGTAAATTTAAGGCTGATTATTTGTATTATAGAGTTCACCTGTATTTATAGCTCATTTCATTAGTTTTACAGTGTAAGCCCCCAAAATACACAAGATTTTATGTCAAATTAAAGCTAAAAACTATATTTGTTTATGCTCCAGCTGGAATATCAATGTTTATTTACAATATTAACATAAAAATAATGAGTCTTAATGTGTTTATATCCTGTACAGTTTCATAAACGTAAACTTCTGTTCATATTAATACTTTATTTACTATGTTTGCGTTGAATTTGTCTTTTATTTTGTCTCCTCTGTGTTTGAAGAAGCTTCATCAACACCCATCAGATTAAACACACACACACTCTCACACACACACACACACACACACACACACACACACACACACACACACACAGTTGTTGCCAGGCAGAAGTCAGTGGGGGGAGCAGTCGCTGTGTCTGAGCTCTTGCTGCCATCTAGTGGAACAATGTTAATGTGAATATTCACTTTCACAGTTTCTAATAATAATAATAATAATAATAATAATAACAATAATACACTTAAATACAACATCTGCCAAAATAATCCTATTAAATCTGTATGACTGTTAAAAACTATTAAATATAAATAAATAATACAGACTGAGAATCACTGTTTGAGTTCATTGTTCAGTTTTAATATAATATTAAATAAACATAAAATATGAGTCAATTTAATAATGATAGAAAAGTTCCTTTAATGTTGGAAACCAGTAACTTAGTAGTTAATATTAATAAATAAACCATTAATATGCTTTTATAATTACTAATAAAGAGTCAATATGTTAATAAGTAACTAGTTAATGTATATGTATATGTATAAAATGTAAAATACAACACATTATAAGAGTGAAAGTGTTTTATTGATCATTGATCATTGGATTCAGTTTGTTTTTGTAGATTCATAAATAAATCAAATTTAAATCAGAGGATGTTTGATGTCTTTGAGATCGACATTAAATATTTTTACCTCTACAGAGCAAAAATAAATTCACTTAAATTAGTTGTTTAGAGTGTATTTATTTTATTGTATTTTTTTTATATTATATTGTATTTAATGGTATTTTATTCTGTATTTTATTATATTTTATTGTATTTTAATATATTTTATTGTATTTTAATATATTTTATTGTATTTTATTGTATTTTATTGCACTACATTCCTCTGTGCTGTTGAAACAAATTTCCTCTATTAATATAAATACATTTAAATATACATTAATTAAAGTATCATCAGTTTTCACGAATAAATTATGATTTATAACAAAAAACAAACAATCACATCATTACATAATAAATTACCATGTAATGAATTAATGTTTGTGATTAATTGTATAATATAAATGTTTCTCTATTAATAAAATTAGACCTGTTAACTCAATGAAGATTTAAAAATAACTACTTTTAATATAATGTATCAGTTATTGGCATTTTTATTCATCTTATTTATTTATTGTCTGTTTTAACCAGCTGCTGTCTGTTATTGTCTTTTAATCAATATTTTTATTATTTTATTAACAATTGATGTTTCTTCCTTCATTCAATCTGCTTTTAAATGTTTGCTACATATTATATTACTATTACTATTATTGTTATTATTATTATTAATAACTGTTATTTATTATTACTATTATTGTTATTATTATTATTAATAACTGTTATTTATTATTATTATTATTATTATTATTATTATTTGACTTTAACCACTGCAGCTGAAAACAATCAAAGCTTTCACAGGAGGGAGGCTGCGGCTGCGTTACCATGGTTACTAGCTCATCACCTCTTGCACACACACTCACACACACACACACACACACACACAACACACACACACACACACACACTCACACACACACACACACACACACCTTCCTCCAGACTGGGATTGAATCTGTCTGTGGATTTGATCTGATGTGATTACGGTCGAGTTCCTGCTCAGCAGAGCGGCACCGTCAATAGCTGCATTAGCACGCGTCACAATTTGTTTTACAGGAAGACAAAGTGATTGAATTTGAATGTAAAAAATACAAAGAAATTGAGTTTTTGTGATTTTTTTATGTCATAAATTGTTAAATATGGAAACATTATAACTGAGGATGAGATCTTAAAGGGTTTAATCTGGACTTTGACTTCAACATCCGGCTCATTTTATTGGGTAGAAAACACCAAACATCCTGCGTTATAACAACACTGGTTCAGTTAAATAATCCAAACTGGTAGAAAATAAGAGTTAAAAACTTCTTAATTCTTAATTCATTTGTACATTGCAACTTTAGCGTTGTTGTTGTTGTAGTTTTTTATTTCTCGGCACTCTGATATCGATCAATAGAAGTTGATCACATGACACCTAATTTACATAACGAAGCAAAGTGAAATGAATAAATAAGTTTGGGGAAATTATACAGAAATAAATTACAGGAATAAATAAATAAATAAATAAAATGTATAAAAGAAGAAATTAATGAATAAAACAGAAAATTAAATGTAAAAGTAAATAAATATAGAAGCCAATGTCACATTTATAAATTAATTAATGGCTATTTTTATTTCTAATATAATTTTTTGTACATTTTTATTTATTTATTCTGTAATTTCTTTGTCTCTTTCTGATATTGGCAGTTTACAACAACACATACAACAGCAACAACAACATCATCATCATGTGTTGTTATTTTGGCACTAATGGAACCCCGTATAAACAAGGAATTGTTACCTGGTCTCTCCACAGGTCTGCTGGGTGTTGTAGTTCTCCTGAGAGGACCTGTAGTCCTTCTGGCCAGCGTCGGTCCGGTTGTGGGTCGAACCGGCGACAGTCCGGTGGCCGTCGTGTGCCGGGTTGTGGTGCCGGGATGACGTCCAGCCGTGGTTGGACTAACACCCGGTGAGAGCGCTGTGGGTCGGGTGGATGTTAGCGTGGTCAGCTGCAGGGAGGTGGTTGGTTGTAAGGTTGTTGTTGTTGTTGCTGTTGTTTGTGTTGTTGTTTGTGTTGTTGTTGTTGTTGTTGTCGTTGTCTGCATTCTGACGGTTGTGATCTTCGCTGTTGTTGCAGCCGTTTCATCTAAAGTTGTTGGTGAAACTGACGAATCAAACATTATTTTTTTTATTAAACAGTTAAAACACGATTGAGAGAGCGACTACGGTGGCTCAGAGGTGTCAAACGTACCATAAAACCCACAACACCAATACAAAGTTCTGTTTTCTGAATATTCATGTTGATTTTATTCTGTTTATTATCATTCTTATTCTTATTCTATTATATAGAATATATTCATTTAATTATTATGATAATTCTGTCCTATATCACTAAAAAAGTGTCACTAAATTCCATACTACTACTACTACTACTACTACTAATAATAATAATAATAATAAACATTCATGTTGAGGTTTTAGCAGTTAGTTTAACACCTCTGAGCCACCGTACAATTAATGAAATTTGTTAGAGTCATTTTTTACACATTTTTTATTTTGTTTGCTAAAAACAGGTATTTCCCAAAAAAATATATTTTGTTTACACCACAGTGGTATTAAGATGTTTATAGAGATTTAAGGAGACATTAAGTGTCCTGTAGTTCTGATAAACCAGCAGATTATTACAGTGAATATCAGACAGTTGCTCAGATTAACGAGCGCTCCTGAACGCCCCCTGCAGACTCACCGTGGACTCTGCTGGTCGACAGTGAACTCATCCCGGACGGCGGGATGTGACTCAGATTGGAGGAAAGTTGGTTCCACTCTGACGTTTGAAAAGGAAACTAAGATTAAAAACGTCCCGAAGACGAAGAACAGAAACGTTTTACAGCTTTTACTCACCGACAGGAAGTCTGATGGAGGAGACGTTACCGACTGCAGACAGGAAACAGATAATCAATACAGATTATTTATACATCATCAATAACTCTTAATTAATAACTTAGATACATTTTATTTGATACACACATACATACATACATATAACTGTAACTGTAATCAATAATCATTAATAAGGAGCATGAGCATCACTTAATATTCTATGGTTACAAGATAAATGTTCGAATTTATTGATTTTAAACTGAAAACATTATTTTGATGAGTTGTGTCGAAATAAATAATAATATTAGTATCTATTATTAGTTTGCTACCAGTTATTAAGTCGTAATTAAAACATTTTAAATTAAAAGCTAATTCCTTTGTTAAGTAAACGTAAACCAGTAACATAAATAAAGACAAGAGAGATATCAATTAGAAGTATTGATCGAATAATGTGTTCATCTGTGTATATTTAAAGATTTTAAAACTGTAATCCTTCTTAATAATCTAATTTTAACTAAATGTAACTGTAATCGGATTACGTCTTTCCTTATGTAACTGTAATAGATTACATTTACCATTTCTTGTATCCTGATTACGTAACTTTTTTAATCCATCAAAGTAAATACGGTATTTTAATAATAATTTGTCTACTATAACTTCATTATTTAAGTGTTGTCTATGAATGAGCCCTGAACTGACCTCTGTGCTGTAAACTGACCTCTGCGCTGTAAACTGACCTCTGCGCTGTAAACTGACCTGTGTGCGGTCCTTCGACGATGGTCTGGTTGAAGAGTGGAGTGATGGAGTCGACCTCCCACAGCTCGGACACCTCTCTGCCTGAACACAAACATCCAGAGAAACAATTTCAACTGGATGATCATATCTGGAATCAATTGACTATTAATAATCAATCAATCCTAAGGAGAGCAAACATTAAGTCAGTTTTAAAGTCTGTACGCTGGTTAAATGTTCACAGCAGTTTTTATAGAAAAATGTGACTTTTTTAGGTTTTCTTTGCACTGAAATTGTGAGAAAGTGAAAATTATCTATTAGTTTGGTGACAGACAGTGAAAGTTAAAGTTTTATTACTTAAATTAATAATATTAAAATTAATTTAATTTAATTCTTAATAATAAGAGATTCAAAAATATGTGACAACAATCATCAAACTATAAATCAACATTTAAAAACTATAAATATAATAAAAGAATAATTCAGATTATTATCAGTATTCAAACACAAATAAATCCAAATCTTCAGCTTTCAAACATTAATTATTAAACCTTTAATCACCTTAACTTTCATTTTCCTTTCTCTTCTCACTAACACAGCTAACAGTGGTTTTATAAGCGAGCATTGAACGCACCACAAGCTGCACTCACCCATCTTCCCGGCCATCACACAGATGTAGATACAGTCGGAGTTGTTCCTCTGGCTCACTGACGCACACAAACACACAAACAGTAAATAATAAACACTGTGGAGGTGAAACAACAAACAAACAACAAACAAACATCAGCTCACAGCCGACCTGATAAAATGGAGGCTGATTTAAAGAGCTCGTGGAGGTAACTGGTGGAGTTTCCCATCACGTCCAACAGGATCGCCGTAAAGTCTGAAGAGAGAAAGAAAAGTTTAAAAACGGACAAATTAAAAGATTCAGATTAAACGTTTGAACGTCGTTACCTGTGAGATCGTTGGTCTCGTTAGTGACGCAGTAACAGAATCTCCTCCTGAACTGGCTGCTTTCTAAACTTCTGATGCTGGAAACTGTAAAAAAAAACAACATAAAAACATAAATAATCACTTTACAAAACACTTTATATTCAACTGTTAAGAGTTTAAAGTCAGTTTTCAACCTTAAAGCAGTTTTTAATTCAGTTAAATGTATTTTAAAGTTTTAAAAAGGGACACTTGACCCCTAAAATCTAAAATATATCCTATAAAACAATCTAGACTTATAGAAAACACTTCAGGTAACAGGAACAATGTAGATTTAATTATTAAGATCATTAAATGTTCAGGTTTAACTTTCACACTTTAATAAATCAGTGAGATCAATAATCCACAGTCACAGTGAGAAACCAGCAGTTACACATTCAGACCACTAGAGGGAACTACAGGCAAAGACATACTCATCACAGGAACACAGAGGTTCCTGAAGGGGCCACCGATCAATCACTGAGTGTATTGATTAACTGAACAATAACTGCTGTGAATATAAGCAACTTGATAAAAAATGTTTTTTGAATCTGTTTTAACAAATGTTTGAGTTAATAAACTTTAGTGTAATTTAAACTTAAAAAATAACAATTTAATTCAGTTAATTGAACAAAACACTGAGTTATAGACCGACTGTGGCTGTGACGCTGCTGTGGCGCCCCCTAGTGGAGGTCGTCTGCAGTAACGATGCACAGAGATAACGAGCCGTGTGTCGTTAGTGAGAGTTAATATTTACTGTTGTAGACCAACAGGGTGAGTTTATGGAGAGCCAGAGAGCTGTAGGACGTCACACTGAGGAGGGAGAACAGCTGTCGGGAGCCTGGAGACACAAATATTATCAATTATTATCAATCAATACTGGATTCTGATTGGCTGCTGATCATTAAAGCACCTGAGATTAATAAAATAATCTCAAATTACCTGAATTTGTGTTTATTTTGATTAAGATAGTGAAGAACAGAACTTCAGATTAAATGTGGATGTTATCTCATAAATATAAAATAACATTCATGATCCGGTTCCTGCAGGATCTAAGACCACTGAGGGTTTCTAGAGAATCTGATCCGGTTCCTGCAGGATCTGAGACCACTGAGGGTTTCTAGAGAATCTGATCCGGTTCCTGCAGGATCTGAGACCACTGAGGGTTTCTAGAGAATCTGATCCGGTTCCTGCAGGATCTGAGACCACTGAGGGTTTCTAGAGAACCCGATTCAGTTCCTGTTTGACCTCTGCAGGAGAACCGGGTTGGCGCTGTGGTTTCATTATCAGAATTGATCCCACAAGAGCGATATTATGACACACGTACCCGATTGGCTCGTATTTATTAAAGTATTGACCAGGGGAGTGAGGTCGATGGCGGCCGGGTCGATGTGCTCTGCTGGGATTTCTGGGAAAATAAAAGGAGACAGTAAAGTCAATGGGAGCTGATTCTGGTTTTTAATCTCTATGATGGAATTAGCAGCATCAGCAAAGTGGGTCTGAACAACAGTAAAATGACCAGAAACGAACAGTTTGACGGACGGATTCGACCCTGGAGCTGAAATAAAAGGGGGTCGGTGTGGAAGCTGGTCTCAGATATTGAGGTAATAATCCATAAATCAATCCATAAAACCTTTAACACAGCTACACAAACACCAGATATCCTCCATATAAGATATATATATTCATTTAAACAAAGCTAACGTTAGCCAGAATATATCCACTCAGTCAAATATCACTTGATTTACAAAAAATTACACAATTTTGTTTGTTTTACTTAAAAATGTTGATGTAATAAACTAAAACTGTGGTTATTTCTTCAGGATCAATACTTTGTGCACTTCACAGTCTTACAGAAACATAGATAATGTCTGGTACAGTTATAATAATAAGTATTATCTATTATATTATTATTATTATTATATAAGTGAGTCAATAACACTAAAACCAGCTGATGTTACCTGTAGAGTCCAGAATGTCTCTTTTGTGTCTCTCATCCTGCCGTCTGTCTCTGAACGCTGCACAGTAAGATTTTAAAAAATGAAAAGATTTATTACATTTTTTAGCAGAAAACACTTTTTATTTTGTTGCATTTTTTAAAAACGTGGAACAGAAATATAACAGGGTTTCTATAGGTTAAATTTAAGACATTTTAAGATTTTTAAGACCATTATGAAGGAAATTTAAGACCTATTTTACCTCCATACTGACAAAAAAAAAAAACATGAAGTATGAAAGAAGCTCCACCTGGAAAATATAACTTCATCCAAGTAACTAGAGCTGATATTATCACAGGTATATCAGTATCTTATTATTTATCTTATTGATATTCAGTATATATTAATGTGTCACTGCAGAGTTTCTCCAGTAGAGGGCGCTGTGACTTATAACACTGTGAGAGGAGAGGAAGAAACTCTTAAATTATTTAACATGTTAAAGAATATTTAACTTTAATATTTTCTAATGAAGTTATTTGTTTAAGAAAGTTGCCTTTTCATTCAATCCACTATATCTGGACGACTTACCGGTAAACATTTCCGCTCTAAAATCTAAAATCGGCCTCAAATACTAAAGAAGCCCATTCAGTAAATAAAAAAAAAACCTTGTGGTTTAAAAAAATAAAACTAGATTTCATTGAACAGCTTTGATCCTCCGTACTTGTAATGAAGAGAAAATATAACATTACAGCGATTAAAAGACTCATATTGATTAAATTGATTATATTATCGTCGTTAATGTTCCCACCTTGGCTGAAGAGGAAGAGGAGTAAAAGGGAAGAAGAAGCGCAGATTATAAAACAGAGACGTGGACGCTGTGTTTCTCTCTGTGACGCCGCCATGACCCCGACGGAGGCGCCGCTGCAGACAGAAAACACAGGATCAACTCATGAGGGGCGGAGCTACAGGCCACACAGGGGCGGGGCTACAGAAGTTACAGGGGCGGAGCTACATGGCGCGGCCACCAGTTAGTGTCAAATTTAACTCTTTAATTTAGATTAAATTTAAGAATTATGTGTTAAAAACCAGAAATAAACATAATTCGATGATCAGCTTTCGAGTTCCCTTCCACTTTAACTTCAGTAAATAATCACTAATCAATACTTCTACTCGTTAACAGGCCGTCTGTGGAGATTGAAAACAACTAAATTCATCTTCATCAACAACTGAACAAACTTTGGAAACAGATCAAACCTAAAGACAGAAAGAAAATATCACTTTACTTGGATAAAATCTACAACAAAATCTCCTTTTACTGAATTTATCTTTATTTTAAAATCATAAGAACTAAGAACTGAGACAGAACAGTTTATTGTCTTCATCAGATCAGATTCTGGATATACAATCTGCTCACTTTACATAGTTTTTGTTTTCTCTGATTCAATTAAAATGCATCTAAAGACGAGACAGTAACAGCAGTAAAATATTACGATGTAAAGCTCATCTGGACGCTGCGCTGCCTCCGTAACGCCGTCAGCTACGACTGATATCAACAAACGTTGAAGGTTGAATTGAACCCAAGCTGTATCCACTAAATTATTAAAAAATATAACAGGATGTCTGAGAGTCGTTACAGTTAATTAAACTCAACTCAAAACTGAACTGTTGAATAACTAATTTGTTATTTGTGCAGTGTTTTAATTATTATTGTTAATCCATTGACTCATTCTCTTTAAGTTGACTTTATGTCGCTACTGTTTTGATAATCAATTCATTCTAAATAGTTTTTATCAGCTGTTTCGTGCAAAATGTAATAATTTGCTTTAGAGAAAGAAAACTGAGTAAATTCAACAGAAATGATCACCAGGTAATGAGGAAGTTGTAAAATCTGAGTCTGTTATTGATTCCAGCTGTTGGTTTTAATTTAATGTGAACTAAGTTAACTCCAATCAACCAAACTTCATTCAGAAAACAAGCATTTTAACAGCTGTTTGCTCGTCGTCTCGCTTTCAGACCAACAAACTCTGAATTCAGACTTTCTACGAATCAACATCATGATGTTGTTGTTTCAGCATCATATTGATCCATTTATTGACATTAAATCAGAAAAATCTGTTTATTTTAGGCTCAATATTACAGCTGTAAACCTGATTAAAGGGACAGTTTGAGTTGAACGAACTCATCAGGTTGTTTGTGTTATTGTATATATATATATATATATATATATATATATGAGTTGTCTATTTTAATTACACTGTACATATAAAAGAGTTAAACATCAGGAATAAAACTGTGGAGGATGTTAAATTACTTTCCTATCAAATAAATACACTCAAATTAACTACATATAAAATATATAAACTCTACAATGGACTCTGGTGTGAACAACTGAATGAAACCACTGAAATAAAGGATATAAACCATCAGACTCACCTGCTCCTGCGTCCTGTAAACCCCTCGCCCAGAGTATCACACACCTTCGCTCAGATAAGGATTAAACGATGCCTGTTGCCCCCCCTAACTGCCCCCCCAACTGCCCCCCAACTGCCCCAGCAGCTCACTGAGCTCTGCACAATAAGAAACCACAGACCGGGTGTCTGTGTGCCGGCTGGGCGCTGATCCCTAACCCGCTGCACCCGACCCACTGAAAGAAATACCACACAGACCTCATCGGCTCCAGGACGGTTTTATTTAACACAAACAATCAGGAAGTTAAAAGTTTGTTTCTACCTTTAAAGTTCAGCCTCCGTGATGACATCAGCTGTCAATCAAACTGTGGGCGGTGTCTTCTTCTACGGCGTTTATATCGGTGGTTCCCAATTTAAAGGATCAATAAACTGACTCAGTGACGTATTTTATGGATATTTAATATTATTTGAGCAGATTATTTCCTGTTTATTGAACTTTTTGTATAATTCTTTGTCTGTATTATGTATTTTATCATTTTTAACACTCAAACAGAATTAACAGGCTCCACATTTGTTTTATTATTATTTACTTACTTACTATTTACTAATATCGATAATATGTCGATTATTTCTTAATTTAAATGTGAAGCAGCTTTACACACTGTAAAAAGTTAGTTTAGATGTTAACCAACAGTGTTTAACTGACGACACTGTAAAAAGAAAATAATTTACAGACACGAGTGGTGCTCAGTTAGCTGCAATCTGAAAACTCAGAGAGTTAGAGATTAAAGTTTAAGAAGAAGAAAAATAAATCATCATTAATCATTGTTAAATGTTTGAAGCTTCATTATCTGGATTCTATCAGCAGTCTGGATCCAAACCTTCATTAACTTTTACCTGGAAGAGTTTTTGTTCTCGTTCACAGATTATTTTTAATTCAGAGCATTTAATGAGTCTATGTTCTTCATCGTGTGTTAATACTTCTTCAATAGGCTTTAATGGTAGTCAGTTAACCAGCGTATAGCTGCATTACTGCCACCTGCTGGACTGGAGTGAGGAGCAGTACCTTACTCCAGTTTCTCTTAAATAATTAGTTAAAAGTCGTTTCCATGACGTCTTTCTGAGCAGATTCTTATTTTCTATAATCTAATTCCTGATATTTTTACGCTTTTCTATCATTTAATAAACTGACTCAGTGACATATTTTATGGATATTTCATATTATATTAAAACTGTACAATAAACTCAAACAGTGCACTCAGTAACTGCAGGAAGTTTGTGTAAAATCAGAGATTTAGATTAATTCTGAGCAGATTATTTTCTGTTTATTGAACTTTTTATACAATTCTCTGTCTGTATTATGTATTTTATCATTTTTAACAATCAAACAGACTAATTGTTTTATTGTCTCGGTCATTGTTCTATTAGACACTTTTACTGTAATATAAAGTTATATAATCGTGTATATCCTGTTTTTGAATGCTGTAAATGTGTCTCAGTATTTCTGACAGGTCTTGTGTTTGTTTGTGCTTCGATCTGTTTCCTTGTTTCAGGTTGCTGCCGATCAATACTCCGATCCAATCATCCGATCAGACCTATAGGACTGACATAAGTTAGCAGTGATACTTTAAGTTTGATGTGCTAAAGGTCGAGTCACCATGTTGTGTCGCCAAAAAAAACACAGTAAAATAACATAAAATAACTGATTTAGTAATTTTCTATCATTAAAATACAGTTTTTAGCTTAAAATCTTTTGTATTTTGGGAGCTTTTTGTCTAATTAAAGATATTTATACTGTAAAACCGATGCAATGAGCTATAAATACAGGTGAACACTGCTATAATACAAATAATCAGGCTTAAATTTACAGCAGAGTGCTGTTATTATTTGATCTTTCTTATTTTAATCTGAATGTTAAAAGTTATAGAACTGTAATAAAAGTTATTATCTGTGAAATTACAGTAATTATTGCTGTTTACACTGATAAACAACATTTATTTAAACAATTATACAAGATATCTATCAGTTAACAAACAAACCCATTTAAATTACACAACAAATACTTTTCTTTACTCTTGTCAAATATTTTTTTATAGTTTATAAAATATTAACAGTATTAAACTTGAATTTCACAGTTTAATCTATTTAATAAACAGGAAATATCTGCAAACAATTATAGATTTGCGAATGTATTTTAATCTTTTTATGTTAAAAAAGGAAATTTTCTTTAAATAATCAGTAATTTTATGATAATTTCACATTAGACATAAATTCACAGGATATTCTTGTAATTTTATTAATATTTCCATGTAATGCTTTAAATTTTACATTTAAATGTTTTAAAAAATGACCCATTTCCATATAACCTGAGCAGTTTTTTCCAAATTACACCATGAATTAATAGTTGTGTCCTGTTCAGTATCAACAGTCACTAAATAATAATGTTTTCATTCTCTGGGAGAAGCTTTATATTTATTTTAACCTGTTGGCACTTTTTACAGTGTGGGTAAATGGCCGTAATGAGCCTCTGCAGTGACATACGAGCCGTGGGGAAGATCAGTGAATCAGAGGAGTGAATGTGAGTCTTTAATGACGACGAGGGATCGGTGGGCACTTTGGTCGCCTTGGCATTCACATGGAGGCACACAGCGGTAACTGGCAGAGGAAACAGGGCTGCTGAGGTCCTGGGAACAGACGCCTCCAGGGACCAGACACACAGACCGTTAACTAATAATCATAACGAGGATGAAATTAAATGAATGGCACTCGTATACGGTACATTGTGTCTCAGGCTCATTAACGCTTTCTGCTGCTGTTATTGAACCAAAAGGAAAATACTTTCGGAAACACAAACAAAGACAAAAAGGCTTCAAATTCAGCCATTAATGAGTGAATATGTGAGTAAATGCACCAACATTAAACCAGATTAAAGGTTGTCCTTCTGCAGGTTTCTGACCCCAAATAAAATATATAATCTAGAATTTTGCTAAGATTGGCTAACGATTAATGTAGATCAATATGCTATAAAGATATAATTTTTCTCTGTAGCAATACTCAAGCCAGCTAACTAGGCTGATTACCTAGCTAAAAAGGATTAAAACTAATTTGAGTTTGTCCTCAGGTTGAGGTTAGAGGTAATTAAAAGGTTTAATTACCCAACAGATATACAGTATACAGCTTCATTAAATACTCACAATGTTCAATTCAATACTTTATTAATAACTGGTGCAATTGAAAAGACAAAAAATAAAAAAATCAAGTAAGAATACATTTGCATATTATATCATCAAAACAAAATATTCAAAGTGATCTAATACAGAATAGAAATGGCAAGTTTTATTTTTATTTTTTCAAACTGGAATGAGAAAAATGATGCACAGCTCTGAAGGCCACTAGTGTAAAGTTGTCCAAACTTCCCTTAAATGAACCCGAAGAACATCGAAATCGTTTCTGACCCAAAAATTAAAAACACGTCAGTTAACTCACACAAAGCTGTCGGTAATATCCGATCTGTACGTTTATAAAGACACGTTTCTTAAAGCTGCATTTACACAAGATCTCAGTATCTCTTGCTGTGAAACAATCGGGTCCATTCGGAGGTCGTATACGAGGTCCTCGGCCCCGACTGCAAACAGACTTTTTTGTGCTATTTTAAAATGTTGTGCAGGATGTTTGATGCTATCGTATCTGGACAGTTAAGTTTATTTGCTGTTTTCAGTTTACAGTTTTTTGGCACATTTTTTAAGTAGCTTTCTACGGTATAAAGTTACTTTGTAGTCTAATTATAATTTGTAGCATTTCGTTACTGTTTGTGTTTTTACGCCCAACAGTCGACAATAACCTAAACCATGTTAATTAAAGAGCAATAAGAACAATTTTGTGCCAGTAAACACCTTGATCGTATTAATTTAATTTGATTTCATCCACTGTAGTTTTTTTTGCAAGAATAATGTTTATTTTATGTTGTTTAACTTAAGCGTTCACACTGATGAACGATAAGAATTTTTATACCACAAAAATATTCAAATCGATCTGAAACTGATCCCAACGATATTGTTAGCTACATCGTTGTCGTTTTTTAAGATATATTTATAGTTTCTTGGTGCAGACGGCACAAAATAAAGAAAATACATATAATATATCAAGTTTCCTGTCAGCTGGGACATAATATTTTATAAAATTATAATAAAGCTTCCTGTTTCTATTCCTTTAAGTCTAACTAATGATAATATTAATGGTGTAATACAGTGAAAATATACCGTAGCAACAATTAGCTATGAAGCCTTTTTAAAATGTGTTTCTGTCTCGTGATAAAATGTAAACATTTTCTGATCCGATCTGTCGGTGTAAACGCAGCCTTCCAACTTCGACATTACCAACAGCTTTATGCTGCCGTAGCGAGAAAAGCATGACCAAAACAAATAAATAAATAAAATTACATTGAAAAGAACCGTACTGTAAAAGGCCAAGGCACAAATAATTCGTAGCAATTAAAACGTCCATAAAATTACAGGTTATGCAGGATGTGTGGATCAGTGCATTGCTTGGTATGCAGTTACAGTGAGTACAACCACACTCAACAGAATAATCACAGCAAGCAGTATTGCCCTCTCGATTACACGGATGCCATAAAGTGCTCCTTTTCATTCAGAATCGATCGCACATACAGACGAGTTCACGCACAGGAAACAAACCACACGTAAAGTGTACGAACAGAGGGCAGAAAGGTGTCAAAAACACTTGTGTTAAGTACATATTCATTATAATGACCCGATTATGGCTTTTAAAGACAAAGATTCTTGAATTAAGCAGTTAAAATAAATCGGAATAAATCTCATTTTGCCTTTTCCAGTGTTGTTTTCTACATTCAGAAGATAAAACGTGTGAACGGCTGCTACAACTTTCATCCAGTGTTCATCCACTGCGAGAACAACCTCTGCTGGGAGGGAAATTAACTTAATATTGGTCATTTTGTTGTATTTAACTTGTACCAGAAGTTAAAGTTACACTCCCTGATTGTACTGAAGGGTCCGAACAACGTGCTACAGCACCAAACTTATTAAAACTCTACAGTGAAATCAGAGAGTGTACAGTAAACAGTAATCAATAAGTATTAAAGGAAAGGTTTAAGACCATGAGAGGACAAGTAGCACCTCGTAAAACTAAATAACATTAAAAAGCTAAAATGAGAAATTCTTAAATTCAACCGTTAGAGGAGATTCTGAGTTTTGGGAAATATTCAAAATTTCAAGCAAACGATTCAAAAACGTAACAACCACAAAATGCTGATTGTCAAATTAACAGTTAAAGGCTTCGTTCTGTATTCAGTGTTATCTGGTTTCTGATTATTGATTATTGATCGGCTGTTAATGGATGGGTTTCATTGAACGTATCACATGGACCCGGTTGCAGACGTTAACTCTTCGTCCCGCCACCATCAGTCTATCAAACACAACAGATTCATAAACATAATAAAATAAAGCTACCAGAACAGTAGTTACAGGTGCATGATGGGAAATGTTCCTCCAGTGACGTCAGCTGACTGAAACCTCGGAAACAGTTCGGAGAATAAAAACTTTCTTTTAACGTCTGCGTGAGACGTCTTTTAACACGTTAACGTTGTGGTTCAGGAAACATGTTACACAAGTTAAAATATTTATATATAATCTGAATTTTAGGCCTTTAAATGTCTTTAAATTGATTGGATTAATTTTTTACATTTTAATTTCGGGTTTTGGGGAACATTTGTATAGGTTTTTCTTTGTATCCTTTGTATGTTTTAACCAGTTTGGATGTAAAATAGGTTTTAATCTAAATTCTTAGTGGTCTTAAATTGAACCTGTTGAGACCCTGAAATACTTTAACGTACCTTTAAATCAGTGCTGGGCAGTAAATTATTAGTGATAATATTACAGTTAATTTTAATAATCCTGCAGTTAGTTACTGATCTGAAATCCAAAAATCACGATTAATGATTTTATTAATTATTAATTAATTACTATGATTAATGTTTGTAATCGTAGAGGAAACTTATTTATAATCATATTACTTTGTTTTTAGCAGCATGTTCATAATTCTGCTCTATTTACGCTACGTCACCTGAACACAGTCAGAATAAAGTGTTTGTGTTGGAGAAGTTTCATATAAAGACGTCACTGAAGGAAGTTTGTAAAATACAGTTTGGATTAACATGGCCACAAAGGCTTCACAGAGAGATTAAACAGTATTATATTATATTATATACATACATATATATACAGATATATGTATATGTATGAATATATATATATATCATTATTAATTCACAAACTCATGTGGACAGGAAATTAAATCAGTATTACACTGTGAAAAGTAATGCTAGCACTCTTAATGAGTCAGTGAGTCTCGTTCAGTTTTCAATCAATCAATCAATCATTCAATCAGTATCAACGAGGTGATTAAATCCTTTGTAAATTCCCTTGTTTTGGGGTTACATTAGCATCAATTAGCAGTGAAATAAAGAGGCAGATTACTGCAGTTATATTGATTAAATGTTGATTTGAATTGGAAACCGGTGAAATAATCTCACATAGCTGACAGATTGTTTTATTTATTTTAATAAAGTAAATTCAATTTGGTCTCTTATGACAAAATGACAGTATAAATATACTTATTGTGCGTTTCCTCTTTAACTTAACTTTAACTCTTTCACCTTTCCTGACTTTGTGCTAGCATTGCTTTTCCCTCAGTGTATCTCAGTGTCCTGGAAGACAATTTATTCTGTTTTAACAACTTATAAAATGTTCTTTTTAACAGTAATTCGCCGTGTAAATACAAATCCACCAAATGCTGTTTGTTAATTCTGGTGATATTCTTGAACTTAAATTTAGAAAGGAAGCAATACAGTTCAGATTTCGACTGGAAGCAACATTTCTTCTGTAAATGTAACTCAATGTGCAAAGAAACAAAAACACTGGTGTTCGATTAACTTCAACAGACACAAACCGAACTGTGAACAGTTTAAACTCGTCATTAAAAGAGAAGTGAAACATTACAACCTTTACATTTCTGTGCAGCTGAATTCAGTGAATGAGCCCAAAAAATAAACAAATAAAAGCATCACAAAGCTACAAAACAGCATTTCTTTTTTTTTTTTTTTTTTTTTACAAAAGCAAGACTTCAGCTTAAAAATAAAAGAAGGAAACAGTTCACATTCATAAATCCTGTGGTGTGTTCGGTGTGTTCGGTGAGATGGTGAAGTGGCACTGAAACACTAAATATAGAATGACCGGTCATTCTGCTTCAGAGGCACAATGAATGAACGTCTACAGGGATATATCATCTTTATATCTATATGTAGGTGATTGTGTGCGTCTGCGTTGCAACGTCATTTATTTGTAGAATATATAAGTGAATGGGTTTCAGTAGCAGAAGGAATAGTAACTGTAATACAATAAGATTAATAGATAATAAGTGTTTGGTTCACCTTCATTTTCACAGACTTTGACGATGCTGCTTCCAACACCGGGCTTCAGTATCTGAGCCGGAGCGCTTGTTTCAACCTGCTGGGAGCACCAGGTGGGTGGAGACGTAAAGTCAGGTAACTTATTCAGTTGAGATGTTTTATTATATAAAAACCGAGCTCATGCAGAGCCTCGACACTGGAATAAAAGCACAAAAGTACAGTAATATCTATCTACAGATATATATACTGTCTGTAGACTGGTTTTATTTGTATATAATATAATCTGGATATACACACTGGGTCCTTTTTATCTAGAGCGAGGTGATAAAGTAACAGTGACCAAATAATGGCTCAGAGGTAATCAATACCTTGCTGTCTGCTCTGAGGCAAAATCTCGTCTACGTCGAAAAGACAACCAAATTCTGAAGATGGTTAAAAGATAAAAGCTACAAACACATATAGTCGTAAGTTAGTTAATTTTAGCAAAATATATTATTTGTTTGAACTGTTTACTGGTTAAAGTTGACTTGAAACAAATCAAACTCTAAGCAGGTAAACAACAGAAGCACCTCCTGTTGAAGCCCGGTGTGGAAGCCCGTCTATAAAACTCACCCTGACTCTGAAGGTGCTTTAACATGCTATAACTGTGTAATAATCCACGTGTGTAGATATAGTTGGTTGTCAGATATTACATTCAGTATCTGTGTCGTCCTAAATCTAAAGTAGTAAATGCTGTTTAGGCCGTTATGTGATCTCCCGTAAAGCTCTTCTTGTTGCAGTAGGTGGTGCTCGGTCTCGGTCCTCAGCGTAGGCAGCCAATCACAAACTAGTATTTCTACCCGTCCCCTCCTCCGGTCTGTCCAGTATACGGTGATGTTGCTGCTTACAGTGTGTGTTTGTGTTCGTAACTGGACATTCGCAGTGCAGCAGTGAACTATACAGTAATTTGTGAGAAGAAATTTAGATGAAAAAGCACATTATGAAGTTCCACCTTTACTATAAAGGTGTTCTCCTGGACAGTAAATTAATTTGTATGCAGGCTTTTCTGATGTTTGGATGGCTCTTTAGTGGCAGTGTGGGTAAATGTTCTTATAATTACTGTATAATCCTCTTCATCAAGAGGATGAAGAGGATTTTATTCTGCAGGTGAGGATACTGCTCGACAAGCCTCCTGAATTCTCAACGTAATTTTCATTGCAGTTGTCAGAAATCATAGTAAATAAAAGTTTTTTGGTGAGAATATGGGTCATAATTACATAATAATAAATACAGCAATGGGGATAAATAAAACTCAGGTAGTAATCATTCAGTGCGAAAAAGGGCTTTAAAACTGCAAATTTCAGTGTTCAGTAAGAGGTCATGAGGCGGTCTTATGGCGACTTTTCTAGTTCGGAAATCCGACTTCGGGGGACATTCCAGTTGAAATTTCCAACCGGGAACTCTTTTTAAATGGAAAATTTGCTTTGCATTTAGTGTGAACACACCATCACCATATGACATATATTCATGTGGTGAAGATTGAAGAAGGAAAAAGCAGCTCAGTGCAGATTTCTTATTATAAAACATCAGATCTGTGAAAAACTAGAAGACTTTGAGCTGCAGAATGTTTACAGATTTACTTTTTTATGTCATATACTGAATTTATTTAATCTTTGCGGTAGAAAATCACTAAAAAGTTAATTTCTTTCGTTATTTGTACTGAGCATTAAGAACCTCTTAACATTAACACAACTAAATCTGATGAGACTGATCTTTGTATTCATCCTGCAATGACTTCGACACAGTAACAGTGTTTATCCCTCCAGTCATTTTGGGCTTGAACTATATATTTTCTGTGGTTGTATAATTATCTTCAGATGCCAGGTGGTGGAGTTTGGCACATAGGATACTGTAATAGTGTGAAAGTAAGTCTTTTCTATAGGTTCCTAGTTCAGTTTTAGGAACTGTTTTGCTTTGATGATATAAATTATTCGTCAGGGCCTTTTTAAGCAGTGATAAACTGAAACGCTCTGCAACTTTTGTAAATTAAAGACGTACAGGTGGTTTATATCCCTGAATTCATGTGCCAACAAAGCAGCAGAGATTTAGTGTTTCAAATTCTGTTGAATTTTTCTTTTTTTTCAACTGGAAAGTTTGTATGCATAAAGTGGTGACATACAACTCAAGAGCACAGTGGTGTAAAAAACAAAACAAAATTAAAGTGACGAGATCAGAAATTCCAGTTTCAGGACAAAACTGATCCTCAAAAATGGTGAAACACGACTGCCAGCAACTAACCAGTGTTTTGTTACATCCTCCCCCTCTCTCGCTCTCATTCACACACTCACCAAACGACATACAAAACAAAGAGACAGGAGACTTTTGGTTCCAGTATCGCCCTCCAACCATCACCCCTAGACTGGTGCATTATCATGCAAACCATGCAAAAAACAATGAAAATGTATTCATATAAAAAAATAAGTGTTACAAAATGGCATAGCAAGTATATGTATCCATTCAATCGCTTTTTCCGTTTCCTGATATCCTGAACTTTGCAGTGTCTACACTAAAAATCGCATGCGTTACATGCAGTGCGGTTGGCTTTGCAGCGATAAAGCTTTTGGGTGTATATAGTATGTATATTAATGTTCTTTTTTATTTTAGCTAAATTTTTGCGAAGAGTGCGCTGTACAGAGTTTTACTTTACAAACGGTCTGGTTTCCCTTTATTTTTTTTCTGGGCAGTCTCGATGCCATGGCTCTCTCTGTCTGGATGATGGTTGCTTTGATGAGGCCTCTGAAGGTCGATGACCTTGCTCACGACCTCGCAGCATCAAGGCGGATATTAGACCCACCTTTTCCTCCAAATGGTTTGGTCCGGAGGCTTTTGACCCAAACTGATTTGGGTTTAGAGGCATGGGTTTGGATTTAAAGTCTTAACTCAGAGTTGTGGATTTCTGTGCGGTCACACTTTCACCTCTCAGGGCGGTGTGTTCCACACAGCGTCACCGAATCCCTCCCCCGTTGAGGAGAGTGGCAGGGGCCCCCCGCTGGGTGTAAAGGGGTCCGTGTCTGTGTCTGTCTCCCCCTCCGCCAGGTAGCTCGGTCTGGGTCTCGTCCAGCTGGCGTCCCCGGTCGCCACCCCGGCCCCCATCGACAAGTCCTCCCCTTCCTCCCCTTCCCGCTCCCCAGAGATACTGAACCCGCTGGGCGAGCGCTCCAGCTCCTCGTGGTTCACAGATAGCATGGAGAGCGGCGAGTCGCCCCCCCGTCCCCCTGTGGTCCTGCCCAGCCCCACTGACAAGTCCTGCAGGGAGCTGATGGGCAACACTGTGGGACGTTCGGTGTAGGTGGGGATGGCAGCTGGAGGGTGGCGTGGGTGGAGGTGTGATGATTCGGGTTGATGGGCTGAAGGTGCACGGCTTCCACCAACCGACCCCGTCGCCTCCCCACCTCCTCTTCCTCTGCCGTAGTACGGATTCACCTTGCTGACAGGCACCTGGTACGACATGTGCGGGAACGCCTCGGCGTAGTTGAAGAAGACCCGACGGATCTCGCCGTTCCCCGTAGGATCGCAGGCCTCCAGAGTCATGTGGGCAGCGCCAGCAGAGTCCACCTGTAGGTGCTCAGTGTGCTGGATGTGCATGTCCACCAGGAAGTCTAACTTTTTCTCCATGTCCTCCACCTGAGACACAAACACATTACACCAGTGGCAATGATGATGATGAAATGGTTATGGTAAGAACTATAAGTGAGGTAACAAGTTTCTGATCCCACAACAGATGTGTGAATGTTGTCAGCGGTTAGTCAGGGTAAGAGTTTGGTCACACTTCTGGGTTGTGAAGCACAACTAATCCTATAACTTTCTCCATTTTGGACTTTCCTTCTCTCTGCACCATTAAAGGTCAACACTGTGATGTTTACAATTGGTCAAACGTTGCCTATGTGATCAAATTCATTGGTCGTAGTGATACTATTGAAGAGAAATATTTTCTTGTTTGAAATCTTGCTGAACTTGGTGTGACCAACTTCTGTGGCCAGTGGATGGTCTTTGGAGGATTAATTTCACCCCAAAGAATTGACCCTAAAACTCTATAATGCAAATAATGAATCTCTACAAGCAGGAGGTACCTGATCTTTATAGGTTTGCATCTGAATTTGACTGAGTTGGTTTGTCTGATACATTACTAACTACTAACAATTTTATTCTCAGTCAACAAGTTCTGATTATTATTGAATTATGCAAAAAAAATCACAAATAAAATCAGCAATGAAATCCGGCAGTTTAGGCCACATTTCTTTTCACACTTCGACTGAAAGTCAACTCCTTTCACTGTTCATTACCTCCACCAAGGAGGTTCTGTTTGTTCATTGATTTTTATTAAACTTGATTTGGTGTACATGGGTCATACATACATAGGTTAACCCCTCCAAGAAGTTGGAAAATCTCTCATTTACCCTCCAAACAGTGCGATTTTATTCTCATTGCCTATTTTTTAGTTTCTCTTGCAATTTCATTCCAATCAAAAGCCTAAAAGCAACCCAACAATCAAATTTTTAGAAAAGCATCAGTGAAATCAGGGATTTTAGGCCACAATGATCCTGGATGGACTAGTTAGGTGCTTTGCAGTTCTGATCCTTACCTGTCTCTCCACCCTGACAAATCGACCCATCATGCTTTGGTCTTCGGCATCTGGCATGGAGGTGGCTTTGGCTAGGTAGGACTCTTGCCTGGAACACAGGGACACTGAGTAGACGTGGACTGCACAGACATTTGTTACAGGAAAATGAACAAAAGATTCACCTGCAAAGAGTAACTTTATAAATAAAGGATGTTTCCTAACATTGGAACCGTTTACAGAATATAAAAGACAAATTAATAGATACATTTGACGTAATGAAAAAAAAAATACTTGTTTTAATACTAAATTATTTTAGCACAGTTGTTAGTCATGTTCTTTTTCAGACAATCTAATACTATAACATTGTTAGTACCTGGGTGACTGATTGGGCGGGTAGGTAAAGGGCGTTTTCTGAGTTTTCTTTTGTTTTGGGGTGAGGGGGGGTCCAGGGGCAAGAATCATGTCGATCCTTAAAGGAAGAGAAACAAGATGACCTTGAGGAAGAAGAAATATTTGCTTCACTCAAACAGACTCCTTCATCTTTAGTGTAGCAGCTGACCTTGTCTGGAGGTATTTAATTCTGCAGAGCATGTCCAGGTGTCCGGCAGAGTACTGCTCAATCACGTCTTTGACATCATAAGGCCTCAGAGTTTCCTTAAACCGCTTCTTGTTCAAGAGGAATTGCATGATCCTATGAGGCAAAGTTCAAATCAAGAGTTCAGACGTTAAAGTGACAGAATCCATTTTTATCAAACTTGGGAAACAGAGGGCATTCTCTCTTTGTTAAAGTCTGTTAGATGTTGCAGATGTCCCTGGTTCAACTTTGAAAAACATTACAGTTTTCCTAAGCAATGATAATCGTCTTTTCGTCTTTTCTTTTTTTTTTCATCTACATGTCCATCCATCAATCCACGCTCCTTGGCATAGTCTGGGTCCGCTGTAGCAAGTAGCCCGGACATCCTTTTCCCTCACCCTCTCCCCATGTCCACCAGCTCTTTCTGGTGGATCCCAAGATGTTCCCAAGTCAGATGGGTTATGTAATCCCTCTAGCATGTTCTGGGTCAGTTGGACATACCCTGAAAACCTCTAAAGGTAACCAGGGGGCAACCAAATCAAGTGTCCAAATTACCTCAACTAGCTCAACACGAAGGAGTGAGCTGCTTATAAATACTTTGGTTTTGACACTCTGAAGCCCCTCTGGATGTCCGAGCTTCTCATCGGGTCTCTATGGGTGAGCCCAGCCACTCTATGATGATTTTGTCTTTTTCTGTGATCTCGTTCTTTCGGTCATTACCCAAAGCTCACGACCACAGCTGCACTTTTAGACTTATCTCGCTCTTCACCACAACTGGTACAGTGTCAGTATTACTGCCTAATCTTGTGCTCCATCTTACCATCACTCATAAACAAGACCTAAAGGTGAATATAATTCCTTTTATGGAAGCTGACCTCAAACCACCTCAGTATGTGTAAAATCTATCTTCGAAACAGCACCTGGCCACAGCATTGGCAATCTATACCAGGTACATGTGTTTGTTCAATAACCAGCCTAGTCTTTGGTGTGCATTCGCAAGACAACTCTTGCTGAGATCAAACCCAAAATCTTTCAGCTCTTTGAAAGTCTTCAACCTTGAGTCCACACTGCCACTCAGTGAGCTCCTTCTTTTGTCTCACAGATCTCCCACTTTGAGCCGACTTAAACCCGCCTCCTCCCAGAGTCAGCGGCTGCTGGACGAGCTTCAGTGTTTGGCAGGAAGTCTTGGGTCCTGAAACTAAAACCCTCTGGGTCTGAGCATCCCATTCAGAGACCCATTCAGCCCCAAAATAATGGTGTGGAAGGAAGCAGCACTTTCACAGGGTTAATCACTCATCTCACAGGCCTTCACGCTAGATTGAATTCCTGCATTCTGTCAGCTGTGTGGTCTATAGATTTACCAGCACACTGTAAGCATGAGTGAGTTCCCCCCACACTCTCTGTTTGTCACTGCTCACCCTTGTACTCCTGCTGTAATGAGGCTGAATCCTACCTCCGTACTTGTGTCAAAGACTAAATTCAGCCACATGATCACTACAGTCAGTGTATTTGTATGCAAGCCCAGATCTAAACTAAAACTTTCTTTTTGTAGTGTTTCATGTAAACAAAGTTATATTTACATTGTTTCTCACCAAATAAATATATAACTTGCATTGTTTGCATCAATGTTTGCTTGCTTGCAGTCTTCTTCGCTCCTGTCTTTGCTGTATTTCTTTAAACATTACCACTGTGAATTGTTGAACCATTGAAACCATCAGTGTGTGTATCTAGGAATGGTAATTGATCAGATGTTATAGATACTAATGGCATTACTGATTTTGCTTATCCGTTCAGTTCTTTATCGATTACTTTACTGATTCCTGATCAATTTTCTGTATGAAACAAAGTAGGCCTACACAGGTTTTCAGTGTCAGTCTGACCGAGTTCTTGTTTTAAACATTAACACAACACATTTCTTTCTCTGTGCCACGACTCCTTCTTGTTGTAAGTGTCCATCAGTGTAGTCGCATGAGTTTGACTTAATTGTTTGTGCAACTGTCAGAAAACATGCTGGCACTGATAAAAAGGAATTTATAAGCTTGGTGGCATACGATTTTAATAGACTGTACAATTTGGAACCAGTTCTCTACTGGATTCCCATCCCTATTGGTTAGGCGTCACTCATGAGTAGAAGATTGTAACAGAATGGGGAACTACTAGCACTACTAGTGATCAGAAACTCCAGAGTACCTTTAACCTTTAACCCTGTCTGATCTGGTTCAAAGTATCAGCATCACTGATGGGTGTGGTTTGGTGTGGTCGTACTTTGTTGCACCTGAAACAGAGCACAGACCATCAGTAAATGTACATTTAAAGGTCCTGACCTGACTGCCCTGATGACGAGTTTCAGCGTGGGGATCATCTCCTCCATGAGGATGTCTGGGGGGAAGCCCCGCTCCTCTAAGGCTGGGTCTCCCAGGGCTCCGGCATCTGACAAAGAAAAGAAGTAGAAAAACCTGATGATAACCATACCATTGATTCGGTCCCATTGCTGAAACTGAATCTTACAGACTGAACCCAACCTTTTATTGTGATGGCCTGTAGTTTCATACCTTCAGAGCTCTGGCGGAGTGTGTAGGCCTTCATGCGGAAGGCGGTGCGGAAGCGTTCCCGGTTACTGAAGCCGGCTGGTTTGGGCTCCTTGGAGGGACTTTCCTCTATGGAGTCGGCATTACCTGTGAGCTTCTTGACTGACCCAACCGATGGCCGTGCATTGGGAAGGCGAACGCGCTCCAGTAAACTCATTTTTTGGCTGAAATGGAAGAAAAGTGATAAAGATGGTTGCAAACAATAAATCCAGGCTTCAAAATGTCTCTATAAAGGTGAAATAAGAGTTGCAGCGTCCGAGTCAGTAGGTGATACGAGGAGAATTGTGAGTGCTTTATGTATCTGCAACTTTTTCTGGAAGGTTTTCCGACAGATTAAGATCTTTGGTGTGACAAGGATGAAAGAAAAACAAAAACAAAAGAGACATTTGGCTTTTTCACTCAAACCTGTTACTTTTCCTAGGAAGCCTACTTGGATTTAAGGGAAATTTCTTTAGACTTCTACAGCTTTTGAACAAGATGTATTTAGGACTGTAAACTAGAGTAGTCCCCATACCAATGTATTAGCGAGTACGTGTCTGTGCATTGATCAGATACTATGTAATTTATTAGCCCTGAAACCACAGCTGTGTCCCGTTTACCATTCATTTCCCAAGATAGTGAAGTCATGACCCACCCTACTCTGACTCTGACAAAGGGTTTAACCTGAGCCAGGCCATACAACAATGATGGAAATCATACAGGTTTAGTAGTATATGGTACTCGATATCGGTTGATACAAAGTTCAGTTATGAGAATCGGTAATGGGAAGGAAAAAATTATAATATGTCACCAAGACATCAAGAAAAACCAAATTAAGACCTGCAAGTTCTCTCTGGGTTGGGTGTCTTCCTCGCCATAAACCAGATATTTCTTGGGCCATTTTCTGAGACCAAAGGAATCCCACTTCCAGTCTCACTAACAACTTTCCTTGAGTCTGACTTCCCTCTCACGGAGGAGTTAAAAAGTCTTCCCGGTCTGCTGCCTCATCGTTACAATGCCGCTCTGCTGGCAGAAGGAAGCCTCAAAGAGATTGGTCTCCTTTATTGTCCAATGGCTGACAATATTTGGCAGCACAAAGGCGAGAGCTCCCTGGGTAAAATAAGACTCCTGTGTGCCTTGGAAGAGGCAGAGAGGCGGGGTAACCGGAGCCGACAACAGCCCTCTGAAACGTGGAGCGCTCTCAGCGACTTTGCTCCCACAGCGGACACACAATATAAGGCTCTATGTGGCCTCGGGGCAGAATAGGGATGGCAGATTACGGCGCTGAGAGGCTGCAGAATAGGAAGCTTTAAAGGAAGAGAGAATCTCTTTCTGACTGCTTCTCGACCGAATAAAGAGCAGAAAATTACGAGTGATTATCTTGTGGCTCTGTGTAAACGAGGCAACACAGCAGGAAAAAATAACCTCCTTATCTCCAACAGCTCTGAAAAACACACACATATTGGTTTACTACGCTTGAACAACCCTGCAGTGATGATATTAAAAGATAATTCCGGTTTACTACAACTCTTATTTTCATATTATTTTCCACTGTTTCAATCTCTTGTGATAGAACTGTGAGTTACATGCTGAGATCTGGCATTGTTGGGGAAACTCAACACTATCAGACGATCAGACAGGTTAGAAACAAACCATCAGCTTGTCCACGTTATCTAAACCACTTTATCTGGAGGTTAAACTGAAAGTGAGTGCACCTTAAATGTCGGTAGTAATCCCTTATTGCTCAGGAAAACTGTGTGCACACAACTACAGTAATTACAGCAGGTCGACGTTAAAGCAGGAAGATGTGGATGTTTTGGTTTTACAGGTTATCTTCAGCGTTATTTTTAGTACCGTCGTCGGGTCCCCATCTCAGATATCAACTTGGTGAGCAAAATGTTTGTAATAAAATGTTCAAATTTAAAGCAGCAGTTCCTGTGGTGGAAACGCATCTATGAGTCTCATTTTTCTCTCACACTTTAATGAATTTCTTTGTCATCTATGATGTGAAAACATCACAGTCATAGTTGAGTTATAAAATCTCACAGTGGACCACAGAGTGTCTCTCCTGCCGGGCTGCTGACGGCGCTGTCAGCTAATCACAGAGGCCGGCAGTAGAGGAAGTTGAAGCACTGTCTGGTTCAACAATGGTAAAGATGGTTTTACGGTTGTTAGCTTTGTGGTTTGTGGTCACTTTAAGACTTGGATTGTAAAATGTACAGCCTCACATGCTGTCGCTCTGTACAGTGACGCAGCTAAACCTAGAAAGTATCAAGTATCAAGTATCATCTCCAGATCTGAGCCAGTGCCTCGGTCCTGGGCATTGACTGGAGAATTAACTGAACCGATCTGCAACTGTAAGATGCCACTAAATCAGGGGTCTCAAACTCAAACTGTCTTTGACCACTGCTGGTATTATCTAAGTATACTTTTAGTAGTTTTTTTATGGTCTCTGCGTATACTTGCACTAAATCCTGCACACTGGACCTTTAAAACCTCGACCACAGAACAAATAACTTCCACAATCAACCTGGTTCAACCCTGAATATGAAAATGACTAAAAGTGAAAATACAAACCGCTATATTATTCTATTAAAACTGTTTAACATGGATGTTCTCCTCACTCTGAAAGAGAGGAAGGACCTCTGGAGACCTCTGTCCTCAACTAACTCCAAGAGGAAGGACGTTGACTGAACTGATCTCATTTTGGTAACACTGTCCTCACTGCAAAGGTCTGAAACCGGTTTTAACAGCGAACACACACACACACACACACACACACACACACACACACACACACACACACACACACACACACACACACACACACACACTCTCTCTCTCTCAGATGGGGTGTAATTTTCTCTCAGTGTTGTGTTGAATAGATCACACAATACGACTGGATAACTCAGACAAAAAGCTCTAATATCTCAGTGCAGCCAAACACACACACAGTGTAAGTGGCTTATCGCCCTCTCGTCGGACATGGCAGCACTCTTGTAGTTCCTGGCAGTCGTCCACCTCTTCGCTCAGAGCAACGAGATAATGTCAGACTGCTAATTTCCCAGCCACTGATCCTACAGGAGACGTACAACTCAATCTACCTCTCTCTGTTTCTATTTTATAACTCTCTGCATCTCTCTCTTCTCTCTTTCTTACATTTTCTCTCAGTTTTTCTCCAAAATAATACAAGTAACTATATAAGTAATAGGGTTAAACAAGTACTCAGCTCAAACAAGTATCCGGTAGATAATGTACTTTGTATGAGTATCAAATAAAGTAAAGAGTAAAATGCATCAATATTAACCAGAAGTTTAATCAATCATATGATTAAACTTCTGGTAGTACTGTACTTTTTTGTAGTTTTTATGATCTCTGTATGTTTTTAATTTCTTGTTTTATACCTGTAGAAGTTCACATACCAAGGCTTAATTTCACTCTATATTTGATGCACTGTGCCTTCCCACCTTTGTCCTGTCCTCAAGTGGAAGCAGAAATCTCAGATTCTTTAAAACCTGCACAAATAAAAGCTGAGCTCCCGTCCTCTCTATCAGCTTGTGTATCAGGGCTCCTGTTGTTGCTGCTCAGTAGCTTTTAGCAGCAGTAACTTAATCCGGCGTGTTGAACATGGCGGTTCAGTGGAGGCCAGGAGGCGTCGGGGCAGAACGCTCCAATGTAATGAGACTGTGTTAGGACCAGGAGAGTCCAACAGCCCGAGACACCCACACCTAAACTGGACTGGGAAGTTTACTCCCTTTTAATTCAGCTTGTGGCTGGTTGTATGATGGTACTGACGTCTTAAAAAGGACCTCACCGACTTTAATTCTACTTAACTTGGACAGTTACTGATGGACTGTGGCCAAAGACAGGGTTCCCATGACTGCTTGAAAACCTAGAAACGTATTTATATAATGTTATCTATGACATTTTTAATTGTATTTTAAACCGTCACTCAAATCTCTGGCTATATTTTTTGTTTGAATGAGATACTGTGCGGAAAAACCCTTCAAAGCGGGTTTACGAGATGTGGAATGAACTTGCAGCAAACTTTTCGGGGTCAACTCGGAGCAAAAAGCAGAATTTTCACAAAAGCCAAATGGAAAAATAGCTTCTTGTTGTGGCAAATAAATACATGCACAGCAACACTTTCTACTTATTCTTTAAGAAACAACATAAATACAACTTAATGTAAGCAGAAAACTAGAGACTAGTTTTCCAGTCATGGAAACATGAAAATAATCTCTATATCGTCCTGGAAATCCTGGAACTTTTGAATTGTAATTCAGCCACTAACTCAGATTATATAAACCTGGGTACATATTTTGTTTGCAACTCGACTTCAAAGTTGTTGTGGTTGATCATTTTATTGTTTATTGTTTCTTATACTTAATACCTGGTCTTTTAATAGGCCAATACGTTAGAAGAATTGTAGTAGAAACTCTACTTGATTTAAACTCGTATTTATTCTCTCAGCAGTGGTGAGAACAGTCAAACACTGACTGCCACAGTGACTGTCCTGTACTGTAAAGAGAATCATTCACAAATCAAACATCTTCAGTGAGATTTTTCTGACATGTTTTGATGTAGAGACTCATTAACATCCTTCCACATGATGGAGGAAATCATCAAACCCAAAGACCCCATCTTGGGCACTAATTACTGGTTCTAAACTGTCATTCATAATTGAAAGGTAACTAATGGAGTCACTAATAGGATTCTAAAAAAAAAGCTCCCGCATAAATGTCATCACAGCGGCCGGCGTGGACGAGTGGGAGTTTCATATCACCAGTCACAGATTTACCACCACCATTAGCCCCGAGATTTATTTGACTATGGATTAATATATGAAGCTATTTAAAAGCGAATGGGGGAGGGGGGGATATTCTAGGAAACCTTCATTAGTCTTTGCAGCATCTGTGGCTAATTAAAGAAAGTGTGTGATTTACAGTATTTCTGCTGGAGATCAAACAACTGTGACCTACCCCGCCATGGCCTCCAAGTGATCCTTCCTTTGGATGGAGAGAGAGAAAAAGTACAAAGTTAAAAGATTGAGAGTTTAAATAGCCTTTAACAGTCGCTAAAAGTCAGAAGAGAAATCCCAAACTTTGATTTAAAGTTTAACTTAAACCCCTAAATTATAGCTAGCTCCCTCCGTCCTAGCAAGTTAAACACATGCAGCAGAGAGAATCCAATAGGTGGCGGAGTGTGTGACACAGGAGGTAAACAACCACGTTGATAAACTGACCACCGCTCAGTAGAAGACAGTCGCTGTGAATTCTTATCGAAAAATAATTCAAATACTTAATACAAAACAAACAAAATGTTGTGCCATTTTAATGTCTTTTCTTTTAACGTTTCTTGTTACGTACCTGAAACAGGGAAGAGAGATGATCGTTTCATAAAATCTCCACGTGGCAATAAGGTCTTCCCTGATTGGATTGGTGGAATAATATCGCCAGGCAGACTTTAAAATAAACAGAACAGCAAACAGTGGGTATTTTGATATTATGTCATGTGAGAAGGTTGCTGCTGATGCCAGGTAGCGTCTCACCTGGATGAGCCCGGCGGCAGGATGTCTGCGCTTCTCAAAGTGCTTCTGTCTGTGCTGCTCCTGGACCTTCAGAGCCAAACCTGAACCCAGGATCCCCTGCAACCACAAAAACACTCTCAGAAATACCACCAGGTGCAGGTTGTCCTACACAAAGTTAAGCTTCTTTCGAGGTTCAAGGTGTCAATTCTCACTGTAAAGGCCACTTAGCTGTGATCTTATGTGCGTCACTTGATGCTCTAAGCTTCTGTGCAGACTCAAGGAGGTAAAATAGCAAAGGATGAGCTGATTGAAATATGTGCTGGTGTGTGAGCGATTGACTGTGTTAGAAATGTAGATGCTCAGTCAATTTTGAGGTTATTTATAAGAGAAGACTCAGCCAAGCAGGTAGTGGAATAGGTGATTTATTAATGCTAATTTAGCTAATTATGTAAATTGCCCAACATCTGGAGGTTAGCAGTTTCTAAATACTCGGGACCAGCTAACTAACAAGTTAATAATTGATGTAGAGTAGCTAGCTAGTTAGCTAATATTTTGCTTACAGTGACTAACTTAAGATGTGACTATATATATATACTGTATATACGTGTGTTTTTTTTTTTTTTAACCATCTTTAAAATGTGGTTGTCTTTACAACATAGATTAACTTAGCACGTAGCGTATCTAAGTACAGGAAAGCAGGAAGTTGACAGAGGTTCCTCAACTGTTACTGGAGCACAGAGTAAAAAGGGGCGGGACTTAAGAAAGATTAATTATACGATGAAAATAACAACTCTAATTTCAGATGTGCACCTTTAATTACTCCTGACTTTACTGACTAATCTGTAAATCCATGTTAAATGTATTAATTAAATACAATAGAGGAGCACCCACTGCAGGCAAAGCGAAGAAGGACACTCCAATCAGAGCAAAAGTGCCAGCTAACAGTCTTCCCGCCCAGGTCTTTGGGGTTTTGTCCCCATAACCGATGGTGGTCAGCGTGATCTGCAAAAGAGACAAAGATTACACTTTAATTTAAGTTTCCACTGTTACTGTCAAAAGTCAAACAGAACAAAAATCGGCCCAATGGGCGTTGAAATACTTTAACTTCAATGATTACTTTCTACTAAAATGTCAGAAATGGATTCAGCATCCTCAATAACCCCCAAAACCACTCTTATATTGTCCAAATCTGCCAAACTGTTGCAGAAATATTGTTTATACAGGTGATTAATGATAATTATTTTAATTGTCCAACATATGTAAGTTAGCATCCATCAGTTTCTAAATGTTTTGGACTTAAACTGAACATTTCTAACAACTTTGGGGTACTGAACGTTTTCCAGCAAATATCTTCTGTTGAGATCTCTGCCTTGTGACCTCTGCCATCGATCATGCTCGGCGTTGTGACCTCCACATCGATCCACTGAAGGACAGTGTTGAGTGTTTTTAAAAAGGGTCACAATTCAGTGTCTTGCTCAAGGACACTTCAGCGGGGCATATGCTGGCTGTCACAGAACTTGAACCCTGGAGGTTAAAGGAGGGTCTCGTTAACGAGCTGCTTCCCCGACCAGAGGGCATTCATTAGAGCACGAGGCGCCGCCAAGACCGGACAACCATACAACGCGACTACCGGCTCGCTCTCTGGATTCTCCAACAAAAGCATCATGTTCAGGCTTTTTTTTTCAGGCTTCAGGCTTGTGAATGCAGCAGAATATCAGAGGCTACAAACTGATAATTGTTTTCTGGCAGAAATTTGCCCATTTGACTCAAAGCTGAAATGTTTTCAGTTGGTCATTTGGCCGAGTGTCATCCGTCCACCATGCTGCCGCCAAAATCCTCACAGAACTTTGAAGATATTTAACTTTCAAACTGACAAACAGACGGAGAAAGAGAAGATAATATAACCTCATAGCAAATCAATTTAACAAGTAATTTAGTCTGATATCAATGTTTAAGATTTATTTTTGATTACACCAAATTAATTGTACCAATGTGATGACACTTGTTTTAGGATTTTGTTGAAATTAATTAAAGCATTTAAGACCAAACGTTGTCTGGTATCAAGAGAGTTTATTAGATTAAATAATTTCACCCCATTGACAGATATGGTTTCTCTAATTTATAAACAAATAACGTTTAGGACCCAACAACAGACTTTTTTGGACTATTTACTGCAATGTGTTTGGCAGAATGACTGGATGGATGTAGTTCCCTAAATCCAGGATCAGGCACCAAACACCCAGTCGTTGATTTTATTTAGACCAAAAAAAGACGTAAAAACATGACTACTTATAGCTTGTGGACTTTCATGACTTCATATCTTTACATTTTTAAACTATAGGAAATCTTTAAGACCCCATTTTTGATTCTATTTATGCTTTTACATTCACTGATTACTCTGGTTGGACTGCTCCGACTGAAACTGCTGTTTTTATCATCTACGTCGGTGAGTTAAGGATTTATTTCCACCAAACCAGAGTTGGTGATTGTTGGAAAGACTAACAAAGACGGTTTTGGTGAGTTTTATTCTGTTTCTGTCCACTTTGAATGAAGTTACGATGATCTGAAGGTAAAATGAGTATTTCTGTCTCTGGAGTCTGGTGGAGAGTGATAGTGATATTATGGCTGTTTGCGGTTAAACTGAAGCTCTATCTCTGTAAGGATCCTTTCCATAAAGATGGATTTAAAGGTAGAACCATACAGAAACATATTGTAATGTACGTACCAGCCCCCACCACAGTGCGTCGGCGTAGGTGTCGAAGTCCTGTGGTTTGGGCTGAGCGGTGGGGTTTTCCTGGTTGGACACGTCCATGGAGACGTCGTCCTTCTCCACCAGGTAGACCAGGAAGGACGCCAGGATGAGAGACAGGAAGCCGATGTACCAGGCTGTGATCAGCTCCTACACAAACACAATCACACACGAAACAAAGACGTCTCCTTGTCTTTCTCAACATAAAGGAATCTTTTTCAGTCATAATTTGTCTTCAATCTCACTCAGGAATCGTGAGGGAATCGTGAACTCAGTATCGAACTATGAGTGTATCGTTATTATCTTATTGTTAGTTTCGTCCATCATTTCTATCACTTATCTTAACACTGCGCTCAGTTAATATCGGGAGGTGAGTTCACATTCAACCCAGGACCATTTCTTAACACTAGTATTTTATGTTTTATCTAGAGCTGCAACTAAAGATGATGCTATTTTATTGTCACTGAAACAAGCTTTTTGATTAACTATTAAAGTTTTGTTTTGCTATTTCAACATTATTGCAAAAAATTTCTAAAAACATTGTAACATAGACATTTTAGGTCACAACAATCCCTCCAAAAGCCGGCAAAATCCTGGAGGTGTAAACATAAATATATAAATAAATATATATAAAGAGTGAGTTGAGTGTTTTTGTTGATTGCGGAGGAATAAATGTTCAATGTTTAATGTAAAAGTACTCGTGAACAGTAATTTCCATCCTTACACTTTAATTCAACAGCTTTCAGTGCTTTAGTTTTCTTTATATAAAAGTACTCGTTGCGTTCTTCCTTCAGTTAATACCACTTTAGTTTTTGTGTGTTGCTATGTTGTGTATTGTTGTGTAGACATATATAAGATGAATTTCCATGTTATGCAAATTTAAAGCACAATAAAGTCATCTGAATCTGATCCATCATCATGTGACGCTGCAGTTTCTCCAGTTCCTACCTTACTGTGTGCGTAGATGGCGGACCCCAGCAGTTTCCAGGTTCCCCCCCTCCGGTCCATTCGCAGCATCCGTAGGATCTGCAAGAAGCGCAGGCTGCGCAGGGACGTGGCCAACACGTTACCCTGGTTCCTCACCGCCACCACCGGCACCGAGGCAATCAGCACGAAGATGTCTGAGACAGCGGAGACACTGTTTAACGAGTCTGACCCCACACAGTTATTAAGACTTCTTTGTGAAGGGATGAATTCATTATGAAGAGCTGCTGGATTAATTCCTAACGAGAGCCGATTGAACATAAAGACACTGAAACGCTGTTAATAAGATTCTGTTTTATCACATAAAGACTGAAAACAGAACATATTCTCATGTTTTATACGTGTTAGATCGTCCTGGTTCCTTTGACAAATTAGATTATTTCTTGGATTTTGGATTATTTCAAAGAATTATATTTACAGTTTTTGTTCAGCAATATAATCTTCAGAAATTAACTTTTATGTTTGTTAAAGCATAAATGGGATCGGCAGAAGTAAAAAGCTAACATTACGAACTAAATCACGTTTGCACTAAACGTCCAACTTGTAATTAAATGTTGTATTTAAAATCTATACATTAAAATTAAAGTTTGAGTTTGTAAGAGTATAAAACACAATGAGGCTGTAAAGTGGACGAGAGAGTAGAAAAGCACCTTCTGTAGTCTCCTTTAGCTGCTTCTTAGCAACCACCTTTTTTAAAACACGTAAAGCTTCAACAATCACAGAGGAGGTATTTACTGACTTATTTTATGTTGTAGAACAAAATGTGAAAACAGTTGTCTAAAATCACATTAAGCTCTTATAGTCAAGGTTAAATGAAAAATGTTAACCCTTTAAGATCACATCCTCAGTTATATCGATCCACTATTTAACAATGTAAGACAATTTGTTTTTACAAAAAGTTAATTTCTTTGTATTTTTATATCAAAATTCAATCATTTTGTCTTCCTGTAAAACAAAATGTGACGCGTGCTTACAGACAGAGGACAGTTTGATGACAGCGGTACCGATTTGATTTATGGAGTTTCCAGATGGACTTGTTGCTAAAAGCTTGTGTAGCTAACGCTCGCCAACGTCTCCCCGGGTTTTCTGGAGCCATAAACTGCGGGACGTATTTGTACCTAATATACACAGTGGTTTGCGAGCAAACTTCAGCCTCCCCCTCCATCCTTTGTAGCGACAGCAGCATCCGGCCGCCCAGACCCTCAGTGCGAACTCGGCCCCGAAGATGAAGATGGCGAAGGTTTCCTGTTCGGGTCGATCAGAAAGCAGAAAAATTAGCAGAAAATAAAGAATAAAGGTTTTATTTTGTTTTTATTCCACCAGGTTTTTATTACATATTAATGATTGTATCATCTACAGGAGAAATTAATTTAATTACTCTCATTCTTCCCACTTGTTTTATGTTTTACAAGACAAAGTGTTATCATTTGTGTGAATATATGCTTTGAAAATAAACAAGATTTTTAAACTTTGACAGATTTTTGTCACATCTTAAAATATATATTTAAATTAGAAATGTAAACCTCAATATCAGAATTTTGTTCCAAACAATTATAAAGAGAAATGATGAATTAATCTCAACATAACCTGAAACCCTGAACTCAAACACAAAGTTTATTTTAAAATTAAACTAAAGCAGCAACAACAAAAGAGAAACATTTATATTCTTGTGGATACGTCTGACTTTTATTTTGAAAGAAAAGCTTCCACAACCTGTTAGGTCTTTATTATACTTACACAGTTATGATTATAATTTTATTCATAAGAATTTGTTGTTGTGATGTTTATTAATACAGTTATGTGCTCTGATTGCAGGGATGGAAATTATTCATTATAATAATTATTATTATTATTATTATTATTATTATTATTATTATTATAAGAAATGTGTGTGTATTAACTGTATGCCAGTGTCTATATAATATGTGTATATATATATATAGTAAATATATATTTTAGTGTGTAATCTCTAATGTTTTATGTTATATTCATCATTATTCATTCAGAATAGTGCTTGTTAAACTGAGACATCTTAAATATTCTCATTTTATCAAATGGTGCAGCCATAAAAACATGTCTTTGGATTAAATATCTCACTAAACATCATATTTTTATGTTTTATTTTCTGTGTAATTTGGTTGAACTAAAGGGAAACTGGTCCTGTACAAGGCAACAACCAGTGGATCTCACCAATATAACCAGCCAGTGTGCCGACACCTTCTCGTGCTCCCTGAACGTCGTCAGTATGGCCAGAATCAAACAGCCCAGAACGATTAAAAACCTGCAGAGACACAAAAACAACAAACGGTTCCTCACGATGTGTGACTGACACAATGAGGTCATAAATACAGTCGATTGGCTCCGACGTGGATGTCAGTGAGCTCATGTGACCAGCAGAGGGCAATACATCCCCACTGCTAGCTTCACACTGCTGCAGCACAACAACAACAACAACAACAACAACAACAAAGTACTGGAAACATCATCTCACATTCTTTCACACAGATCAATAAATCACTAATATTTGGGTCTTTTGCTCCCTTATTATAAAGCTGAAACCAAAGGAATCTGTCGTCTGTCAGCTTTACTTTATATTAAATAAATGTTTGTTTTTGGCTCCCGGGAGGATCAGAGGATCAAATTAAAAGAAAAGCAATAAACCTTTTATCAGTTGATGGTAACACAGGAGGAAGATACAGGAGACTTCAACCAAACATAGTGGGAAAATCGATTATTAGGGCACACACACTAAGATTGTATCTCCATTATTTAATTAAAATAATATTGGAAAAACAAACATAAAGTAGATCCTGGCTTGGGAAAGAAAATCACCGAATTCACACGTCTCTGCTGATGTTTGTATCATTATATCATCTCTGATTTAAAGACATTAACTTAAAGAATAAAATGAGTTATGACGTGTTTATCTTCGCTGTTCTTCGTGCTGCGTCCGACTCTTTCATGCAGGTTGTGTGTTAAACTAATTAAATAAAATCTGTGTTTCACTCATGCTGTGAAATGTGATCCTGGTTCTCTCCGTTCAGTGAGACTCTGCCGTTTTTTCGGAGGTTCAGTCGTTTTTCTGCTGGGTTGCTGTTGCACCATTAAACCGTCTGAACTCAAATAATAAACGTCTGCAGAACAGCTTGAACTAGAATCCAGAAATAACACAATCTTACTTTAAGCTACAGAAACAACCAGGAACACTTTTGGCCTTATAAAGTATTTGTTGACACAGTCCGACACTGACGTCAGCTGGTTTAGTTTGTTTAATGATGTGCGTTGGCACTCAATTGACCTGCCCCCTTTTTGCTCCGTGCTCCAATAACTCTGTCAACATAGATTAGCTTAGCACGTAGCATATCTAAGTACAGGAAAGGAGGAAGTTGACCGAGGTTTGCTCAACTTTTGGGACTTCCTGTTGCTTCAAACCCTTCCTGAAGGAAAAGCAGGTTTTAGGAAACTGTTCAACATTTTATCACATAGTAGCATCATGATAAAGTCCTTGTTTGTTAACAATGAATCACTTTAATCTGAGTCGGCACACGTTTGGGAAGATTTGATTGTTGTTATCACATTTATTCACTTGTAGGCCGCTGAATGTATTCACCCAAATATTAAGTTTCACGCAGCTTAATCCTCCATTTTAAAAAGCAAACGATCCACTTGAGTCACTCCTTACACCCTGACATCTATATTTAGCCTTTCAGAGCAGAAATTAATTGGATACACACATACAAATGGTTATTTAAATTCCCCCTGTACACTGGAGCACAACCTGCCTGGCGGTGCTCCAGACAGTCTGGAGTTAACCGCCGTGCTATGATATATGACGTGGAACCGCACTAAATAAACTCAACCAGCTGCAGAACCGCCGCCAATTAACATTTATCCAGCGCCGCGTGTCCAATATTCTCCACCATCGGCTCCCAGGAAAAGGTTATTCTGTTCTTCTTTTCACTCTTGTAGCTCAGGAGTGTGGCTCTTAAAGCTGCCACAGAGAGTGGTGCATGCTGGGAAACAGGAGGTCATGGTTGTGACGGTATGTGAGAGCAGTGAATTAATGTGTGCAATAAATGAAGAATCAATATTCAGTGTAGTACTGAATCCATTATAAGCTCAACCCTGTGCTGCCAGAACCTGAATATAATAAAGTTTAATAACGCTGCAGTTGCTAATTGTATTTACAGATCGGATATTTTGGTGGAAAACATCGGAAATACAGACGATTCTCTCCTCCACGTCATCCAAAAATTACTGATAATGGTTTTCTTTGTCTGTATGTTGATCAACAAGTTGCTAAAACCTCCCAAATCTCACTGGTTGACTGGACGGAGTCAGATTGTTACGAGTTATTCATGAAGCAGATCTCTTTGTTTGGGGTTTGCTCCTGTATATTTAGAATAAATTTATCCCAGTTTTTTCAGTCTTGCTGATTGCTCTGCCCTTTAGCCTCCTTCTGTAAACCTGTTTTTACATCCTGAATCATTCATGGCCCGTTGTGTTGCCATTAGACAGTGTTGACATCTCAGAGAAGTTTCTGAAGTGCTGCACAACCATAACAGCATGAATATTTTACCACCAAACAGCCTGCAGAGTTTTACATAATTCACCAGGAGGAAGTGATAGCGGAGAGTAGATGCCTCCTGATCGACGTCTCCGTGGTTGTTGTACCTTTTTTTTCCACTCTTTAAAAACACTTCCTGTCGAATCGGAGCGTTTCTGCTCAAAGTTATCCAGAGGACAGATAATCCTGGAGAGAGCGGAGGAGGTCGATGTAAACTCGATATCATCCAACAGATACCGATCAGCAACACAGGTAGTTTGTTCAATAAGACACACAGAGCGAAGTCAGTGCTCGTTATTCTGGACACATCGAGAGGAAATCAGAGTTAACACATGTCAGGAATTATACCACAGCAGTAATGCCCCTTCTGAAATTAACTTCCCACACGGACAGTTTAGCAATGCCCTGTTTTGAAGTGGTTGTGCCTTTAAAATATAAGAATTCCTCATTAAACTTAATGCAATGCAGCAAATGAACAGTTTCCTAGTGTCTGATCACACTGGACATCAACAGTAGCACCAGATTTCTCCCATTTGTAACCAGAGCCGTTCAGAAAGCTAACATTGTTAGCATCTTTGGTTTTTGGTTCCTTCAGTCAGATAATCTCAAGTTGCAGTAGAATAGTTACTGTGTGTTTGCTGCCACAGAAAATAAATAAAAAGTTATTTATGTAACAATACTTCTTCTTGTGCTCTTCTCAGCAGAGAGTGAAAAGCTTACGCTAGCTAGTATTAGAGCTACAAGTTTAGGCTAAAGACAATTACCTAAAAGTGTCTCACAAACAGAGCGTTTCCTAACTGTTTTGAGTGAGGTGGCATGAAGTCATTCCCAGTTCCAACACTGTTTATGGAGCCCAGTATACAGAAATATTAAAATACTGGAGACTCAGGCTCGTACAGAGTTTTTTCGGGCTCGGTTCGGGCCTGGTCTCTGAACTAAGCTCTACTGTTGAATACATTTGTATTTATCGCCAAAAAGGCCTTAAAATTACTTATTTCAAGGCCTGATATCAGTAAAAAAACAAAAGAGCAATGAGTACATTTGATCTCAGAATCTTTGCTCTGAACTTCATTTTCTAGCTTTACCAAGAAGTTAATTTCTAGGTTCAATCAAATATAAATGTAGAAATTAATAAAACCAGAGCGGTCTGGTGAACATATTGATTAATGTTTGGTGTTTCTCTGCCACACATATACAGCCACAACTGTTTTAAGTGTTTTTTGGCCAATACGGATGGGAATTGATAAGAGTTTATTGATACAAGTGGCATTATTGATTCCTGATCAGTATTCTGTGTGTTCGTTCAGTTACTATCGGGTCAGTTGAGGACACGTTCATGTGGTATACAGTGTAATGCTGCTGGATGCTACCATTGTAACACTCCATTACCTGCTGTTGGACAAATAAATGAAGCGTGGAATCCAATCTGTGTTGTGATTGGCAATCAGGAGTTTCTGAGAGAGTCGAACAGACCTGGACAAACACCATTTTCTTTGTTTGAAGGTAAAGAGACGCTGAATCCGGTGTCTCAGGTGGAAATGGATGAAGGTAATGGAGCTTATTACCAGATTTACAGTGGAGGATAGTTCTTTGCTTGGAGTACGCTATAGATCATGTTTTCTAACGGTTGTTTCCACAAACAGGAAGGTTTTTATTCATAACACAGCGGGACGGGCTGTATTTAGCAGCTATAAAGAGGATATTTCCCTCAGAAGTTGGTAGAGACCAAACACGGAGATAAAACAAACACGACTGCAAATGAACAATCGTAACTGCTGGATGTGGAAATGTTTCTCTAAATTAAACAACATAACGCATTAATCTCACATCTTATGGTCACGTTTGCGCACAAAAACAAACTCAGTTACTGTAGAGAGAAACTCCTGTTGACTGTTGGTGGGAAACAGGAAGTGGACGGCGGTCTCACACATCAATCCTGACCTGACAGACCAGATACATCCTTCAGGTCTTAGTTGAACATGTCAAGATGAAATTAAAAATGCCTTTTTACCCAATTTAGATTACTTTGTTGGTTATATTGTACACCTGTTTAAGAGTTTATGCCAACAAAAATACCAATTTTTTTTTATAATAAAATCCAATCATTTCAACTGCTAACACTGTTCCTTTAAGTTTCTGTTTAATGTGGAGGTCAAATAACTTTAATTTGTGATGAAAAACAGGTTCAAACATTCTGGTTAAACTCATAAAACAAATCCCATATAACATTTAGAAATGTGTTTCAAGATCAGCTAAGAACCAAAACTATTTAATGTCTTTATTTAAATCGAGTGCAGCTCTGGGTGGATGTTTGTATTTGTTATTAAAGGTCATGTGGCGGTACTGATGAGAGCAGCCCACCTGTACAACCGCTCTCTCTCTCTCTCCATTAATCCACTTTATATCCACAAGCCCAGTGGAGGCTCGGCCCCGCCGGGCTCCCCGGTGCTGATACCACCCCAGAGGATTCCTAACAACCAATTTGCCGGCGAGATTCAATAAAGAGAGTGCAGACGATGCAATTCTGACAGTTAATTTGCCCGACGATATGCAAACACTGGTGGGAAAGGACAGCAGCAGCACGCCGCTAATGACTGCAGTCACAAGGACGAGATGAGAGGCAGCGATCTTTGTTCAGTCGAGAGTCTCTGAGGAGAGGTTTGTGTAAAACGAGTGATTTGGATGAATTGTAAGCAGATTATTTCCTGTTTAGG